GTTCGCCCACACAACTTCTTAGGGATTTTGAAGGAATATAAATTCCGACCCCCGTTAAACTTTACATTCAATTGGGAAGATCAACCAGAGTATTAGGAATATAAATTCCCACCCCCGTTAAACTTTACATTCAATTGGGAAAATCAACAAAGGTAGCAGGGAATATTGCAGTCCCACCCCCGTTAAAAACTTCTACATTCATTGAAGATCTTCAATAAGAGTTTAATTCTCCCACCCCCGTTAAACTTCTACATGCATTGAAGATCTTCAATAAGAGTTTAATTCTCCCACCCCCGTTAAACTTCTACATGCATTGAAGATCTTCAATAAGGGTTTAATTCTGCAACCCCCGTTAAACTTCTACATTCATTGAAGATCTTCAATAAGGGTTTAATTCTCCCACCCCCGTTAAACTTCTACATTCATTGAAGATCCTCAATAAGGGGTCAATTCTCCCACCGCTGTTAAACTTCTACATTCATTGAAGATCTTCAATAAGGGTTTAGTTTTCCCACCCCATTAAACTTCTACATTCATTGAAGATCTTCAATAAGGGTTTGATGATGATGATGATGATGATGATGATGATGATGATTCTGATGATGATGATGACGATGTTGTTGTAACATTCAACGCACAGGTAGCTAAGCTGTGCGTTGCAAGATGAAAGCCATGATCATGGACATGTGCATTTTGTCCCACAAAACGCAGTATTTTTTGATGTTCGGACACGTCGTCGGCGTTGGCGCGGGCAAACTGAGGGTTTTTACCGTACATTTACTATACAGTACATTTACAGTACAGTACACTACACTACATAACGTTACATTGCATACATACATACCAGCCAAAGTCCATCAAATTGCAAGGACAGAAGTCATGGTAAGAAATTTCCAAGGACAAAAATCTGGACTCATGTTTATTAAAGTGGAACTAAGCTACATATATGTGTATAACTCCAAGGACAAGGTCCTGGTATATATATATATATATATACATATATATACATATTTAATTCTAAGGACAGAGTCCTGGGCTATATATACATATGTATCTCCAAGGACAAGGTCCTGGTCTATGTATATATATATACACATAACTCCAAGGACAAAGTCCTGGACTATATAAATATATATACATAGCTCCAAGGACAAGGTCCTGGCATATATATATATATTTAACTCCAAGGACAGCGTCCTGGACTATATATACAAATATAACTCCAAGGACAAGGTCCTGGTCTATATATATATATATATTTATATATATATACATAACTCCAAGGACAAAGTCCTGGACTATATCTACATATGTAACTCCAAGGACAAGGTCCTGGTATATATATATATAACTCCAAGGACAGAGTCCTGGACTACATATGTTTAGTATTAAAAAAAAACGTCCCTGCTCAGGACACTGCCTGTTCGGCAGACTAGTTACTGTTTCATGCATGTCATGGTCCTGGCTATGGTATTTATTTTCAAGGCAAAGTCCTGGTATACATCTGTAACTAATGGAAATGTTTCTATTTACATATATATATATATATGTATTTATATTTCAATACTTATATATATATATATAAATACATATTACAATACATTACATTGCATTACATTCCGTTACAATACAATACAATGACAGTACATTTACAGTACATTTACAGTACAGTACACTACACTACATAACGTTACATTGCATACATACATACCAGCCAAAGTCCATCAAATTGCAAGGACAGAAGACATGGTAAGAAATTTCCAAGGACAAAAATCTGGACTCATGTTTATTAAAGTGGAACTAAGCTACACATATTTGTATAACTCCAAGGACAAGGTCCTGGTATATATATATATATTTATACATATATATATATACATATTTAACTCTAAGGACAGAGTCCTGGGCTATATATACATATGTAACTCCAAGGACAAGGTCCTGGACTATATCTACATATGTAACTCCAAGGACAAGGTCCTGGTATATATATATATATTTAACTCCAAAGACAGAGTCCTGGACTACATATGTTTAGTATTTAAAAGAAAAAAAACGTCCCTGTTCAGGACACTGCCTGTTCGGCAGACTAGTTACTGTTTCATGCATGTCATGGTCCTGGCTATGGTATTTATTTTCAAGGACAAAGTCCTGGTATATATCTGTAACTAATGCAAATGTTTATATTTACATATATATAGATGCAACAAAAAATTGAAGACACCAAGAAACTTTGAAAACACCAAATACCATGAAAGTGTCTTCTGTTCCGTGTTTGCAATTTTGTGTGTTTGTTTTTTTTCCCGATTTTGCCGCGCTTCCATGGGACCCAGAAAAAGAGGACGTGGGAAAATACGATGGCCGAGCATGTCCAGCCATCATATTTTCCCACATCTTTTTTGGACACCAAGAACCCTAAAGCTGCGATACCAAATCCCTATAATTTGAATAGAATACCTGAACTATTAGTACCGGAAATAATGGATGCTATGCATACTGTGTGTCTTTCTTCGTGTCTACGCCTTGCCATGGCACAACACTGCACCTTGCCACAGACGGGGGGGGGTTAATGGGAAGGTTTATTTAATAATTCACGAGCTCAAGACCCAGACTCTGGTTGAAGTCGTCGAGGAACTGCTCAGGGGGGTGAAGGGGTTTGGTGGGTGGGTGTTCTTACTATATCAAAATATCTTGTCAAATATATTGCATTCAAAAATATTAAATATACCTTATGAAATATACATATAAACAAGGGGGGGCCTGAAAGTGCGAAGCACTGAAGAATATTTAGGTCAATCTTGTGACCTTGGTAATCCACCGACTATGTCACTTTGTCCGAAGTCTCTGGCCTTCCCCAGCTTCTTCACATTCTTTTCCGGGGTCGGCGGCAGGGGCGGCAGCCCTTAAATAACCAGAGGGTATTTTTTTGTATGGCTCCAAATTGTCCACCGAAACCCATGGAGTTCAAGAACGGTTTCAGATCGCAAGCATGATCCATTTTGTGAGTCCCTTAGCACCTCTTGAGCCACATCCAAATGATCCCAGAAAAAATCAAATGCTAACAACCAACAATAGGTGCGGTCAGCACCTAAGAACTCCCACAATTTCTTTGTTATGAGCACATCGCTATTTTGGCTATACCTTTCAAAACCAACAACCCAGAATATATCCACATGTCAACCCTTTTGGCAACATGTTATTCTCATCTCGAAACTATGTCAACCATTTGAGCCTTATTGAAGGGTTATTGACCGTGTTTTCTCTTTATCAAACCTTCCAAACACCTTGTATGAACACATTTTGCACATGCTTTTTTTTGAATTCTTGGTAACCTGCAAACAGTTCCCCCATGATGTGATTGTTTGCGAAGTACCTATTTGGAATCCATTGAAAATAGAGGTATACCGATACCGTATACCCTCCAAAAGAAGTTATTGCCGAAGATGATCATAAAACCTCTGAAATTCGGTGGGTTAGCCCCTAAATGTTCCGGAAACAAAACCACAAATCAGCCGTTTTCTTCTCAAATGACCACTTAGTGGTTGATGTTAATTCTGTGGGCATTTCGTTGTCATGTTTCAGTTTTATATAGCCTCTGGTAAACATACAAAAAACATCAACAAAAATGGCCATAGAAGCAATGGATTTACCCATGAAAAATGGCGATTTACCCGCCTCTGCAGAGCTCACTGTGAAGAGCTCCTCGAAGTGGTTGCGTGGCTGCCTGTGGAAAATGATGAACTCAATGGATTGGTTTCAGGGAAAATCTACAGGAAACCATGGTTTTTACCATCAAATATAGGTCTTTCCTGTAAATTTTCCCATCATCCAATTCTATGATGAACATCTTCAGTGCCAATCATGGTATCTATGCGTAGATAGACGAGAAGAGTGGAGTCAAATGGCTTGGATTGGATTTGATTTAGATTGAATACAAATATTGGTGTGTATATTTATATATGACTATATGATTACCTTCATTTTGGAATATATCCTTTAACATTGCTCAAATATCTATACTAGACTTATACAATGCATATATATATATACACATACAATCAGTATATCATTTTCTCTGGACAATTGTCTTAATACATTCTTCAATCAAGCAAATACTATAGTGTCTTTTGCTGTGTTGTTTCTGATTGGTTCCTACTAAAGGCCGCCAACACTGTGGAAAGATTGGGTTGCAGCTTGACGAGGCACCCAGCGGACACCGGACCCGCCCGGTCCGCAATGTAGAGCTCCTGAGTCGAAATTCATGGGATTTAAAGGGATCCAATAGGAGATTTATGAACAACTGGTACAAAACTTCTGTTAACTACTTTTGGCAAATGATCATATCCCATTGCAACTGTTACCCTCTGGTAAACAAACATAGCTATTAAAAATAGCCGTTTATAGTGGATCCCATTAAAAAATGGTGATTTTCCATAGTTATGTAAGTTTACCAGAGGGTAACTGCTATTCCATGTTGGTTTAAACATTCTTCAGATAAGCCCATGATATCCCACAAAGCATCGTTGCGTCCCACCCGTTGCCCACTGCCCGCTTTTTGGTCCTCACGCCGCCTGGCGGTAAGTTAGGAAGCGGGGATGGTGGAGGCCTCTTTTTTTTGTGTCTTGTTGAAGACTTAAAGTACACCCCAGAAAATAGTTGTTTATCAAGCTTGATCAGTTGTACTAGTCTTTCAATACGAATCAATTATCACCCAAGTGGGAATGCTTGAGAAATTGAAATTAAAATGCAATCAATCATATATAATATATACAATATTATAGAATTAGAAATGTGGGAAAAAACACATCCCAAAAAAACTTTGTTATCGGGTTTACCACATGAGTCAATTGGAATCAGAATCTATTTTATGGGATGGACTTTTGATGACTTTTGTCACTGTCTTTGTTAAACCACCAGCCAATACATGTTTGCACTCGATTAGAGCACACATTGGTGAGTTTTGATAGATTATGATAGATTTCAAGATATTTCAAGGCTCCTCAATTCCTTTTGCCGACATCCAACAAGCCGTAGCCCGTCAAAATATCGCCTGCCATAGGCCTCGCCAAAGTGGCCAGCCATGGCGGATTTTCTGCTCGAGCCGTGTATCGCTGCACCACATCATTTCAAGTTGGAAATGGTCAGGATTTTCCTCGGCGCAGAAAAGAATGATGTGTTAGTAACAACTGAATCCCAATGGTCAATCCCATTATAATTGTGATTTTAAGAATCACTAGCGGTCAATCCCAATTCTTATAAACAGTGTTAGTAACTGGTGTAATCGACCCATTTGAAAAGTGAGCTATAGCAGCTATTGGGGTCAACGTATAGCACACATGGGTTATAACATGGTTACACCAGTCACGATCTGCAGGATGATCCTTCAGTGCAAACCCACAAAGGCGCTGACAAATAGAAAGAAGAAAACGTCGGGAGGGCAAAAGCCAGTTACACTAACCATACAATAAACAAAGAGATTAAGATAGATTAAGTCATCCCTTCATGATTATTCTCTTACTGGCTATCTATAGTATTCTATAGTTATTATACTCTAATCAGCTATAGTTATAACATGTTATAGCTTACAGTACTATAGTTATTGTTATTCTCTTACCTGCTATAGCTGCACCATTCGATTTCCGAACACTACCCTGCCCTCTGCCGACTCTGCCCTGCCCTCGGAATCCAGCAGTGGTAGCAGTTGCCAGCGATATCCCCTGCCATGTGTCAAGTTCAGAGATCGTTACCTTTGGAAAAGTTGATTTACGCATTAAAAATTGTGATTTTCCATAGTATATCCCATTAATTACTGGTTGGTGGTGCAATAAGCATCTGGAAAAATGTTCCAAGGTGGTTGACTGCAACCCCTCCGAAAAATGATGGACTTCGTCACTTGGGATGATGAAATTCCTATGATGGATATGAGTTCGTCAATGGGAAGGATGACATCCCATATATGATGGAAAGTCATAATCCATTCATGTTCCAAACCACCAAGCAGTTTTAGGACTTGAATTGTGTTGACCGGTCTGGTGGTGGACTTCACTCAAAATATCTGAATCAATTTTCGCATGATTCCATGGGAGTGAACACCTTGCTTGGTGGTCGGCCATTTGAAGTTGCGATGATCATCTACCGGATCTACCCCAATGGCCCTGGTCAAACCTGGTCAAATCTGGTCAAGACATGCTGAAAAGGCGTTTTTTGTTGGTGTCCGGAGCAATTTCCCCAAGAATTGGCACACCTTCCTCTGCAGATTGACATCATCCCATTCGTTGAACACCCAAAAAAAATATCGAAGTCTGAGATGGTCGATTAACTTTATCAATTTCATATTGGTTATATATTGACGAGTATGTTGACCATCAAATTTCGCAAAAAAAGTACATAACACAAATATGTACAATATAAATCATGAATAACATGATGGTTCTAGGTGTGGTTATATCATGATATATCCCCAGTTCACATGAAAAATCATGGTGCTTCATTACCGACCTGTGTTGGGTTGCCCCTTCCGACCTGTTTCGCTAACTCCAAGGCAGTTTGGGGCCTTTCTCGACCTCACTGATCTGAGTTCGGGGTGCAGTTCCACAGTAAAACGCTGTCTTCCATTCGTAACCATATCCATATCTAGAGGTAACCATATCCAAAGTTTATCATTGAAATATGACATCCAATAGGTTTCTATGTTCACCAAGGCTCCATCAAAATGATCTCAATGGCTACCCGGTATGGTACATCCATCATTCTATATCCAAGAAATATGACATGTGAACTATGAAGAACATGTTTATCATTAAAATATGACATCCAATAGATTTCTATGTTCATAGTTAATCCAATCAGATAAATCTATGTTCATTGGATCCAATCATTTATCATCTATAAATCAATACTGGTTGGTGGTTTCAACCCCTCTGAAAAATATGAAAGTCAATGGGGAGGACTATCCCAGACATTCTGAAACAAGAAACTAGCCCATAGATTGGATAGCCCATTGAAATCGCATCTATAAATCAGTTCAATAACATTTTGATAAATCATTTATCAATTATCCAATCATCCAATCATTTATCATCTATACATCTATATACCCTCTGGTAAATTAACATAGACCCTGAAAATCACCATTTTTAATAGGTAAACCATCTATAAGTGGGCCATCTATACCATGGCTATGTAACAAATAACCAGATGGTATCATCTACAAATCTATAAATCAATATACCACATTTTTGCTAGCATATATACCAGCACTATGGATCCTATGGGTTATGATTATCATCTATATATCTATAATATAAATGAATTATCTGTTGATAATCAAGTATATTATGATTATCACATAGATGATCTATGATTAACATCTATTATAAATCTATAAATCAATAGATTTCACAGGACCGTTCTCATCCCTGCGCGGCTCCAAGCGGCAGATCATGCCCAAGCCGCAGCCGCCACAACGGTCGCCCTGGAGCTCTGAACATCGTGGGAAAACCCTGGGAAAACCCCAATTCCTATGGAATTTGAGGGTGTGTTCGATCGGTTTTTACCCATTAGAACTGCAACTGGGGAGTAGTAAAAAAACCATATATCTTGTGAGTTCCTGCTGGTTGAATCCCGATGATAATTCTCCCAAGTTCCATCCCAGTATCCCAGTATTCCCAAGGCTGGCGCCTTCGCTGGAATTGACATCATCCCGAATGCGCAAATCCATGATCAGTCATGATCATATCAATCATATCCCATAATCATCCCATACCAGCTATATATCCCATATGGCCCACATCCCATTGCTTCAAATTCTTCACCAGGATCATATCCATCCAGGATCCATCATATCCCCAGATATCCCCAGCCTCCGTGTAAAGCGTCTCGGTGGGTGCAGCCGTTGGCATGGGCCTCAACTGTGAGATCACCCGGCCATGAAGCGTGCAGGGGTTCAACCTGAAAAAATGTGGAGGTTTCCTAAAAAACCCAACAGCTGGATGGTTTATAAATGTTTATCATGGAAAATCCTACTAAAATGAATGATTTTGGGGTACCCTTATTTTAGGAAACCACCGTGTAAACACTCACATTTAATAAATCTAATTCTATGAGGGTCAATATTTGGTACGTCCAGAATGGATTAAAAAAACATTGTGAGGGTGTGTAGTCCTGGTGTTCTTCGCGAATATCCCATAGATCAACTGGAGATGTCAGCAGATCATCAAACCTCAGATACCCTCCAAAAGGAGTAAAGGAGCAGAACAATGTGATCAAACATGACCATGGAACATTGATGAAACATTGATGGAACATTGATGGAACATTGATGGAACATTGATGAACATTGTACATCATCTGCAAATGGATACAAATGCTTGATTTTCCCACATAGATTGCAGGGGAGCCGGAAATATCACTGAGGTCAGAACGGTGGAGTGAAGCTTTCCCAAACATTCTCCGTGTAGCCGTCCTTCGCAAACGGTAGACATGTCAGCCGTCCATCCTCCGCAGGAACAGTATCTTAAAGTCGTCCCTAAAGTTGGGATCGATGGTTCATAGGTTGCTTTAGAACTTATACATGACCGGAGCTACAGATAGCGTACTCCATGAAAATTCAATACCAGAAGCACCAACCCTAGATCTCCGGTATAACGGATACGCTTGACCGGGCCCATCCGCACCTGTGTCAAAAGCCAGCGATTCAGCGGAAAGCGACGCCTCAACTGCATGAGAAGCAAACACACATATCACACATTTTAGATCATTTTAGGGGCTGGGTGATGTTTAACCAATCCATCGAACTCCATTATGTTCCCTCATATTTTTCTTGCATCGCCTAAGAGTGAACATGAACATCATAGGTCCTCAATGCCACCCACGGCAAGAGAACGGTCATATCAAGTCATATCAGAAAAAGAAACATATATATCATTTTCAATAGAGTTGTCCATGGAGTTTCATCAGTTTTCCATAGGTTTTCCATGGGTTTTCATGGTTTTCCACTGTTTTCCACGGGTTTCCCATGGTTTTTCCATCGGTTGAAGCGCTGCCAGGGCGCCATGAACCCGACAGCTCCACATCCACGAAGTCCGCCAGGTACGGATCCGCTGACAGCGACGTCACCTTCCTTGGGATGGCAGGGGCACCGATGGCAAAACCTGGAGATTTCCCTGGTGAAACGTGGTGAAAACGTGGTGAAAACGTGGTGAACACGTGGTGAAAACGTGGTGAACACGTGGTGAAAACGTGGTGAACACGTGGTGAAAACGTGGTGAAAACATGGTGAAAACGTGGTGAAAACGTGGTGAAAACGTGGTGAAAACGTGGTGAAAACGTGGTGAAAACGTGGTGAAAACGTGGTGAAAACGTGATTTCCCTGGTGAAATATGGCCTGAGATATGGCGTGAAACAAGGCCTGGACACTGCTGGATCATTTCCATATGGATATTTTGAGCGAAACATGATGAAACCTATAGATGTTTATTGACGTCTGTTGCGAAGATCACCCGTTATTTTTTCGGGCGGAAATGACCTGCAGTATATCAACGTGGATATCGAACATCTACCGAATTTTCCGATCATTTTCCTGCTGGACATGTCATTTGTTTTCCATATCTATGGTGGTCCCCACATGATGGTAGCTTCCCCATGTTGCGCTCGAACGAATTACCAAAACACATTTTGGTGTGATTCAAATCGCCCCATGGTCAATGGTAAATCATGCTGGTTCACACAGTTAGTAAGTAATTTACAGTTTTTTTTTGTGGACTATTTACCATTATTTACTTGGTGGTTTGCCAGTTAAATCTCAGTGTGTTATACCAGTTGTACCCCCCCTCTACGAAGGCGAAGTACTCAGGGGTCAGCCATTTCGGTGAACCCCCAGTGCTTCGATGGGATAGCCAGTTGTGGTAGGGCTGTTTTGAGCCACCCCACACTGCTTTGGGGAAAAGAGTTGTACCACCTGGCCGATGGAGCTCGAATCGATATGAATCGATGGCTTTCGCACCTGAAAATGTTGGGAAAAGCCCGTGAATCCCATAGTGAATCGTGGTTTTCTCAATAAAAGACCGCTGTTTTTGGGGTATATCATGGTATATCACATTTTCAGGCACACCCAGATATACCTTTGAGCAAACCAACAGGTTTTCACTAGGACCATTGTGTTTTTCTCGTACCAATGGGGTTTGGAGATATTTCTGGGTCGCAATGTGGAAATCAAAACGTGAGTCGATTCAGAAACTGCCCTTGCAAAGGTAGAGATTTGGACTCAAAGAAACTGAACAGTTCCCCATCCCGTTCATTCTTGTGAGTGACATCCTAATATCTATGGCAATAGCCGCGCCGCTATCCCCAGTTCTTGGTTGACATCCCAATTTTTGTGGATCCACAAATCGACAAGTCTGTCAAATTCTCAGGTTTGATGATTCAACACCTTCATGAAAAAATATGCATGTTTTTAAGCTTAAGACGGATCATCATTGGTGATATCCCCAACTTGTTTCATCATTTCCGTGTGTTTTTCTAGTTGGTGGTATACCTACCCCTCTGAAAAAATATGCGAAAGTCAGTTGGGATGATGAAATTCCCAATGGAAAGTCATAATCCATTCCATGGTTCCATAGCACCAACCAGATCACCATCATATTCCCATTGTTCTTGGTTTATAGCCTATGAACCACTATTTTCATATCACTATTAACCACCATATCCCAAATCATAGATATTATAATATAGTGTTTAATATATAGTTGATATTGAACTAATGTTATATAACTATACTATAGTTGGTTAGATATCCCATGACATCCCATCATTTCCATGTGTTGCTGTGTTGATGTTTTTCGTGTTTCGCCACCACCAAGTCACTGGTGATCATCAAACCATCGCCGGCTTGGCTCCACGTCCTCTCCGCCTCCGCCGTAACCGCACCACCCGCGGTTACGAGCTCCCGGAGTTCCAAGGGCAGCAAACACCTGGCGATGTGAAATTCGTTGGAATACTGTAACTAAGACCATGGAAAATTGGTGGTTTTCCATGGGAATTATGGTGGTTTAATGGAATCTAATGGGATTTACCCGGCCTGGTTATGACATTCACAGTTCGCCATGGTTAAGCCATGGCCCTAATCGAAATAGATGGGCCATACCGTTCTTGAAAATGGTGATTACTAAACCCAGATGCTCCATGGTGCTGGAATATTTACCGACATTTACCACAATAACCCAGATGTTGTTACATATTCCACACCTGGTGGGAAACTAGAAATGAAGAAAAAGGATCTAAATTGCTAAAGAAAAATGAATTGGGGGATATTGGGAAATGAATCTTAAGATATTTTCCGATGGTCAACACATGAAGAATAGTATGACAGTTATCTCCCAAAACAGTTGTTTCAATAAAGGCTTCAAGGTGCTATGTTGAAAATGATTTGCTGCATCCCCAATCTTTGTCGTCAAAAACTGTGCAAACTTACTTTTTCCGGGGTATCCCCAAATGACCTTAGCATCTTACACTTATGTGTCATGATTGCTTGGTGAACAGTGAGCTCCTGGGTATGATATGAAGCAATATTAAGCAAATGTCATCCAAAGACATGCTCAGCGCGTATAGCCACCACTTTTTTCTTTTGATATAACCAACTTGCTGCTGTTTCTGGTGATATTCAGCACATGTCATGCCCAAAAATCACCGGAAAAACCAGTTGGTTCCCATTCCATCACGATTCTCCTTTTCTAACCGTGTCTGAAAATCGTCCCCCAAAAATCCCATAGTACATCATCGTTTATACCTTGAAATCAGATCATACTACAGCATCATGTTTGGAGTCTATATCATGGTATATCCCAGCTGGTTGGTGGTATACCATGGTATACCTACCCCTCTGAAAAATATGCATGAATTCGTCAATGGGCAGGAAGGATGACATTCCATATATGAAATGGAAAAAACCAAACCATGTTTGAAACCACCAACCAGCCAGGTATATCCATGGTATATCCCATTTCCCTATAAAAACCAGGTCGGCCCATGTCGGTACCGTAGCCGCCATAGCCTATCCCCCACCTGTCGGGCATCTCGCAGATCGTCACATGCAGCGGACCGGGACTTGCAGCGCCTGGGGCCTCAGAAAGAGGAAGAAATCCATGGAAAAATGGACCAAAAACTGAGGTTTGAATGGTTTTAGGATGTTTTTTTTAAATGTATGTTGATATTGTTCAGTATGGCTCTATTTCATGTTCTGTTTCATGTTCCAGATGTTTTTGGAAGTGGTTTCAAAGGATTATATATATATACTCTTATCCGTATCTCATGCCATTACGAACTAATCCCCAATAAGTCGATAGATCCGGATAGTGTTTTCAGTGCCTTTTCCTCATCAACCAACAGACCTATGTTGCATGGAACAAAGAGAAGACGTTTAGGAGCTTGCGAAAATGATGTAAATTTACACGCAGAAAACCAGAAATGCGGAAATCCTTAAAACTTTAATTTAATTTGAAGGGCAAACAAAATAGTTTGGAAACATGTAGGGAGTTAACTCTAAGGATCATCCCGATTAGTAAAGGCATGATACAGCCATACTTCCGAAGCAACGTCAAGGCTCCAGGCGGCTCCAGTGGGCGCCAGTTTTGGACGATCAACTAGTTTCAACTGAAGAAGAGGGAGTCCTTCCAAAATAGAACCCCCTAAATCAATCAATCAATCTATCTATCGATCTGTCTAACTATCTATCTATAGTTCGCCAACTTCTGGTGTGTTTTCAGCACAGTTTTTGAGGCCCTTTACAGGATACGCAAAAATGCGAACATTTACCACTGAGATCCAATGACCCATCCACAATGGTCACTGCAAATGCCTGGAAGCGTCAAATGAAACCATTCGACCCACAGCACGTGGAAACCAAGGGGCATTCCGGCCATACATCTGCACGGAAATATTGTACGCGCCTCCATGGGAAATATAGCAGCCCGGGTGGGAACCCCTTGTGGTGATCAAACATGGTGATTTTATCACCCTGTATGTGTAGATGATGTACCTATGGAACAGATGGATGTTCATGGATGTTCCATTCCAGAGTTTGATATCGGAGGGTAAATGATGAAACTGGATTGCCATCAATAGTAAAAATGTGTAACAACACGACCTGGGTTCTTGGAAGATCTGAAATCAGGAATGATTCTACCGATTTTCCCGTAAGATAAGGATTTTCTATGAACTTTCATGGGTGGTTCAACAATACTTTCCAATGACATGTCTTTCCTAAGAGGCCCGACAGCAACTAAATCATCCAATTCAGGAAAAAATAACAGTGGGTCAACTGACTCGTTTTCACTTAATGATTTCCAGGTTTGCTGAAAAAACTGGGCTACAAAATGGGGTATACCATGTGACCATGGTATACCCTTAAATCCACTGGTTAAAAACCTAATTTTCCTCATACTTGTGGTATACACCATGACCCGGCACCTTTGTTGATGTAGCTGGGCCATCCCGAGTCACCTGGGGGATCTGCCAATATGGACTTGGGTTCACTTTTAGAGATTGCCAGATGATGTTTTTTTAAATAGATCTATTTTATTATTGACCAATGGATGTCCATCCCCTAGTCAGTGGCTCATGGTGCATGGAAATCATGATGTTTTTCTTGGGGACGAAATATCCGTTCTTCGGGTGTTGCATTTTATACCACTATGGATAAGCCGGCATGAACCCAGCAATACAGCAGAATAGGGGTGACACCTTTATGAATCAGAACCAGCGATAAAGATCATACAAAAAACAATGATCGGTAAAACAAATCAGGCACGCAATATGACCAACAGTCATCAATGAAATGACAAACTCAACCATATCGGGTTCGAAAACATTATCCCGGCAAGAGACCCGAAACAGTGCGTGTGTGGGAGGAGTAAAAGGATAACGTATTGTAATGTTGTTGATGATGATGATGATGTTGATGGGGATGGGAATGTTGTTGATGATGGTGGTGGTGAAGATGATAATGATGGTGATGATGGTGATGGTGATGATGATAATGATGATGACGATGATGATGATGATGATGAGGACGATGATAAGGATGGTGGTGATGCTGCTGATGATGATGATGATGATGATGAAAATGACGATGATGATGATGATGGTAATGATGCTGGTGTTGTTGTTGTTTTTGTGGTTGTTGTTGTTGTTCTTGTTCTTGTTCTTGTTGTTGTTGTTCTTGTTGTTGTTGTTCTTGTTCTTGTTCTTGTTGTTGTTGTTGTTGACGTTGACGACGACGACGACGACGACGACGATGATGATGGTGCTGATGTTGTTGTTTGTACATATTTTCCTAGGACCAGAGGATTAAAGTGGCAACAACGAACACAACATGTACCAGGTACCACAGTAGGAACCCCAATGGTGATGCTTCCATGTGAGTTACCCCCTGGGAATCCCCTACTCAGCGGTGGTGGAGGGAGCTCGCGCCTGCGCTGGTCAATCGGGGACCATCATCCTAACAGTGAAACCACTAACCATCTGATGTGGAAATCCCTGATTTATTACTGTGAGGAGTGCCATTTTGCGTAAGCATCGTACTGCAATCACTCTTAGGAAGTATCCGTCGAAATCATGAGCCAAGGTTGATTTGTGAGGGTTGGCATTACTCTCCCATGAGTAAAGGCAACAAAAATGAGCTTATGTCTTCCTCCATGCTGCAACAGAGGGCTTAGGATGGTTGTGGACGGTCAAATGGCATCCAGTGTTTTGAAAGTAAATTCCATAGGTTTGATTCAAACATATTCAAGTCCTCTGGCCATGGAAGATATATGTTTCAATTGGTGTGAACCCATACCAACCTTTCAATACTAGATTGCAGCACCCATTCTATTTTGCTTCTTTCCCTAGCTTTGACTCATAATGAGCATGAATCAACAACAACAAGAATCTGAGGGTACCCTCCCGAAAGTACCCCCCAAGAAGTCCTCACTTGTTGGGGCTTCTTCGTCCGTAATTTACGGAAAGGTCATGAAAGGTCTTCTGAAAAATCTTATGAAGCTGCCCAATTTGTCAGGCTGGGGACAGTAGATATTCCATCATGTTTCATGGCTGAAACATGTTGAGACTATACAAGGTGGAACGATCACTACATGGTCGTGGCAAACCAACATCTTCCGCTCATTTTTCGCTGCGCAAACGTTTTGGTCCCCTTTTAAGGTAGGTAGACGAGCAGCTTTCGGTGGGGCGAAGGAGATTGGGTCATGCCACTGGGGTCATAGTTGAGCATTACTGTACCTGACCTGTTGAAGATACTTGTATAGCTTTTGACATTTTTTCACCCTAACGTTTGGATACTTATTGATTATTGACTTATATATTCTCAGGATGTCGGTAAAAAAAACAGTTAGTTGCATTCTTATCTCCTGTTTCTTGGGTCTAAAAGATTCTTCATTTTGGTTACGCTCCGCACACTCCGAGGAGCCCCACTGAAAAAATGCTGCATGTCGTCTCGAACGGCCGCCGGTTTTGTCGGCTGGGCATTGACAGCATGTGTGTGGGATGACGGTCCCTGGCCCCCATCCCACGTGACTCGACGCGGCGAGATGTCAGCGGTATTTTCATATCCACGAAATCCTGATGACTTGACTGGCGTTATCAATATGACGGATCTGATAATCATGAGATATCATAAGTACAAAAAGAAAGATGACTAGTAGGTCATGATCAAACAAATAGTTCAAATATGATCATGTTCGTGGAGCCTTCCACTCTCGTCGCCGACTTTCAGTTCTCATACACGGGAGTTGAGTCTGTAGTTGCCAACGACATTAAACACTTCTAAGTGCAACTGCTAGGTAGCAATAACCTATCGTAGACTAGCTTATACTTGGTATTCACAGATACGCAAAGGAGTGATGTCGTTCTGTTTAGGTCTACATCCATTCTTAAGCAACTCCCAAACGCTTCGGTTACCTGCTCGCGGCTGTGATCTGTATGGTCTGAACAGCATTTAAAAAAACAGATTGAAATGTGGAACTGCAAACATATGAAATGAATCTATGTCCGAAGTATTCCTGCATGTTACGGAGTTGTTGATCACAGACTATCCTTATTTATTGCCATTGGTTGACACATATCAGAACATTCTTACTCATTAATAGCTGATCCTCAGAATCATCATTATGTTGCGTATATCATATTATCTATATAATAAATATATATATATATATACATATGTACATATAAATATGATAATCTAAGCACTTCAAACTTTGCCATCCTTATCTGGGTTTGTCGCGACCGCTTCGCAACGGCTGTCGTTCAATCACTCACATCTTCTTCTGTCGCTCCCAGCTGTCAAATTGGAGGGTCACGCTCTTGAACACTGTGCCGTTCAGGACCTGTGGGCGAAAAAAAAAGGGTAGCCGGGTAGAGTAGAACGAAACATGTACCCTATTTCATATTGATGCAAAACTGATTAAAAAAAGGGATATGATATGGAATAACAACTATAATACTAACAATAATAAAAACATATAAAAACAAAAAACACGATGATTTAACAACAAAAATAATGACAATAAAAAATGGGTTGAAGGGTAAAGTAATTCGAATGGTTCAAACATAGCATGATAGTGGATGAATATCAATTATCAGTAGTCCGCAATAGACCTATTGAAAAACCACATGTGGGTTTGTGTGAAAATCTATAGGGCACCAAAAAATCCCATGGTTTATCATTATTTTATAGATCAAATTGCAATGTTGGTGTAGTTTTCCACCAAATTTGGCCAAACCTAAGCAGGGTAAATTCAGACCATATGTGTATACTGCTTAAATTCCATGATTTTCATCATCTTCTATTCCCAAGAACGCACGCACCCAAACATCCCCATATTCGTGATGATACATACCATTACAACCCAATGTATATTCCATTGTATCCCCATAAAAATTGTTGGTGAAATGCCCCCATCTGTCATAATGTTCCCTAATTTTGTTGTTTTCGGAAACTGATGATCCACTAAAACCCATGAATTCGGCCAGTCCTGAAGTAGTAAATCACCACTTTTAATCAACAAAAAATCATTTTCCCCAAGCGTGCTCACTTGTAAACCAACTTCGATGTGGAAACCCACTAATAAAGGTAGATCATTTTCCGAACAGGTTCCCCCATGGGTTTTCAAACATTTTACCACGTTTACCCAGGGTACCCGGTACAAGCCCTTACGACATCCTCTGGGCCTCCCCACCATCACGGCTTCTTGGGCTTCAGTATCAGTCTTGAATCCGATCGCACCGGTGCCTACGCAATCGCTGCGTCCAAGGGACCTGAATAGAATTTTGGGTTGTTATAGGGCCGCAGTTTTGAGCGCTGAGTTCGGACAAGTATGTTGTTTTTCTTCCCCACCTGCCAGGTGAGGGTTGTTAGATTTTATCAGAGCTGTTCTCCTCCTCCTCCTCCGCCTCCTCACCCGCCGCCTCCTAATCGCAGTCCCGATCCCAGTGGGCACAGCCAGACCTCCACCGCGAGCTCCAGATCCCAGTGGGCACTGCCGGACCTCAACCGCGAGTTGCAGATCGCAGCGGGCACTGCCGGACCTCAACCGCGACTTCCAGGTCGCAGTGGGCACTGCCGGACCTCAACCGCGAGTTGCAGATCGCAGTGGGCACTGCCGGACCTCAACCGCGACTTCCAGATCGCAGTGGGCACTGCCGGACCTCAACGGGAAGAATGTCAGAAAAGATGCCAGATAGAATATCAGAAGATATGCCAGATAGAATGCCAGAAAGAATGTCAGAAAGAATGTCAGAAGATATGCCCCACAGAATGTCAGAAGATATGCCAGAAAGAATGTCAGAAGATATGCCAAATAGAATGTCAGAAGATATGCCAGATAAAATGCCATGAGATATGCCAGATAGAATGCCAGAAGATATGCCAGATAGAATGCCAGAAGATATACCAGATAGAATGCCAGAAGATATGCCAGATAGAATGCCAGAACGTATGCCAAATAGAATGCCAGATAAAATGTCAGATAGAATGCCAAAAAATATGCCAGATAGAATCCCAGAAGATATGCCAGATAGATATGCCAGAAGATATGCCAGATAGAATGCCAGATAGAAAGCCAGATAGAATGCCAGAAGATATCACACGAAGTAAAGTAATATAATTGTGTTTGTTGGTGTGGAAGAGTTAGATTTCAGATCAACAAAACAAAATGTGCATTTTGGGTACTGGAAATAAAAAGCACTGGGGCGAAGGATTTAAAAAATATGTTTCAGATCTTTTGACATGTTGACGCGCATTCGACTGCGCAGGCTGGCACAAAGTCTGGGTCCCGCTTCTGGACCCCGGCATTGTTCTTGTAAATGTCCGTATAAAGTGGCTCCTGTGACATATGTTAACTTAACACGCATTTCGACTGCGCAGGCTCGCACAAAGTGTGGTCCCCGGTCTTGTGGCGCAGCATTTTTCCTATAAATTTCCGTATGTAATGCCTACCGTCACATCTTCATGTGCATTTCGACTGCGCAGGCTCGCACAAAGTGTGGGCCGCAGTCTTGGGATCGGTCCTCCTCCTCAACATCACCATCCTCAGCATCATCCTCTTCCCCCTCCTCAACATCATCATTCTCAACCTCATCATCTTCCTCCCTCTTGAGACCATCCTCCTCCTCAACAACACCATCCTCATCCTTATCCTCCTCAACATGATCATCCTCCACATCATCCGCCTGCACCTCATCATGTTCAACATCATCATCCTCAACGTCATCGTCCGCAACATTCTCATCCTCAACATCATCGTCATCGTCATCGTCATCGTCATCAACATCATCATCATCATCATCGTCATCGTCATCATCATCATCAGCAGCATCATCGTCGTCCTTGTCATCGTCGTCATCGTCATCGCCATCGTCATCATCATCATCATCATCCTGCTCATCATCATCATCATCATCATCATCATCATCATCGGCATCCTCATCAAGCCCGAATTCAGAAGATGCAGGGTCTGGAAGTTGGAAACACATCATCAAGGCCAAATCCATTGTCAACACACGTCAGAATTCTGCACCTCATGAAGGCACGCGTGCACACGTGTTGACAATCATGCACTTTCGTGCAGTGTCAGCGCCGGCGAAGGCCACCACTCTTGCTTTTAGGTGCTTGTTTCACCAATAACTATGGTTTATGGTACTTATAACTATACTTAATAGGGTTTATAAAACAACTTATAACTGGGGGGCCCCACATTCCAGGAATGTGCTCTTTAAAGCATGACCAAATTCGGTGGGATCTCGTTCACCGGCGCGAGTTTTCTTGTTCGGATAATCAAAGGGCTTTGGTTAGATCGAAAAAAACAACAGAACTGTAAAGTTGGCAGGCACGATGAGCGCGTGTTTACCAAATGTTTGCAGCGAAAATCTCTTTCATCATAGAAACTTGACTGTGTGCCCATCTGTTGATACAGAGCGCAAACAATTCCTTCTTTCGCGACTGCACCAGCAAGCATCGACTTTGGCGATCAACCCAAACGATGGTGAGAATTTGCCAATTGATCTCTCAAATTCTTAACATCAGCCAACATCCCAAAGTCACACTGTTTGCCGCGCGCAGAGCATCGGGTGAATGCGGATGTACGGACCGCATACGGAAAAATACGGCGCAAATGCGGCGAAACTGTCAGCGAAACATCTTACCATCTAGATGTTGTAATTTGGTTTAAACTCAAGCCGTGGATTGCGCAAAAACCGTGGTTTGTATAACAAACATGTTTTACACAAAAACCATGTTTCAACCAAAGACTCTGTTTTGCACACAAACCAAGTTCCTGCGCCTGCGCAAGCGCTGCGGCTGGCAGGATATTTTTTTCCATGGTGTACATGAAATATACAGAACACAAAAATGCACCAAGAAACCGCTGCTACGTTCCATCTGTGCCAAAGTTAGCATAACTATAGAAAATCACAATTTTCAATTAAAAAAACACTATTTCTATGGTCATTTTCCAGTTCGCTTTTTGTATGTTTACCAGGCCGGGTAGCGGACCCAGCTTACGACTGGCGCACCTTGGCCCTTTCCGCTGTAGACCTCGGCCCACAGCGGCTGAACGCCGCTGAGCTCCACATGGGCTTTCAGTTCCTGGCTTCGTAAAACTGGTGGTAGAAGTACGCATGTTTTGTTCAAGTTCAATATATTTCAATATATACAATATATGAATATTCATATGTGTATAGCTATATCATCCAACATTTGGGTTTTTGTTGGTAACCAAGAAAAACTCATGTTGAATATGTCGAACTAGTCTCATATATCGAACTAGTCTTCAGTCTGGTTTGTTAGAAACATAGATTGATTTCTGACCAACCCAGGTCATTAGCTGAGTTGGTTAACAACAGTAACTGTTGGGTTAATGCTGGATACATCTATTCTTGGAGGGGGTTAGAAACCAACTATTTTCAGTGCGGGGCATCACATTGTAAAATCCTATTGGAGACAACTTAGGATCCAACATGCTACAATATAGTAGGATAATATATATATATATACTGGTTGGTGGCTTCAACCCCTCTGAAAAATATGAGTTCGTCAGTTGGGATGATTAAATTCCCAATATGGAAAACTACTTTACTTCGAGTCATCCCCAACATGACATTTATACGTTTTGTTGCTGGCAAATCTTCTGGCATTTTATCTGGCATTTTATCTGGCATATCTTCTGGCATATCTTCTGACATTCTATCTGGCATTCTATCTGGCAAATCTTCTGGCGTTCTATCTGGCATATCTTCTGGCATTCTATCTGGCATATCTTCTCGCATTCTATCTGACATTCTATCTGGCATACCTTCTGGCATTGAATCTGGCATACCATCCGGCATTCTATCTGGCATATCTTCTGGCATTCTCTCTGACATTCTATCTGGCGTTCTATCTGGCATATCTTCTCGCATTCTATCTGACATTCTATCTGGCATACCTTCTGGCATTCTATCTGGCATACCATCCGGCATTCTATCTGGCATATCTTCTGGCATTCTCTCTGATTCTATCTGGCATTCTATCTGGCATATCTTCTCGCATTCTATCTGACATTCTATCTGGCATACCTTCTGGCATTCTATCTGGCATACCATCCGGCATTCTATCTGGCATATCTTCTGGCATTCTCTCTGACATTCTATCTGGCGTTCTATCTGGCATATCTTCTCGCATTCTATCTGGCCGTTGAGGTCCAGCGGTGCCCACTGAGCTCTGAAGGTCCCAGGCGGTTGAGGTCCAGCCGTGCCCACTCAGATCGGAAGCCGGCAGTTGAGGTCCAGCAGTGCCCACTGCGCGCGGAAGTTGGCGAAGAGATTGGCGACGAGTTGGCAAGGCGGAAGTGGACGTGGAAGTTGATGCATACATGGTCGAGGAGAAACTGGAGGAGGAGGAAGAGGAGGAGGCGGAGGAGGAGGAGAAGGAGGAGGAGGAGGATGAGGAGAACAGCTCTGATAAAATCTAACAACCCTCACCTGGCAGGTGGGGAAATATAGTCCATTCATGTTCCAAACCACCAAGCAAAAATGATAATTTCCCTCTGGTACTTTAACATAGCGAAATGGAAAATCACCATCTTTAAGAACGGTAAATCAACTATTTCTGGAACTCAATAAATATATATATATATACATACATACATACATATATATACATACATACATACATATATATATATATACGTATATACATATATATATATATCTCTTTATACATATATATATATTTATAAATATATACAACATCCCTCACTGAAAATCAGTCCTGGAACTTGGTCTCTGCGGGGATGTTGCCGACCCAAATGGTCCGGCTGGGGTCGATCTTCTTCTTGGTGCCCTTGCCCTTGCCTGGAGGGCATCTGCCATGGGAGGATGTAGCTGTGGCCGGTTATTCTGTAGCTATAATGGCCATGATACGTGTATATATCGTGTATATATATACTATTAATGTGTATATATAATATGTAAGTAATTGTAAGTATATTATATCAATAGTTACTAAAAAATGGGATATCAACCCCACTTGCAAATTCGAACTGTACATGTGATTTGCTTCTTGACCCAGATGCAAAAATATATCTGGAAGCCAGCTTTCGTGCAACCATTGGTTTGTGGGTCAAGACATCCAGAAAACCCGGGGTGAATTGGCATTGTACATCTGAGACGCTGAGTCTTGCTCCAAGTGCTGTCGAGTATTATCTTCCCAAGCAGGGATGACAAACTACAGACATCAGAGATAAAGAAGACTGATGTTTACCATCTGGTGATCAATCATGCTTCGCTGGGAATGGGAAATCTCAGAGAAATGTGTATTAAAATCAAACAATCACGAACAAAACGGAGGGTTTTCCCAATGATTACCAGAGGGTATCCATCAAAATGGGTTGTTTAACATGATTCAGCATCCTGAAACTGGGATTTGTATATAGCCAAGTGGTTTGTTGAAAAATCGAGACCAACATGTATCACCAAGATCCAACAAGATCAGTTTTGTTGTTTTTTCCCAGCCCCTGCTGGTTAAACATGCGCCGCGCAGGCAGGCCTTTGCCATTGTTCCATTTCAGGAACCTCGGCGGACGAGAAAACATGGGCATCACCGGTGCGGAAAATGACCTATTTTGGCCATTTCAATGGGAAAATGATCAGTCGCAGCAGTGGGATGGGTCATGGGGTAGCCTATTTTCAGACAAACAACTCAATGTTTGCGGCTTAAATCATCTTAAATCTACATGTTGTTCTGGCTGAAGTCACGTTTGGAGAGGGGTCACATCAAGCCTGACCTTGGTCGTCATTTTGTTGCCCGATCTCACCTTGGATATCTTGGATCAAAAGCCTGGCTTTTTGGGGTAAATGCACATGAAATAGCTGGTGGCCATGGATGTTCATCTAAACCGAATATGGTTATTTCAATGGTCATTTCCATAGGTTTTTGATCCATCTCCATTTATTCATCTATTGATTCACCCTCAGGCTGAGCTGAGAAACTGGTTCCACACACCGCCTGGACTGCTGTAGCTGGCACCGCCGTCCCAGCCCTTGCCACCACCCCAGCTTTTGCCGCCGCCAAAGCCGCCGCCAAAACCGCCATCCCAGCTTTTACCTCGGGGTCGTGGGCCCTTTGGACCTGTTGGCTGCTGATGGCTGCTGAGATTCACCATTTCATGACCATGCTGGAAAAGGTAAAAGTCAGAGGTAGTACTCAGTGATAGATCTCAGAAATCATCCAGGGAAATTTTGCTGGGTATGAAATAGCTTGTATCTCTGTGCTTGAATCCCTCTCAAACGTGTTCTCGAGAACAACAAGTGCATTAACTTTGCTTGAAATATGGTCTCCATACATATGCCGCATATGCCCTTCATGATTTATCAAAAGTAAATACACACAAACAAGTACTATAGGTACTGATGCTGCTCAAGAAACTGCTGTATATCATAGGTGACTAGGTCAAACTTGGACACCCGATTTGGAAACTCGTTTTTTTGCACAGATTTAGATAGAAGGTGGGCTCTCTGGGCTCACATCAAATCCTCTTCTTAGTTACCCACATCACCAGTTTGTTGGTTCTGTATTGGTCGGTCTTATCCCCATAACAGCCTTCTTTAATCTCACCAGATCACCAACTATCCTTCCTGAATTCTTCAAATTCCTTCATTTACTTATTGGTTTTACCATGCTTTACCTCTATTTCCTCATGGTAAACACTGGTCCTCTAAATTCCCCTGGCATTTTTCCAACATTTGTCCGCTTGGAGCTTGGATGCCGCCGCCGCCCCAACTCTTGCCCTTGCCCTTGCCATTGTCGCTATCGCCCTTGCCCTCGCAGTACTTGCAATTCCCAAACTTGGTCATACGCGGGCAGAAGCCCTTCCTTGGATGCAGCTTGGGGTTGACTTTGACCCAGATCATGGCGAAGATCGGATTCGGGTAATCAAACACTGGAAAATTGCTCGCGTTGATCCCATTAATACAGACTCGCGTCAAAGATGTGGGTGTGTCTACCGAAAGGTATCTCTTTTTCAATGGAAAACACACATCACACATCCAAGCCATGTGTCATCCTCCAAGGTGGCGCCCCTGTCAGATGTGGCTTTGAAGAGTGAGGACTTCACCTGCTGATCCTTTGATTTCCCAGAATTTCCCAAAGCTCAGCGCCGTTCTAGTGATTTCTGATCATCATTTCTGATCCAAGTTTAATATGGGCTTACAGCAAAAAATTGCCATTTTGCCTACCCTCTGGTTATGTCAACGTAGCTATTGAAAGATCCACCATGCTATTAATGGGAAAATCCACTATTTCGACTGGGTCATTTTCAATAGCTATAACTTGACATAACCAGAGGGTATCTTGGAGATCAAAGCCCCCTTGGCCGAGAGTCTGTGACATATCCCAACATTGCGACATAGCTGGAAGTGGTCGGGGGGCACCTTTACCCGGCGAATCCAAAACTGAACAGCTGCGGCCAGGCCGTGGCGCCGTGATCGTGGTTGGCACCAACTTTCGGCCACCCGAGAACCAATAAGGGAGGGACAAATGGTATCTTGGGGATATCATGGTGAATATATATATATATTGTTAATATACTGTGAATGATGATGGTTGTTATATGGTTAATGGTGGTTAATCATAATCTGGTTGGTGGTTGACCGAAAAACCCCTCTGAAAAATGATGGAGTGAAAGTCAGTTGAGATGATGACATTCCAACTGAATGGACAAATAAAACATGTTCCAAACCACCAACCAGAATAATATGAGGCAATGTGGACTCTCAACTGTAAGGGATAAATGATGGCGGCTTTGTTTTGATGCACCTTTTGGACTGGTGTCCTTGCTTTGCAGCAAAATTTAAAAGAAAACACATGACCCCAAAGTGACTCACCTAAGGGTGCTTCCGGCAAATGGAACATGTCTGGAACCAGACTTCTCTAGAGATGTGGATTTGAGAAGTTTGGATAAAATCTATTAAAAAAAACGTAGAATGAGTGACCCATTACCCTTCTCTATGGGCCAAAATTCCACACTCCCGAACAACCAACATTGGTCATGTTCAGTGTTCAATACTACCTCTCCAAATTTTGGAGTTGTATCCTCGTTTTGGGCGGTTCAATCCCCATACTCTTGTCAGGTAGCACCAACATCACCAACCCAATATATTACCATGGAATGGGGAAAATATGGGAAAATCATGATAGCTGATAGCCCATTGGAATTGGGGGCAAGCCTTTTTCAGACAGGTTCATATGGATTCCATCCTAACTTAACTCCCAAATAAGCAGTGTTCACAAATGTTCATAATCCCCAATATATTGGATAGCATAACCCCATATGAGGGTTACTAAAATGGGGGTACCCCCAAATCATCCATTTATAAATTAATTTTCCTTTATAAACCATCCATTTTGGGGTACCCCCATTTAAATATATGGTAACCCTCATTGTATAGTAAGCAACCAACAGGGGTTGAACGCCGCTCCAATTCATCGAAACGCCGCACCTGTAGACAGGACCTGCTGCTCCCTGCCCTTGACCATTCACCTCATCGACTCTGTGGGGGGTCCGTAAACAAAAACATGTCCTCAACATCCCTGAACTGAGTCCATGATCAACCCCCAAATATCAATTTATAGCCCATCAAATCCAAGCAGGGTCCGTAATTTGTCACTACTTTTCCTCACATGAGCAGTGTTCAGAACAATGTGTCGTCTCTTGCTGATAGGGATTCTCCGTTCATGGATTGTGATATTCCCCAATTTTATTGGTGGGCAACCTCAGGCCCAACAATAAACCATCCCCAACGGCAAATCATCCCCATTTTTATAGGTGCTATGGAAACAAAATCCCAAATGATAGTTGGTTCTTCCGAGCAACAGTACCGACAGGACTTGTGCATTTCGGGAATGGTCAGCCAGTAATACAACCAGAATAAACCACTGATATCCATGATTAATATGCGATATTTCCCCACATTATACAGTACACACATCACCTCAAATCACCCAAATGATATGCATATTACAAGATATTACAAGCAACTGGCTGATGTTTTTTCAAAGTACTGAACATTACTTAACTGATTTATGTTGTTTCACCTTCACATGTCATAAGCCAGTCATATTGGGACCGTGACGTCAGGTCCCCGGACGCTGAGCCACACCGCAGGGACCCCGGTGTAGTTGGTGGCGTTGAAGCCACCGAGGGCGCCGCACCTGACGTTTCAATGGAGGAAAAACAGGTGAAGCCCCACCGGGTCGTTGAACGCTATTGAAATGGGGATTTCAATGGGATTTAGGGCTAGGGGATTTACAAAGGTAATTGAACTATAGCTGAAAGTGGTCCATTGATATCCATTTATAGTTGATTTTTTCTATTAAAACTGTGATTTCCCAAAACAACAGACGTTATAATTTTTTTGTTTTTATCGGTGAAATCAGAGAACTCTACAGGAAATCATGGGGATTAACTGGCCAATTTTGTGGGAGTTTAGCCATCAAGATTGACAATTTAGCCACGTAATGATGAACAATGAATTTATATAATGGATCAATGGTTCGGTTTAAGGGACAATTAGAGGAAACCCTAATTTTGACAATCATTTTTCGGGGTTTCAACATACTGCAAACAATTCTTGAACGATCGGTCTACTGAAGATTCTTTGAAGTAAAATGATGAACAACATGGACTTGTTCAAGACTTTCAGAATCTTTGAATCTCAAGTTATTGATAGTTATTAATAATTTATATTTTTCCGGGAAGTTGATAAACATAATCAATGATTAAACTGGTATATGCTCTTAAAACATTAACCATCATTACCCTCTGGTAAACTAACATAGCTATTGAACATGGCCATAGAAATAGTTGATTTACCCATCAAAAATGGTGGATCTTTCCAGTTCGTTATCTCTGTTTACCAGAGGGTAACCATCATTAACCCATGACTAACCATCATTAACCAACACTAATCATCATCAACCATCACTAACCCTCATTAACCCGTGATTAAATAAACCGGATCTTAGGTTACCTGTCGCCAGTCGCCGCCAGGGCACCAGCAGGCCACCAGCGATGATGGTGCCGATAGGGGCAGCTTCACTCCACACCACCTGGCAAAGGCTTCGTTATATACGCATATGCACATGTGTATATTATGTGTATAATATGCATCTATACAATATATATATATATATAAATATGTATAATATATATATATGTATAATATATATATGTATAATATATATATATAAATACATACATATGTGTATATATTACATATATAGAAACCATTTTTGTTGATTAGGACGGGCGTATTCTATTGATGATTTACCAGCGTGTCATGGTCATATTGCCATGTCTCATGTTTAGTGGCTATCTTCCCCCATATGGGTCCATCTGGGTTCATCCTTCGTCCCAAACCCAGGATTGAAATCTTCACTTCATGTTTGATCATAGTTGTAGATAAACCATGAACCCTCACCATTATCTAGCGGCAATCACTAACATTTATATCATACCAGTAAAGAATCATACCACTAAATACACAATGTATCTGATTGTATCCCATGTTTCTTGATGGCTACTGTACCCTCCCCAAAATTCACATAGACCTTGAACATAGCCAAATTTTAGTAGAAACTAATCTTCCAAACCCTTTGACAGGGTCTATGTTAGGTAATACATTCCCATTTTCTGATGGTCAGACACACACAATCATCTATATATCATGATAGCTATCACCGTTAGATGGCAATATCTTGCCATCATAGAATAATATTTCCATTTCTTCATGGTCAAATAGCTTTCCATGGCCGTGAAATAAGTTTTCCATGGCCCATTACATCAGATTATTAGCTACAACTCATATATTTATATACATATATATAACAGTTATACATTACCTATGTAGCAATGGTTAAATCAATGATATAAAGTTATATATATATATCAGTTATATATCACTTATATATCACTCATTAGAGTTATTTATATGTGGTATACATGAAATATAAATTAAGGTACTCATATTATATGCTACTGATTGATTATTATGCTAGTAACTTATCATTTTATGGTACTTATATATCTGGTTGGTGGTTTCAACCACTCTGAAACATATGCTCGTCAGTTGGGGTGATGAAATTCCCAATATATGGAAAGCCATAAAATTCCATGGTTCCAAACCACCAACCAGATACACATCCACATAGAATGATTCCCCACTAGCATCATATATTTGTTAGATAACGGTGAAACCGCCTTGTGCGGTACTACCGTTACTTCTATATAGTTACTTATATGATGTCCTCTTTCTATCCTATGTTTTCCCTTTTAATATCCATAAATGATCATCAATGGGGTAAATATATAGCTATATATCACCTATGTATCACTTATTGACTTATTGTAGTTATTTACATGTGGTATATATGAAAATATATGAGATATAAATTATGGTATTATAAATGTGCCAAACCACCAACCAGATATATCACTTCTTAAGGTTCTTTCACCATCACCGGAGGTGAACCTGTGCCGGAGTTCCTCACCTCACAGAGGTGGCGGAGACTTCACAGGGCGTGGCATCCAGTGGCAGGGCGTCCTCCAAATCCTACGGGGAAGCGCTGGAGGAGGAGCGGCACTCGACATGGTTTGAGTGACATGGGTTAATGATGGTTAATGATGGTTTAAAATGGTTTACTATGGTTTTGTGTGATTTATGATTGGTTAAGATTGATTGAGACCTGCTTTGATGTAGTTTGTGACATGGTCTGGTAATAGATTAACAATGATTAACATGGGTTCAGCAGGTTTACAATGATCTGATACTGTATGAGTTCAAATATGGTTTGAACTACAGCTTCATACTGTGGATGGTTGCGAAATCCTGCACCACCAAAAGGATGGTTGAAACCCTAATGGAATAAACCATCGTTTTCAACTAGTGATTCGGATTTCGCAACCATCCTCCGTATGGTTTTTAAAGGGATTCAACAGGCACCAAACGGGGGTAACCAGAAGGGTCTCCAGCGCTAGATGACCATGGAAGCAGTGGGGGCAGTGCATGGGTGACCATATGCAGTATCTGTAAGGGTTTGGTGAGGATGACACCACATTCGTGATGTGGTACGTAATACATGAGACATAGATCTAACTTCTTGGTAAATATAAGTTTACATGAATGATATATGATATATTGAATTATCAATCTGGTTAAATGATATGGGTGTGGATCAATACCTAATTTTATACCATTTTTAATGGGATGAACATCCATTTACCAGCTATTTTGATGTTCACTAGGGGTACAAGGTTTTGACACACTGCCATATAATCATTCACCAACCTGAAATTTCCTACAAACATCGTGACCCAGGAATTGGAGACACCAGTAACTGGCCCTTCGTCGGTTGGTGGTTTCAACCTACCTCTGTGAAAAATGATGGACTTCGTCAAATGGGAGTATTATGATGAAATTCCCAATATGATGGGAAAGTCATAAATTCCATGGTTCCAGGAAAACCACCAACCAGTCATCTATAAATCTATAAATCAATAGATTTCACAGGACCGTTCTCACTAGCTATGGTTATATCACCTATATCTCACTACTTTCAGGACATCCCCAGCTGAGCCAACCATCAATCCGGTCACTCTGAGCCCCCGAGCAGCGCGCCGTTGCGGAGCATTGCAGGGCCTCGGTAAAATTCTCTGGGCCGGCGCTTCGAGAGAAGCATGGTGAATTCTGCTAGACCTTATAGAAATCCTTGCTGGTTGGTGGTTTCATTTCTGTTGGATGAATTTCATAAAAAATCCCATTGAAGCACCATTGAAGCATCATTTCTCAGGGTTAAACATGGTTAAACCATATTCAACCACTATGGCTGTTTCATATTGGGCCCCTCTGAAAAATATGACTTCGTCAATTGGGATTATTCCCAATATAGGAAAATAAAAGCCATGTTCCAAACCACCAACCAGCTTGATATTCCTTGTTGCAATGTCAAAACTGGCAAGGATTATGACATAATGACGGCAAAAAATCTTGGGGAAATCCACCAAAGCAACGACCATTCGGGGCTCGTTGCAACATCTAAAACCAATGGAAACGAACTGAACCGAAGATATGACCAAGGAACGTCATGCTTTGAAATAACGTCCTAAATAGCGTTTAACGTGTGGAAACGTCTAAATTTTCCCAGGAAGACATGGCAAAAAACAACATCTAAAACCAGGAAACGTCTAAAAAACCCATCGTTTACCGTGCTGCCGAACACCGTGGCATCCTGCAAGCGCACGCGGTCGGCTGCCTTGAAGCCACCGGGACCTGAGGCTCAGCTGGTGGAATCTGTTTGCGTCAAAAATCAATGGGATCATTATCCAATCAAAGATGGAAACAAAATATACACATTTTATATATATATATATATATGTGGTTAATATATGGTTAATAATGGTTAATAATGGTTAATGATCCTATGGGATATATATTTATATTTAATATATTTCAAAGCTATTTCAAACCAACATCTATGAAAACATGTAAGAACATGATCTCCTTTTGGTCCCTCAAATTCCGGCTTCCTGCCCATTTGGCCTTCCATCAGGAGATCAAAGGGCTGACCGTACTCCACCACTTGCGACTTCTGCTCCGGTCCCTGCGATGTCGGGCGACGGGAGAAGCGGATGACCCATGACAGACCCCTCCCCGAGGTGCAGACCCGAACGCTGAGGTACATCGCTTCCACTTGGAAGAACGAATCGAAGGGACAGGGTGCCTTAGCGGGAATTGGTGCTGAGCTTCAAATCTCCATAAATCTCCTATCGCACGGTGTGACAAATGCTGGAAATTGTCATTTGATATTATTTGATAAACATTTGATGATAAACATTTGATAATTATCAAATAAACATTATCCCTAAACATTATGCTGTTATTTGAATAGGACACATGATCAACCGCGGGATTTTGGGGTCTATTTTCAGACGTTCACCCATGTTGCCAGAAGTTGAAGTGGATCATCCCATGCCATAGATTGCCATAGATCCTATGGTTTATCCTATGATAAATCAGGCCTTTTAAGGCATCTTTTTGTTGGTTTCTATAGATCTTCACATTATGCTCATTACAACCACATTATATTATATATAGACCACCCGGAACTAACATGGTCGGAAGACTACTTTCATCCAGAAATCAGCTAGTCTCAGGGTCAAACTGTTACTTGCGAGGGATGATAAACCCATGTAAACCCCGTTTATAGTTCCCATATGCTCCATGTATCGAATATTTACCGACATTTAAATTCATTTACCCCAATCATAACCCAGATGTTGGGTCACATCATGTTACGTATATTCCACACGTGGAGCATATTCCACACGACTCCGAAAAAACCGGCGCCCATCGTTCACGACCAGGACGACCTGAGCTGCCGTGCTTCGTTGCACCAACAGACTTTCAGCTCCGCCGCCTCGTCGATGCTAAGATCCAGCCACACCTGATGGAGGAGTTTGGTCCTGCTTTTTGGGAAACACCATGGGAAACCGGACATGGGTGATTTTTCCGACCATGGAACCAACCACCAATATGGGAAAACGTGTTTGATTTCAGAATATCTGAAGATATGCACGCAAATTTCTTTTGATGTTCTAAACTATATATTTCCGTACAGAAAGATGTAGTTTCAACCAATCATCAAGGGGATTTTAAACCAACAAAACCAAAGTTGAGGTGATTTGATCAAGAACAATGTCAATCTTGTTTTAAACCTGATCTAGCCACCGGTCCTCCAACAATCAGTCGGACCAACAACAATGGATTCCACAAGCATTGTTAGTTCACAACTCAGTTCTTACCCGTGTATAGTACCTCCCAACAAGATGCAGAACAATTTATAGAAATGATTTAAGTCTAAAGTGCCAGTGCCTATACTTTTCTCAAGTTTCACATTTCAAAAAATAGCACAAACAAAATGCACAGCTGTCCCAAAGTCCATGGAAAAATCATTGGATCCCGAGGATCCCGCCTGATAGGTCTCAGATCCCTCGTCCCAGGGTCCAATGCCCGCTTTCAACGAGGCGTTGCCCGCCACGCGTCTGGAGAAGAACGGCATGGTTGACGTGGAACGTTTTAGGAAAAATGCAGGTTATGAACCAAATGTTTTGGTTGGTTAGATTATGTTATATATATATATATGCAGTATAGACATCATGTGTTATGCGTATAAACCATGATATATATATATATACATAAATTACCAGTCACTCATTATATACCATGATTTCTGTTGGTGACTGGTGTTGAGATGATCTTGACTCTAGACGTGTACTGCGCTGGTGTTTTCCATTTTTTTTTCTTGGCTCTGAGAAGGTGTTTCAGCCCCAAAACAAACTACCCTCTGGTAAACATACAAAAAGCTGTTGAACATGGCCATTTATAGTGAGTTTTCCCATTAAAAATGGTGATTTCCCATAGTTATGTTAGTTTACCAGAGGGTACATCAAATTCTTTAAAGTTTCTTGGAACTACGGGCAAAATAGTGGGGAGACTAGGTGGCAAAAACTGGGGGATATCACCATAGAGCTGGTAGGAACTCAACCAGCTGGCGTTAAATCCCAACTCTGGTAGTCACATATCCTTAATCTCAAACACTATGCCTGGTTGGTGGTTGACCTACCCCTCTGAAAAATATGCTCGTCAGTTGGGATGATGACATTCCCAATATGATGGGAAAGTCATTCAAAATTCCATGGTTCCAGTCACCACCAACCAGATCCACTTATCCCCCTCATTTGTTGGTATTAATTGTTTACTCATGGAACTTACCCTCTGGTAAACTAACATAACTATGGAAATATCCACCATTTTTAATGGGAAAACTCACTATAAATGGCCATTTTCAATAGCTATGTTGACATAACCAGAGGGTATAAACCACCTTTTTTTCTCACCATTCTGCGCCACGCCATTCCACCAGCGAAACATGTCAGCTCGGCATAAACGGCAGCATGTCATCCACGGATGTAGAACCTGTGGACGAAAGAGGAGCCCCAAAATTGGTAACTCAGTATAGGATCTATCCCATGACGGATCCATGTATGGTATATATATGCTAACATTTGGGGTATATTGATGTTATATTGATGGTAAATGTTACCATATATCGCAAACATGGATCCTATGGGTATAGGCTAACTATGATATATGCTGGATATCTCTAGACTTGGATGGACTTATAAAGTTAAAGCAATTTACGGGACCCATGTAAAATCTACTCAATTTCCCGGAAATCCATGAACAAGTCCATAAAAATCCTGAATTATCGAAGAATCTGTCGTTTTCGATCGGCCTTACATCTAACTGGATCCCCTTGAGAGTCAACATCATCGTTGCACGAGCGCCTCCAGCACCACAGGTTTCATTGAGGCGGATCAGACCTGGAAGAATTGCAAATGTTCACTTCCCCGATGTCAAGCCTACATCTTCAAGCACCTGAGACTGTAGTTTTAGGGGTTTCCAAATACATTCTCGCGTGGTATTTTCAGCCCTTGCATATATGGATACATGTATTAGAATTAAAAACAGACGTGTAATGACGTGTACATACAGCACAACAAAATGTTCAGGTGATCACACAAACCAACCCGGACACTGCCCACATACGATCCGGTAAACAATCATGGCCTGACAATAGAAAACTGAGGAGGAAACCAATCTTCTTAAATAATTGTCATTGTCCACTGTCAGATTTGTGAACCAAAAAGAGCCCAAAGTGTACATGGAGTCTTTTGCAACCCCGGAAAAGGGCAAAAGGCAGCACAGGGTACACCCCTTTTCGTAGGAATTTACAATTCCGTCTTTTTGGGGATTGATACAGGGACATGGATAAGATATAAACGATGATAAAACATAAGATATCAAACATTGATACAAAGCAAAACAACACGAGATGAGCAACACATTCCACGCCCCTCTGGATATCTGAACCTCGAATCCCCAAGGCAGTTCCACATGTGGTTGACCTACCCCTCTGAAAAATGATGGAGTTCGTCAGTTGGGATGATGACATTCCCAATATGATGGGAAAGTCATAAAATTCCATGGTTCCAGTCACCACCAACCAGAAAAGGTTGTAAATTGGTCATGTTACCTCTTTATTTCCCAGGCTTCCCACCCTTGTTTCGGTGTTGGGAGCTGCCCTTTCTTGCAATCTGAAGTTTTACTGATCTCAGTTGTTTCTTACCTAAGCAGCTTGAAATTGACCTCCAATGTCAATGGTGAAATCAAATTAATTCCCTATGTTTTCGGGTTAATTCAAGTTAATCCACAAAATGCGAGTACAGTTCCAAGAATTTCTTGGCGCTTAAAACAACAAGTTCCGCCATTTCGGTGAAATCATAGATCCCCAATGCATCCACAGTTCGCTAACGTGAGGCCCCCCAACGTGATGTGAACGTTGGTGACTAGATTCGCCCCAGTAACTAGTTCGTTATTTGCGTACCATAAACCATAGTGAAATTGGAGTTATTGGCACCAACTTAGCTATCTTGGGGGCCTCACATTGTAGTTGTAAAGGTCAATCCACATATATCATTACACACCCACATTCCGAATGATTCCCCACAATCATATATTTGTTAGATAACGGTGAAACCGCCATGAATGTTTGGCAAGTTCCAGAAACCCATTTGGGAGGGTTAAACCATGTTGTACTTAAACCACTCCAATTTGTTTTACAAAATCAAAGAAAACAAGCTTGGTACAGTACCCCATTGTATATTTTTTGGTTGTAAAATCTGGGTTAAACATGGTAAAACCCACCATTTTACACACACCTGAGTATATAATTTTTCAGTACCCCATTTGGGAGGGTTAAACCCCCAAAATCTGGGTTTTTCACATGGTTAAACCCACTATTTTATAAACATATGTTAATCAAAAATCCCTCCAAAATCTGGTTTTTCACATGGTTAAACATTGTTAAACATTGTTAAAATATATTAAAATCTGTTAAAATCTGGGTTGTTAATCTGGATTTCTCTCCTCAAAAATCCTCCAACAAAGCCTCGGCGCGCCAAGGCGCGGATGCGATCCGTGGTGCGGAAGGCGGAGCCAAAGAGGGCCAGGTCGAAGGGGACCCCGGCCTTGGATGGCGATTTCATGGCGCTGATGGCGGTGATTTCATGGTGAATTTCATCTTGAATTAATGGAATTTATGGTGATAAATTAATGGTAAATTAATGGTGAATTTATGGTGACTTCATGGAATTTATGGTGGTTTATGATGAATTTATGGTGATTTTTTCAGGTGATTTTTTCAGGTGAATTACTGGAATCTATATGGTGTTCATTTCATGGAATCTATGGTGAATTCATGGTCAAAAACGTGACCGACCTTTTACGGTCAGGATGATATGGGACGATGAATTTGGTGCCCGATGAGTTCCATATGTGAGGCCCCCCAGTTACCCCAGTAACTCGTTCGTTATTTGCGTACCATAAACCATAGTGAAATTGGAGTTATTGGCACCAATAGTTATTGGAGTTATAAACCAACTTAGCTATCTTGGGGGCCTCACATTGTATCTTTGTGGCTCTTGGTCAAGGTGCACAAGTGAACAAGTGGGATACGCAGCAAAATTCATGAGGTTGGTGCCGGCCAATGTATGGATTAGGTATGGATTTAAAAGATCATCAACTGGAAACGGTGGTAGTTTTCACTATTACATTGGGATTGCAGGTTCTCGAATCTTTCAATTATTATGCGAGTAGTGACTTGGAGCCAACCGTTTAACCCCCTGAAACATGTGCAAGTCGTTGAGGAATCTGTTTTGCTGCTTAAACATATGAGTTTGTCTGAAAATCATACGAACCCCCTATTCATCTATTCTATTCACTGGTTGATCATGTTGATCGTTTATCATGTTCTTCCTCCATAAATTCCCCACAAATTCAACCCCCAGGGCCCCAGCCAAAGCGTAAAAGGTGCTCCGCGCATTGGGGCCAACCACGTGCTGAGCGCCGGGATATGGATTTTTCACAATGATGCAAATGCGAGGGTGGAGATGTTCAATTTTTTGAATAGCAAAATACGGATTGAGCAACACCTTTTTAATAACAAATTGGGTCAAAAGTGGATAGATCAATATAGATTCTATAGATCCTACAGTACCTTGACAAATGTGTGTAATTCTGTGTGCGTACGCATTCAAAGATACAGCTAGCTGTTCATACAGGCGTGGCCTAGCCGAAGTTTGGATGGCCAAGCAATCACATGTCCATTTTGATAGTCAAATTTGTGGTTCTATTAAAATTAACTACCTAGATCTACGTAGCATTTATGGCTTGGCTTTGATAGTTAAATAGATTGGTTTTGATTAGTTAAAATTTACCCACAGATTTACTTCACCTCCTCTATTCCTCAATCGCACAATCGATGCTCCACCCATCCAGAAGGGAATGAGCATAATCAAATCATGACCCCCAAAAAAACTTCCACAATCCACTATTAATGACTTAACTTTCCTCCACAAACCATTCAAAAACCATAGCAATTCTGCAATCAACCAGGTCTTTGTTGGGATCTTTTTCTGGTCCCCGAGCTCAGCGCTCGGCTCAGCTAAGGCTCCGCGCCAAGCGTCCGGCTTTGAATTCGAAGTCCTGCGTCACGTCGCATTCCTTGCCCACCTAACCACGACGCGACGGACGTGGTGAGATGTGATTTCAGCACTTAGAAGTGGTGTATAATGAGGGTACAACATGGATCAACATGATCCTTAAGTCTTTAGAAGTGGAGTTCCGAAAGTAGAACATGGCTTGGAAATGGATTTTTGAACCTGTTCGAACCCAACTATACTTACCATTCACTTCGTGTCGCATTCACGTAGGAATTCCGAGCCGGTGGAGCCTTTAAAGGGGACACCATAGGGGACCCAGTAGCTTGACTCATCCACACGTGTACCCGGTAGGGTAGTTGGACCAACGTATTTTGACATATATGTGGACTGTTGCCCGATATCACCAGCTAGAACCAGCTATGCAAGCAGTGATATCCAGATATTCTAACCATGCTTTTTATCCATCTTGGTTAGCTTATACATCTGGATATAACCATAGTATATCTTTTATATCCAGATATACTATATGGTTAGCTAACCATGCTATCTTTCCATACTTGCTACGGCCGGGCTGACGGTTCCGGCATTGCCGATGCAGTAGCACACGATGAACCTCGGCAGAAACGGGACACCAGCTTCGAACCATCCTTGTAAATCCGGAAATTGTCAAACCACAGGTTGCTGTTGGTTATACAGATCTATAGGCTAAATGGATGGATGGATATGTATATATTGTATAATGTAATATATAATATGGTGACTTCTGTAATCTTCTATAATGTTCTATTATAGTAAGATGGGGCATGATGGGGTTGACCATCTTCTAACCACCCTCTCAACTGAGGAAATGGCATCCCGGTCCCCGCCGTTTTTTTTTTCCGCCCTTTCCACCACCACCATCCGTCAGAACAGGCCAGCGGCCAAGGCGAGCTTGACCATGTGGCGACAGTTCACATGACCCGATGGCGGAACTGTAAGAAATGGCGTTCGGTGTCTCTGCCAGTTCTGAAATCCTCAGATGTAGAGAGAAGGCACCAGAATCAAACCGAAAACAGCTCTGCAGTAGACATCAAAACCCCAAATACATAACAAATTGAATGTAGAAAGTCAAAGACAGAAGTGACAGAAGTCTTGAGAAATCAACTAGCATCTGGTGAAACAACTTCAATGCCAACTGCCATTGTCTTCCCTTGCAGCAGGCTCCCAAGGCCGCGTTGAAACTGATCACGTCGACGTCGACGTCGCTTCGTTTCCGGTGTCGGCGTCGATCCCCGAAGATCCGCAGCGTCTGTTGCCACGCCGAGGATTTTTCGGTGGCGCTCAGCAGGGCGTTGAAGCTCACCACGTTGGGATGGAGCAACTGCATCGCATGAAACAGATGGAGAGCCAGTTGCCATTGCAGTCCTGGGGAAAACGTTTTTTTTTTTAAGTTGGATGAAGATGGGAAATGCTACTGTTAATTTGATGGTCAAATCTGGGCAGCTGTTGCTAAAGCCAACTATCATCGGATGGATACATGGGATCCATGGAATTCCTCGACGTTTCACTCTTGAAGAGACTTACCCGGCCTGGTAAACGGGCTAACATAACCATGGAAAATCACCATTTTTAGTGGGTAAATCCACTATTTCGACTGAGCCATTTTCAATAGCAAACTGTAACAAATTACCAGAGGGTAGCCAGGATGTTTTTGTTGCAATTAAAATATTCCACTTTTTTAAGAGGTTTGGAATGGTTTGGAGGCTTTTACAAGAACAAACAAGGTCCTTTTTCACAAGAACTGATGGCGGCATTGTAGCTGATGTGATTTGGAGCGATCTGAATTCGACTCATCTCATGAAAAAGGTACAAGGCTGCTGCCCATTGCAAGCCTTTTTCACAAGAACTGATGATGGCACCAAAAGTCACAACCTGGTTGCTGGCTTCAATCTCCCTGAAAGACGTAAGACAAAGATCTTGGATAAAGTGTATAGCTTTTGTTTGGAGGGAGGAAACTAAAGAAAAACCACGTGGACGTGGGTCAAATTGGGGCAATGGACCTACACAAGTTGTGCATACTATTAAAATCAAAAGATACTCTTGAAGTATAGTAAACCAGCCGTTTCAGGGCTGACAACTTTGACCCATGCCCATGCTGAATCACATATCTTCCAGCATTCGGCATCACCTCTGCAGCCTTCATCTCTTGGAAGACATCCAAGGCCACCTCCCACTGGAAGGCCTTCTCGCAGGAACTGATCAGGGCACTATAGGTGACGACGTTGGGGACATGGAAAGCACGCCTCGTTGAGCCAAGGGATCGAAGAAAATCAAATCCAGCAAAACAACAACGAACATCATCTTCTATGATCTCATGATTTTTGTATTTTATAAACTGGGATGTACCTGGATATCTCCTGTTTATATGTTTTACGATGATCTCATGATTGTGGATAGACCATTTCTGTCAAAAAAACATATAAACCAACTAGCAGCATTTCATCGAAGAAGTGCAGAGCCGTCTGCCATTGCATGCCCTTCTCACAAGCACTGATCACAGAATTGTAGCACACCACATCTGGAGTGATCACGTCCGAAAGCATGTCTTGAAAGAGCTGCAATGCCAGATGCCACCGATGTCCGGACTTCTCGCAGGAACTGATGGTGGAGCTATAACTGATGAGATTTGGATCCAAAAAACGGTCGTCAATTTGATGAAGAACGGCTAAAGCCATGTCCCATTGCGAGGATTTCTCGCAGGAATTGATCATGGCATTGAACGTGATCACATCTTCCTTCAGCAAATTCTTCCTCATATCACTACAGAGTTGGATGGCCAACTGCCAGTTGGAACCCTGCGCACATGCCGCCATGGCGGCATTGTAGCTGGAGCTCCGAGGCGTTCTCCGCATGACCTGCATCTCCCGAAAGAGTTCTAGAGCCATCTCCCACTGCTGACCGCGTTCCAACGCAGTCATACCTGGTGGTATATGACTAACCCTGCCACAGAGTCTGAAAGTCAACGGACAATCTCCCAGCATATCACCATTCAGATGAAAAATGCCAAGGAAATCATGAATCAGTTAGGCCATACATACTCAGAAACATGTTCGGTGACTTCGTTGCCCCTCATCATTTGCCACCTTTGAATATCACCAAATATTCTCATCCCACATGGCTTCCGCGAAGAAAACAAAAACAGATAGGATAGGGGTCCACTTAAGTCACTTAAGGATGGACAATCAAAACCGAAAGCCAAAACTAAAACATTGACATTACTGCTGCTTGGTGGTTGACCTACCCCTCTGAAAAATATGAGTTCGTCAGTTGGGATTGTTATCCCAATACAATCAATACATGGAATAATAAAAATACTTCCAAACCACCAACCAGTACTGGCATTACCAGATGCAGGTGTTGTAGCTGATGACATCAGCATCACCGTAGTCCCTCCAGATTTCCAATGCCATCTGCCACTGGGATCCTCTGCTACAAGCAGACCTAGGGAGTTCAGGGCCACCGTTGAAAGTTGGCCCTAGATGGCCATAACATTTTTGTGTTTGTTGGCGACAACTGGCTATATATCCATATGGTTTGATAATGCTTGATATTTGGGCGTCGATTTATCCATGTAGACCCCAATAAATAACCCCAAGAGGTCTTGATTGCTAGAAAATAAAACGTTTTTTTCGGGCCACTTAGACTTAAAGCCCAGAAAGTGCCTTCCACAACTTCACAGCCACGTTGCGGATGGGACACCCAGATTCCACAGAGACACAGTTTCGTTAGTGGAACTCATCAGTTGATCAAAATATATTTTTCGAAAACATATTGCCAGTTCAATCAGTTCAATCAGTTCGATCCTCTTTTTTTCGGTTGAACTTACTGGTTGGTGGTGCAATAACCATCTTGAAAAATATGCTCGTCAGTTGGGATGATGTTTATTCCCAATATATGGAAAAATAAAACATGTTCCAAACCACCAATCAGATTTTATGATATTTTATGATACTATTGGTAACTAATAGTTATGATACTATCATACTATATTTTACTTCTATAATAACCAACCAGATAATAATGGCTTATCATGTGTTGGTCCACCCACCCATTTCCCTTTGGTCGCCAGGTACATGGCGGCGCTGCAGCTCCGCTCGTTGCACCCCAACTTCTCTGCGTCGAAGATCGCCAGCGCCCGTTGCCACTGGGAGGATTTGTCGAAGGCGGCCATGGCTGCGGTGTAGGTGACAACGTTGGGAAGCAACAACCTGAAGTGAGGGCCGGGTGGTATGAATAACATGGTACCCATGACGGATCCATGGTGCTGGTATATATGCTAACATTTGGGGTATATTGATGGTAAATGTTACCATATATAGCATACATGGATCCTATGGGGTATAAACTGTAAAACTATCTATGGGGATGTTTCATCAAATGTTTCATCAAAATCAAATCTTCAGGCTTTTCGGTTTTCACTGAAAAGCCAGGGCTTTTGTGTGTCATGAGCGCAGAAAAGAAGGAATCATGGGTTGTGAAAGCAGGGGCCACCAAAAGCGCCAATGTTCACCTAATCATCCAACCTGGCATAGGACAATTACAAAGGACAAGAACAGTGGTGTTTACACAATTTCATGGTTTTGAAGGTTGACATGTGTGATAACATCATGGATATTAACAAATCCTTCAAAGAACTTTACACCCCTGGAAGTATATATAACATGCCGTTGGGTCTGACTCGTTACCCAACCTGGCTATGTCGACTGGGGTCTGATCGTCTCGGAAAGGTCTTTGAAGCTGTAGGGATTTGTAGGGACTATTGGTTGAGCGTTAACCGTTGATATATAGGTCATGCTGTATCAAGTTGTATCTTGTCTCCCTTTGCTTCTTGGTTATATCGCCACACGTTCCCATGGTCCACTTGGCCTGCTCTCCAGCGCTTCAGTCAACTGCAGGGCGATCTGCCAGCTGCCACCATTGCCACAGGAAGTCATCAAACTGCTGAAGGTGATGACGTTGGGCTCAATGCCTGGCTTTACACGCCAAAACGCTGAGTCTTCGCCCCAAAAAAAACATGGAAACCCGAAACATGGGGGCCATGAAAATGAGCTTCCTACTGGACATGAAGATCAGGTTTGCATCCTTCGATAGTTTATGTTGGTGTGTTCAATGTTTTCTTAAGCAAGTAATTACACAACCTATCCACCATTCTCAGCTAAGTCGATGAGAAACCTGATGATATCCTGTCAAGTTGAGATAACCACCAATTCATGTTGGGATTAGATGATTTCAAACATACAATTGCTTAGAAGATTCCAGCAAGTACATGCCTAGTACATCCTAGTACTATAGTGTACTCAGATTCAGCTCTTACAACTGGGATATTTCTTGTGGTTTATCCCCACATCCACCAATCATCCACCAATCATCCACCAATCCGATCCAATCCAGCGACGGTCAGTTTCCATGCAATCGAAAAGGTGAACGGCCATTTGCCACTCGCAGGAGCTGATTGCAGCGTTGTAGCTGATGACGTTGGGAGTCACTGCATGACCTGCCATGCATGTGCTGTTGGACTTGCAGTTGGTAGGATTTGAAAACTGTCCTGTTTTTCTGGGTTTCCATGCGTTTCCGCATGCAAAGTCTTGATTGGTGTGTAATCCAGTATAATCCCAGGTCCAAGTACAATAACACTGCATTCGCTTGCACACCTACAAGCAACAATAGCACATTCAATTTTAGGCCAAATGTCTTGTTCAAAATATCAAACCAAGTTGGTCGAATTTGGATTTGTCAATCTTGGATACTCTTGGTACCTAAGATCAAGGGAAGTTTAAGAAATGGCGGAACGTCAGTCTTACCAAATGACTGCAATGTGAGGCCCCCAAGATAGCTAAGTTGGTTTATAACTCCAATAACTATGGTTTATGGTACTTATAACTAGAGTTACTGGGGCTTATAAACCAACTTAGCAATTTGGGTGACAAAAAAACATTTCACCAGCTCACCTTGATGAAACGGTCCAGCTTTGAGAGTTTTCCATTCAGATGCCACTAATCTTCTTTACCCTGCACCAAAAACGCTAGTTTTTGCAGCTTCTCCAATGTTCTTACCCCAGTCATGGCACGAGACAAGTCATATCTTGAACCTAGATGTTCAAGGTTTCAAGCTTAGAATGCCCCAAATCGATACGTCAATAACAAGTCATTTCGGGATGTTACAAAGATTTATGTTTTTACCTAATGACTCATATATTTTGAAATACAAAAAAATGAATGTCACTTGATCTCTCCCTGCCATCTCCTGCCATCTCTCCAACATGTTAGCACCAAGGCTTGGCGCATTTCATCGCACCCGGCCCCACCTGCCATCTCCTCCATACATTGCAACGCCAGCCACTGAGCTTTGCCACACGTGATGAGCGATGTGAAGGTGACCACCGTGGGAGTCACAGACAGGAGCAGCATTTCGTGGAAGAAATGTAGGGCCACCTGAAAACAACACATTTAAATCAATCAATCAATCAAATAATCAGACTAATCAACCTGTCAACATATAATTCAACATGCAAGCAACATGTAATCACCATTAACACCATTAACCAACTATATACGACGATAGCGGCTATACCCACCCACCTGAGCATCACTGGCCCCCCATCCCTTCCCCACCTGCCATTCCACGCCGCATCCGATCAACGCGTTGTAGCTGACGACGTTGCGCCGCACCGCGGCGCAACCCATGGCCTCGAAGCACAGCAGCGCCGAAGGCCATTGCGACCGGCGTCCGTGGCCAACGATGGCGCGGGTGAAGTCGGCCATGGCGAGGCGCCATGGCAGGTGGATTTCGGGGAGCAAAACCACAAAATGTGGCTGGAGAAAAAAAAAAACATGGAATAACATGGATACCAACTGCGAATCCAAAAGAACATATTTGGGGATGGGTCAAAACCCTGGTACCTAGTGAACCCCAAAATAGCTGGTAAATGGATGTTCATCCCACTAAAAATGGTATTAATAGGTATTGATCCATACCCATTTGAATGTGTGTGAGAATGTTGATATTTGTTTGTGAGCGATATGTACCTCCTGGATCTTGATGATTATGAGAAAGTTCCGCTTGGTTGAATCAGAACGGAAGTAAATCTCCTGGTTGCCAGGTAGATACAAAGACGGAAACCTCAAACAACAAGCCATAACTAGCCATCGCTAGCCTAAGTCAACTTACATGGGTGTGTCTGAAAATAGGGTACCCCTTCTTTTCCACAGGTTAATCATCATTTTCCCATTAAATGATATTAAATGAACATAAATGAGCTATTTGTGGGTATCCCCTATTTTCGGACCAAGCCACATCAATGATTGCACTCAGCCCCTGACTGTCCAACAGCTGGCAAACTGATACGGCCCAGATTGAAGTTCCTGACGAAGGGCAATATTGGTCACCTCCTGGATAGGGGGACTTTGAAGTGAAGCAATTGGGACATGTCACCGAAAGAAAAGTGGAATCACATCAAAAACATGTGGAAATTCATGGAAATTCAGCAAGAGAAATGATGAAATGCTGGTTTTCAAGCAACAAAACGGAACCTCACAAGACACTAATAGGAAATTCATAAGCAGCTCAACTCAACCGATCCATGAGTCCCATCCCTAATAAAAACCTCCCACCAGGAGTTAACTGGCCCATTAACCGAACTGCAACCGAACCTCAACTCCATCGAAAAATGTGAAAAAAAAAGATTTAGATGGAGTTGAGGTTCGATGGAGTCAATATGCATTTCTATGCATTTCTGATTGTCAACATGTATACCGTGGACATTTTCCCGTGGACATAGCGTGGAGGTATACCTCTGTTCGTCACGAAAAGTAGGACTGGGCTCACCCCTGGGGCTCCCCAACTTGTTGAGGAATAGTCGGCTCCATTCTGCCAGGTTATGCACCTGCACGTTGGCACTAGTGGAACCTCAGATGTTGATAGTAAAAATCACATTTTTTCCCCATCAAAACATGTTTTTTTAAGGCTACACCACATTCAACAACAACAAACCGAAACATCATATTGATTAGGGATTTTTTTCCAGTACATCCCATATTATCCTTGGGTTTTTCCATATAATATAGATCCTAGTATATCCCATTAATTACTGGTTGGTGGTTTCAACCATCTTGAAAAATGATGGAGTTCGTCAGATTGGGAAGGATGATAAGGATGACATCTCCCATATATGAAATGGAACATAAAATTCCATGGTTTGAAACCACCATCCCATATTCTCCATGGCTTTTCGGAATTCAGCCATCATCCAACGTCGACGTTGCATCGCCTGAGGAAACTGATCTTCCAGGCGATCTTGGCCGCAGACCACAGCACTGGTGAAGTAATCCCTCGAAAAGGCGATGTGGTCCTGGAACACAAAATCGGATCTGATCCTTTCATGGTGAAATATCGGTGAAATATAGGTGACATATAGAAATATAGGGTAAATATAGGGTAAATATAGGGTAAATATAGACTATATTGCTTATTAACCTTAAAATTTAAGCTATATGACGGGAAAGATCGAAATTAATTCCATGATTCTGATGGTTTTTGCTTTGGCGCATCGCCGCAAAAAAGCCAGGATTTGCTTAGCCAAAACATTGTTTTGTTGTGAAAACGTTGTTGGGAAAGAATCCGAAAACAGACGTGGTATAATGTGACCAAGTCTGGTGCTGTTGAATTTTCGGTTCCACAGCTTTGACCGATGAAAGCACAATAAATGAGGACCAAGGTTCGAGAACCTTTGAACTGTCAGGTTTTTGTTCAAGTTCAATACATACTTGGAGTATTATCTGGAGTATCAATGAACAAGTGTCATATTACCCCACAATTGAAGGATCGAACATGAATATACAATCTATATCCATATATATATAATATACACTATTATATATATATATACATTTAATACTCACCTTACATGGTAAATATGGTAAATGTCCCAACTTTTCTTTCGTCAAATCATCTAAGATCAGCCGGTCCTTCTCCGAGAAGCCGTTGCCGTTGACGTTCAGCACACATTCCAAGCCGTTGGTGCAGTAGAATTGCTGAGCGATGCCGGTGAAGGCAGGGGAGGATGTGGAAAATGTGCGGCAATTCATGATTTTCATGATGACAATTATGGGGACAACGATGTTTAATGAATGTTTTAATGATGTTAAATGATGTGAGGGTTTCCATAGTCATGGGCGTACCACAAAAATCGCTGGATGGTTTATTTCATGGTTTCATGGTTTCCATCCTCAACGGATGATGGTAACATCCCATCATATTCCCATGTTCCCTATGCCATGTTACCCGCTACACGGATTGTGCTGGAACCAGGATCATAAGATCCCATTGGTGTTTAATCTGAAGCTCACCTGACCTATGTGAATTTCAGGATCTGCCTTCATAAGCTGAGAGGGCGCCCATAGGAAATCCATGTTGTAAATTGCCAAAATGATTCACCCGGAAACAGGAGGCCTTGTTTTTTTTCATTGGATGACGGCATTTCCGGGTCCGACACTATACCCTCACTTCATATATTGACCGTTTTTGTAAAATCTTCCCACTTCTGTTACAACCCATGTTGCTCACTATGCTCAGATGGCAATGTGCCAGTACCTTGGTACCTTGCTGTTCACATCCTGCCACGTCATGGTCATCATGTTGGGATGTGCTCACAACAGCACCCTTTTTTTTGGGTGATTTTAGTGTTGGAACCATAACCAAATGGCCACGTCATGAATGGTATTCCTTGCAATTCCCACGTTTTTTTTGCAAAAAAAATCACACCATAGAAGTTTTGTTTTTTTTCGCCTTTCGCACACGAAAAATCCCAGGGATTCCAACATCAAGCAGAACGAACCTTCCATCATCCCCCATCGGCACCTGCGTTTGTGGCTGAGGTCCCAGGGAGCCAAAAATCACGCGCACGCGCTTGTTGCCGCGATCCTGGAGATCTCTGCGATGAATCCGTGTTGGGATCTCCGATGGGATCGATGAATCACCAAGTATCGATAGATATCGATAGTGTGCTGATGGTGTACTGATGGTTTACTGTGGGATAGATTGCATTCATGATAGATCTGATGAAAAACTAGAAGTATTCTATTCCCTTCAAATTCTGTTGGGGATCCAACTATTCAAATCCTATACTCTTGTGTTGAACATCCTGGGATATTCCAACTATTCAACTGAAAAACTAGTTGCTTAATCCAACTCTGGGATGATCCAACTTCGATCAAGGTCAGGCGCCGGACCGTTGGGCCCAATCTGTCGTGGATCCCAAGATGTGAAATCAATCTGTCACCTCTGATCTTAGCCTCTGGATCACAAGCATAGAATAATTTTTAAACAATGGTTGTTTCCATTGGTTAAATGGTTAAATGTTATTGGATGTTATTGGCTTTCCATAGAATTTCATTAAACACACCCACCTAAATGTCTACACATGTCCCTTCCACTGGTAAATGGTTGGTTTCCCTGTGGATTTTTTCGTCCATTCCCCATTGGTTTTGGCGCCACCGCGGATCGATCGAACTGATCGTTGCGGCAGTCCCCAAAGAAGAGGTTGCGCGTGATCTCGCTGGCGGCCATTTGGGATGGCTCATCCTTGCCGCTGGACATTTACCCGGCCTGGTAAACGTATACAAAAAACGAACTGGAAAATCACCATGTTTCATGGGAAACTCACTATGTCTATGGCCATTTCCAATAGCTTTTTGTATGTTTACCAGGCCGGGTAATGGAAAAACCCGTCTTCTCGGCCGCGGAACTCGGTTTCCGATCAAAGCCATGGATTTATGATGGTTTTAATGGTAATTCAATGGATCTTGGCCTTGATCTACCGATGTATGACATAGCTCACTTCCATTTGAAACCCGGTAGATGGATGTCAGTTTTAAAAGAAAATGAGTCAAAAGAAATAGAGACAACCGTTTCCATCCTTTTGGGAAGAATTGGAGAAAGTGTAGGAACCCATTGTTTTTTTTGTTTAACACACCCATCTTTCTAAACCATGGAAATTTCGGAGCATCTACCAGGCCACTCTTTGCAAAACCGAGGTCGGGATGTTGTCATGGTGAGTTCTACGATGGAAGCTGAGACCCAATGGTTGGGGGATGGAGGGTTTTTTGAACAACGGATTACAGTATCGCAACCCCAAGATATTGTGTAGTGCAACCCCAATTAATAAAGCCTACAGTATATTCATCCATCAACTGAGTTTTAAAAACTGACTAGGCTTTAGTTTGCCATGAATTTTACCAGTACCAGTTGATATTACATTCAATGACTACCCTCCGGCAATCAAACATGGCAATGGACAATTCTGCATTGATGGGGGATTTTCCAGCCACGGCAATGATGATGACACCAGAGGGTACATATTTTTTAGTTCTGTTCTTTGCATCATTTTGCATCATTTCGAATTCATTTTGCATCAAAAAACCCCTCATATCCCATGAACTCCCATGAAAAATCCCATGAAAAATACCATGAATTCCCATGGAATTCCCATGAAACATCCCATGAAAAGATCTCCGTTATCATCATTTACTCGGAACATTTGCAGAACATCAATTCTCCACGTCTTCGCATCATTTTCCCAGGGAATTCCCATTATTCCAAGGAACCATGGCAGTCAGCCAACTCGCCAGACGATCACCTGGGACTGGGAAACACCGGAAAAAATAGGGGGGTTTATGGTGGGTTTATGGGCCTGGAAAAAACATGGACGAAGAAAATTGTTAGGTTTATAAAAGCGCCTTTCAAAAAACGATGGCCAATTTACGGGAAGGCCAATTTTTGATATGTTGGAAACACAACTGTCTGTTTTGTTCGCAGCATATTTTTCTCATGATCCAATCCTGAAATCGTAATATGGATTTCACTAGCAAACCTGGTGTATCCCTTTTTGTGAACCAAAGTTATGACCAATGATTTTTTTGGGGACCACTTAGTGCGAAAATGTTACTTGGTGTTAATGGAATGATAACTTTGTCATTGTTCATCTATGAGTACCAAGAATGAACAACAGGATGGGCAAAGCCTAATGAGCGATAACCCCTACAGTATTTCTTTTGGTTTAGTATGGTTTAGTGATATGTACATCATTCTAAAATTCTTCACAAAACATGTTGCACATGTCATCCAAGTGGTAGTTTTTCCCTACTCAAACCGGAAATCACCGATAGGATGGTCACGTCACCATCTTGGAGCTTCGCTTCCCATGGCTGCCGTGCAGATCACTTGGCGACGACATCCCCATGGAAAAATGTTCGACTGAAATAGTTAAATGATGTTAAATGATGATAAGAATAATTCAATCTGGTTGGTGGTGCAATGTATAACCATCTTGAAAAATGATGGAGTCTTTTAGTCAGATGGGGTTGGGATGACATCCCATATATGAAATAGGAAAATAAAATTCATGTTCCAAACCAACAACCAGAAACATACCGTAGTACCTCTAATTTCCCATGAAAATGATGCATCCTCGGATGTTCATTGCTGAAATCCCACATTTTTCGGCACCACTGCCGGGCGCCTCAAGGGCGAGCCAGCACCACCTGGGCCACCCGGCCAAAGAACCCCGCGCGCGGCTTCTCTGCAGCTTCTCCAGTCTGGCGTGGAAAAAACTCCGGAACTTGGCAAAACCCGTGGATTTTCGACGTGTTCGAATGGTTAAATCGTCAACATGGTTGAATGAGTAAATGGAGCAATCAAAAACCCTTGGATTCCGTTGATTGTTTGGGTTCCCCAAAAAATAGTGATAATTTTCAAGTGATATGAACACATGTCACCCGGGTATCCTCCATTTCGCATGGATACATAAAGAACATTGAAGAAACATGTGTAAATGTGGTAAACCCAGTCATACACCAAGTTGACCAGAAACAGGTTGCACAAACTATCCCCAATTGGAGGCTTATTGCATTGGGCTTGCCACATAAATCCAGACTATCTTGGGGGATGCTCAACTAGACATATCTAGACATGATGTTTAACTTTGATCCATGCCCAAATCATTTAAGAAAACACTATATGTACGGTTGTATTCAAACCTGGCTCTTTCCAACTGGATGTGTTATGTTCCCACGAGGTTGCTGTCCATTACAACTGGAGTGGTCCCGAAGTCCCCACAGGGCCCCATGTGGGGCCCCACAGGGTGCCTCAGTTGTGAGGGCTTGGCCGGCGATGATGTAGAAGTTGCCAATCCTGAGTGGAATGGGACTCTGATTCTGACACGACGTCTCCGATGAAAATGCTATTTAATGGTAAAAGAAATCACCGAAACTGTGCTTTGAAAGTGGGCTTTGAAATCAACCATATTGCTTTGAAAAAAAACTACAAAGTGGGCTTTTTGCTGGTTGTTTTTGGTGGGTTTAGCTTCACCAATTCAAGCCCAGCTTTGCCCACAATAAATCCTATTCTATTCTATGTACTTAAAAAAAACATATAAACCATAACTTACCACCCTTGGGGGTCCCGCATTGTACCTCCATGTGGGGAGTCTCTGGTCGATCATCACCTCTAGGGCAATGACAAATCCTTGGCATGTTCCTTGATGATGCGATAGACCTCGGACCAGCCATGTTGAGTACAACTGTTCTCATTACCAAAACGCATCCTTTTTTGTGGGAAGCTAACGAAAAACATTCGAAGCGTTGGAAATCAATGACTGGTTGGTGGTTTAATGGGAAGGATGACATCCCATAGATGAAATGAACAATAAAACATGTTTGAAACCACCAATTAAAGAAATGACACTAATGAAACCAAAGACAGACAAAATTTTCTGAAGCTCTGATTCTTTTTTTTTTCGATGGCTTTCTTCAACACGCATCTCTTCACCCGGGGCGCCCGGACGCTGTTGGCTGTGAGCCCACCGCGTCCCTTTTCGCAGAGGGTGGACCAGCCGTTGAAGCGGTACCAGTTGTCCGCGTCGATGGCACTGGCGCAAACCTGAAAGCTCCACGATGTTCAGAGGCTATGCCATGACGGATCCATGGTGCTGCTATATTAATGCTAACAAAAATTGGGTATATTGATGGATATTGATGGGATCCATGTTAGCATATATACCGTATGGATCCAAGTACCTTCTTAGGAAGTGTTTGGGGTATAATTTACTATCATTTGGAGAGTTAAGTACCTTCTCAGACAGTGTTTGGATCCATAGGGATAGATTATATAGCATCGTATATTGATGGAATTTGATGGATATTGATGGATTCCATGGCACACCATATATAGATATGTTATAGCAGCACCGTTAGGATCCGTCATGGGGCTGATGTAAAATGAAATCCGTTTTAGCATATTCCGTCTGCATCTTCCGAGGGCATGGTTCCGATTTCCTGTAGGTCACAATGCCCTTTTAAAAAGGAATTATAGTAAGACATATAGTAAGACATAGTAAGACTATGGAAGAATTATAACTTGTATAGGCCAACAACTATCATGATCATTCTGGATATTTCTGGTGGATATTCCAATTTCTTGCAGCTGGAAAACCAAAAAACGTGGTTGATAACCTCATGTTTTTGTCATGCCCTGGCGGAACAGCAGTTGTGAGGACTTTGGAGATCCCTAAAAGTAGCTACTATCAGCTCCGAAACAATCTAATTTACTTGGTTACAATCTGCTATCCATCATCATCCATCTTGTAATATCTTGCAGTTCTATATATGTGTGAATATGTTTTAAATGCATTTTTGGTACACCAAAAGTATATCAGTTGAAACCAATGAGTAGAATTCGTCAAATCCCACACCTCACTGAGCAACCGAACACCACCGCAGCGGACCGCAAAGACCTCCCATCCCTGAACGGCCAGACGACCAGAACGGGATTCTCCTTCGGTAGTTTCAAGGGTCAATAAATGACCAAAACATACCAAAACAATGACTGGTTGGTGGTTAATGATGATGGTTATTATAATATGGTTAATGATGGTTAATCATAATCTGGTTGGTGGTTGACCTACCCATCTGAAAAATATATGCGAAAGTCAGTTGGGATGATGACATTCCCAACTGAATGGAAAAATAAAACATGTTCCAAACCACCAAGATTTTCGTTGAAGCGAACGAACCAAGCAAGAATCAGAAACCAAGTCAAATATTCAAATCAAGTGCGAGGAAGCAGAATTGGAGAGCCAATTGGTGCTTTTTATTTGCCTGGACCTTCGAAATGTTTCGAATACTTCCTCCAAATGGCGGTTGGCCAGTGAGGGGGTCAGTTGATTCATCACTACCCTCTGGTAATTTAACATAGCTATTGAACATGGCCATTTATAGTGAGTTTTCCCATTAAAAATTGTGATTTTCCATAGTTATGTAAACGTTTACCTGGTGAACATCAAAATAGCTGGTAAATGGATGTTCATCCCACTAAAAATGGTATTAATAGGTATTGATCCATAGCCAAATCACCAAACTCCTAACGTTTCGAAACCGCCTGGCACAGCCCGACACACCATCGGCCTTCCGTATGGTGGCACGTGCACAGCGGGCAACCGCCTCGCGGCGAAGCGGTGAGTTTGACCCGTTTCTTTGGGATTTTGACCTCAATTCACACCGGGAAGTTCATGTATGGAACATGAACTCATACATTAAACATTAAATGTTAAAGATTATAGGTGTTAACTAATTATAAATATCAACATTAAACATTATGTTAAACATCCCTTTCTGGATCTAGTTGATATTCATCCAGCCGGTCGTATTCATCCAGCCGGTCGGGTCTTGATCATCTTGATCACTTCTCAAATGGTCAACAAACATGAAAACACGTTGACTGGTTGGTGGTTTCAATCAACCCCTCTGAAAAATCATGGAGTGAGTTCGTCAGTTGGGATGATTTTCCATTCCCAACTGAATGGAAAGCCATAATCCATTCATGTTCCAGTCGCCACCAACCAGTTATTTTTGAACTTTTTTAAATACATTGAAATGTCTATTTTTAATGTTGAAAGACATGCGACATTCGACATGCTATGTTTGGACATCTGTTGAACAGCAAGAGATGCTGAGATATCCATGATATTCATCGACCACAATGATGTGCCCCTAGCAATAGGAAATTGGATACCCTCTGGTAAACATCAGAAATCGTGAGTTTACCCATTGAAAATGGTGGATCTTTCCAGTTCGTTATGTAAACGTTTACCATAGGGTAATAGCTATAGCATCCAGGCGGATCGGGGTGCCAGCAATCTCCAAGGTCCCAGTCGTGAAGAGGTCATGTCTGAAGGATGGGTCAGAGGCTATTTCCCACAATTAGGATCCATGGTGCTGCTATATTAATGCTAACAAACATGGGGTATATTGATGGGATCCATGGCACACCATATATAGATTATATAGCAGCACCATCAATCCATCCTATGGGTTTCGAACAGCGACCCCACATTTCGGCCAAGTGGCATCTGCAACATCTAAGACTTCATCACCTGAACATCGAACAGAGATCAACTGCTTAAGGTGGATAAGACACCCCTGGATATTTGTTGTTTTATTTCTACGGTGGATAAGACAATATAAAACATAATATACATAATATAAAACATATACCACAGAAATGGGAGAATGATCCTCGGTGACCAATATGTCAAAAACATCCCAAACTTGACACGTGCCCTGCCGTCATTTCTTTACAAATCGGCCTATTGGGATGAAGCCAATGAAAAGCCTATGGTTTTTCACCAGTTACTCGGTATTCTACGTATGGTGTTTATCACCTGGAAATCTGGGTACTATCCTGAGATATCCTGATTCTTGGTAGCTTCATCCAAGTCTCAACAGGTTAGCTGTGTGCAACTCCTGATTTTTGCTGAAAAACTTAGGTGAGTGGTTAGACACAAGGTTTACCCTCCTGTAAAGGTTTACATAGATGTGGACAACCCATTACCCATAGGATCCATGGTGCTGGTATATATGCTAACATTTGGGGTATATTGATGGTAAGTGTTAGCATATATACCAGCACCATGGATCCTATGGGTTATGAATGTAGGTAATTTTCTTAAGGGAACAATTGGTTTTCCACATCACTGAGCAGCCGCACGACAAACCTGTGCTGGTACGAGGCCTGCCTGTAGGCTGCGGCTGCAGAAATCCGCAAAGGCTCGAGAAACTTTTGCATTTCTGCGAGGTATGAGGAGTTTATCCAACAAACACTGTGATTTATATAGTATATATAGTTTATGTGTATATATATAGATAATATATGATAATATCCCATTCTAATGATATACTAGCCAGTACTACCCAGTTCTACTATACCCCAAGTACTAATCTTACTTGTGCTTAGTAGGGACTGAGGGAATGATCCATGTGAACAACAACTATCAATAATCATCCCAGCAATTTCCACTCCCATCCATTCCCCACGTTTAGCACCAGTAATATTAGTTACCCTCCGGTAATTTAACATAGCTATTGAAAATGGCCCAGTCGAAATAGTTGATTTTACCCATGAATCATGGTGATTTTCCACAGTTTTTTTATGTTTACCAGAGGGTAATTCCCATCTCAAAACCCATCAAGCTGGCCTCCAAGTCCCCTTCCAAGCTGGGGATCAAGGTGCTTTCACCTTCGATCGTCACCTCCTAGGGCTGGATGGAGCCCAAAAATCAACGGCCAAAGCTTAGGTACAAAATAACGGCAAGCTGCTGAAATAATGGGATTCTAATGGGATTTCCATGGTTAATAATAGTCAATAATGGCTTTTAATGATGGTTATTGATGGTTGATTATCTGGTTGGTGGTGCGTTTTAACCATCTTGAAAAATGATGTTCGTCAATGGGGTTGGGATGACATCCCATATATATGAAATGGAAAATAATCCATCTATGTTTGAAACCACCAACCAGAGATGGTTAGTATGTATATAATTCTCTAGAGAGTAGTTGGAGGTTATTAAGCTATACATCCAAGGTTGACCCACTAACCCAGAAATTTTGGATAAAATGCTCAATCATGGCGGCAGGCAGGTTGGTGTTCATCAACTGCATTGTGGATTGATATTGACACATACCCACGTCGCATCTTCCAATGACGAATCATCTATATATGGTCCTATAGAACTAGGCGAATTATACTAAACCAACAACCATGCATTGCAATTTCCATCAATACCACAACTCCCAGCCTTGTAGCAACCCAGAGGCTCGTACTCCAAGATTGGCACCTCACATGAAGCAACACCAGCTTAAAGTTCATAACAAAAACCTCCAAAACATGCTGGCCATAACATAAACATTAATGATTCCCCCTGTAAATATGTATTAAGAATAAATACATTGGTGGTTCTCGATGATTAACATTTTGTTTTGTCAGGGGCTTGGCATAAATGAAACATCAACCACCGGTGATGCTTCCCCCTACTCCTCGACGAAAAGAACGAATTGATCAACGCACCAATAACATCATAGTTGAGGCATGTTCATACAAACATATTTCTACAGCGCACTACAAAGAATGACAATCGCAACACAAATAGATGTCAACGGCCATCATGTTAGGCCATCAAATGGGTAGCCCTCTGATACTTCCCATTTTTTCTGGTTGGTGGTTTCAACCCCTCTGCAAAATATGAAAGTCAGTTGGGATTATTATTCCAAATTGAAGAAAACACATGAAATTCATGTTCCAAACCACCAACCAGTTCCCAATGTTTTTTTTTTTACATCCCATGACCTTCTGGCAAACGTTTACAAAACTATCGAAAATCACCATGTTCAATGGAAAAACTCACTATTTCGACTGGGCCATGGCTTCCAGTTCGCTTTAACTGGGCCATGTTTACCAGAAATCACTATTTTATAGCTGGCTAAATCTTTAATAGGTACATAACTATGGAAAATTACCATTTTTAAGGGGAAAATCCACTATTTCCATGGCCATGTTCAATAGCTTTAACTGTTTACCAGGCCGGGTGCCTCCCAAAACCTCCAGGCCATCTGCGGAAAAATCAGCTCCAGGCCATGATGATGCGATGATTCATGGTGTCAGACACGAAGACAGTAGAGCTATGCACCGCGATGCCTATGTATGCTGTGACCGGTGATAAAAACCTGAGATAGGTTGATACACAAATTGGATAGTTGTATCTACTTATATAGATATATATGTATTTTTATATATATTTATATATTTATAAATAAGATATGTTTATTATTATTTAAGTGGGATACAACCATCACATATGGGGATGCGTAATATGATGAGTCAATATGGGTCTATATGGGTTTTTATGCGAATAGCTGTTGATTGATGGATTCTGATTCTATGGGGATATAAACACCAAATATGGGTTCAAAACCACCAAAGCTGGGAACATACTTTATATATGATAGCTGACTATTGGTTATTGTCCGGCCTATATAGTACCGGGTTGATGGGGACTATTAGAATCCACATATCAAAGGATGAACCAATCACGATTTGTTTATGGTCGTCAACAACAAACAGAAATCAAACATACTTGGACTTTCAAGGGACTTTTCACATGCTTGCAAATAGCTACAAAAAACAACCTCAAAAATGAAGCAAATAGATTGTACACAAGATATTTGGATATGGGTAATATGTATTCCTATTTTGCGGATATGGGATACATTCCAGTTACTTCTTTTCAAACCGTTCATCCGGTAACATCTTGCTATGGAACATCTCCCGGTTGCGCCGCCTTCCGGACGATTCATCATGATATTCTGTTTGTTCGCCGTGGTGGTGTGACCTCACCCGCTGGCGTGTCGAAAAAGATGATGAAATGATATCAAATGCATAGTTCGCCAGGTGTCAAAATGGTCATATGGTTTCATTCCCTTGTTTTTTAGTTGCCCAAGTTGTTGAAAATTGCTCATTTACCAACTATGGATCATCACAGCCCACCACACAGTCATTGATTCTCAGTGTTGGCCATCATCTTTAGGATAAACAAAATCATCGATACAAATATCAAACAACATGTTTTCCCCATCATTTTCACCGGAAAACCATGGCAGTTTTCGTTCAGAAACTAACCTCTTTTGTCCCATCTCCGTTTCCCCCGGCTCAGGGTCAGGGTCCACAGGGTCTCCCGGCCGGTGCTTCCGGTGCCAATCACTTGCTGGACAGCACCCTGGCCGGTGGAAATTTCCCCAAGCCTTGTGGAATCAATTGGGTTGAAATGGATAAACCATTAAATATATATATATATATATGAAAATGAAAGAGATTTGGTATGATTGGGTAACATATAATTGGGTTGTTATATATATAATACTATGGTAAACATCTTTAAAAAAAACATGGAAAAACAAAATCCAATTGTGAAATGCTATGATTTATATGTGTTGTTCATCTTTTTCGGGGTTGAAACTCTTGTCAGGGTTGGTAAAAGATATGAATGAATTGGCCAAATGAAAGGCTATGTTTTGGGGAAAAAAACACAAATGACCTGAATTTGAAATCCAATAAGCTTTGCTGCCTGGCTTAGTTGCACTTGGAATCATTTCAATTTTGGGAGATGATTCATACAGAAGTTGAAACATGTTGAAAGCCGTCCAGAAAGGTATAGCCCCTCTATGGAAGCACTTGCAAAAGTCCATGACGCTGGTTCCTAGACGAAAAAAAGAAAACAGATTGGCATCATGCAAATTGCTGCATCCAAGGCTTTCACCAAGTATTACTACAAGTACATCTATCGGCCGGTGTGAACGACACCGGCCCAAATCTGGCCCGGTTCGCTTCCAAAAAATGGCTGATCATCTCTTGGATCATCCAGAGCTTGGAGGATAAATCGATGTTTTGTACAGATAGGGAGTAAACAAAGTACCCGGCTTGGTAACTTGTTACAAAAAGCTATTGTTAAAATGGCCCAGTCGAAATAGTGGATTTTCCCCTGAAAAATGGTGATTTTCCATAGTTATGTAAACGTTTACCAGAGGGTAAACAGGAGAATCCATGTTTGTTGCAAGTCATCCGTAGCTCACAGTTTCACCAACTGCGCCTCCATGACACTACTGCCCAGTGGCAGAAAACGGGCGACAGCCTACGGGGACGGAAATCTCAGGTTAGCGAAGAACCATGGTGAGTTTTCGGATCAGTAGTAATATAGTGGTAATCAGGATATCATGGCATATGCTTTGCTAATACTACAGGGACACATAATGTCACGCCTAAGTCACTCCTTTTGCTTTCCCCGCTTGTGAACGCAACATCAAGAAGTCATGCCAAAGTCATGCCTAAGTCGTGCCTTTTGCTTTCCCCGCCTGTGAACACAACATCAAGAAGTCATGCCTAAGTCACTCCTTTTGCTTTCCCCGCTTGTGAACGCAACATCAAGAAGTCATGGCAAAGTCATGCCTAAGTCATGCCTTTTGCTTTCCCCGCTTGTGAACGCAACATCAAGAAGTCTGCCTCAGACATGCCTTTTGCTTTCTCCGCTTGTGAACGCAACATCAAGAAGTCATGCCTCAGTCATGCCTTTTGCTTTCCCCGCTTGTGAACGCAACATCAAGAAGTCATGCCTAAGTCATGTTTTTTGCTTTCCCCGCTTGTGAACGCAACATCAAGAAGTCATGCCTCAGTCACTCCTTTTGCTTTCCCCGCTTGTGAACGCAACATCAAGAAGTCATGCCTAAGTCACGCCTTTGGCTTTCCCCGCTTGTGAACGCAACATCAAGAAGTCATGCCTCAGGCATGCCTTTTGCTTTCCCCGCTTGTGAACGCAACATCAAGAAGTCATGCCCCGCTTGTGAACGCAACATCAAGAAGTCATGCCAAAATCATGCCTTTTGTTTTCCCCGCTTGTGAACACAACATCAAGAAAACATGCCTAAGTCATGCCTAAGTCATGCCTAAGTCATGCCTAAGTCATGCCTAAGTCATGCCTTTTGCTTTCCCCGCTTGTAAACGCAGTCATGCCTAAGTCATGCCTAAGTCATGCCTAAGTCATGCCTTTTGCTTTCCCCGCTTGTGAACGCAACATCAAGAAGTCATGCCTAAGTCATGCCTTTTGCTTTCCCCGCTTGTGAACGCAACATCAAGAAGTCATGCCTAAGTTACTCCTTTTGCTTTCCCCGCTTGTGAACGCAACATCAAGAAGACATGCCTAAGTCATGCCTTTTGCTTTCCCCGTTTGTGAACGCAACCTCAAGAAATCATGCCTAAGTCATTCCTTTTGCTTTCCCCGCTTGTGAACGCAACATCAAGAAGTCATGCCAAAGTCATGCCTAAGTCATGCCTAAGTCACGCCTTTTGCTTTCCCCGCTTGTGAACGCAGCATCAAGAAGTCATGCCTAAGTCACTCCTTTTGCTTTCCCCGCTTGTGAACGCAACATCAAGAAGTCATGCCTAAGTCATGCCTTTTGCTTTCCCCGCTTGTGAACGCAACATCAAGAAGTCATGCCTAAGTCATGTCTTTTGCTTTCCCCGCTTGTGAACGCAACATCAAGAAGTCATGCCTCAGTCACTCCTTTTGCTTTCCCCGCTTGTGAACGCAACATCAAGAAGTCATGCCTAAGTCACGCCTTTTGCTTTCCCCGCTTGTGAACGCAACATCAAGAAGTCATGCCTGAGTCACACCTTTTGCTTTCCCCGCTTGTGAACGCAACATCAAGAAGTCATGCCTTTTGCTTTCCCCGGTTGTGAACGCAACATCAAGAAGTCATGCCTAAGTCACTCCTTTTGCTTTCCCCGCTTGTGAACGCAACATCAAGAAGTCATGGCAAAGTCATGCCTAAGTGACGCCTTTTGCTTTCCCCGCTTGTGAACGCAACATCAAGAAGTCATGCCTAAGTCATGCCTTTTGCTTTCTCCGCTTGTGAACGCAACATCAAGAAGTCATGCCTAAGTCATGCCTTTTGCTTTCCCTGCTTGTGAACGCAACATCAAGAAGTCATGCCTAAGTCATGCCTAAGTGACGCCTTTGGCTTTCCCCGCTTGTGAACGCAACATCAAGAAGTCATGCCTCAGGCATGCCTTTTGCTTTCCCCGCTTGTGAACGCAACATCAAGAAGTAATGCCAAAGTCACTCCTTTTGCTTTCCCCGCTTGTGAACGCAACATCAAGAAGTCATGCCTAAGTCACACCTGTTGCTTTCCCCGCTTGTGAACGGAGCATCAAGAAGTCATGCCTAAGTCATGCCTAAGTCATGCCTAGGTCATGCCTAAGTCATGCCTCAGTCATGCCTTTGCTTTCCCTGCTTGTGAACGCAATATCAAGAAGTCATGCCTCAGTCATGCCTTTTGCTTTCCCCGCTTGTGAACGCAACATCAAGAAGTCATGCCAAAGTCACGCCTTTTGCTTTCCCTGCTTGTGAACGCAACATCAGGAAGTCATGCCTAAGTCATGCCTTTTGCTTTCCCCGCTTGTGAACGCAACATCAAGAAGTCATGCCTAAGTCATGTCTTTTGCTTTCCCCGCTTGTGAACGCAACATCAAGAAGTCATGCCTAAGTCATGCCTTTTGCTTGTGAACGCAACATCAAGAAGTCATGCCTCAGGCATGCCTTTTGCTTTCCCCGCTTGTGAACGCAACATCAAGAAGTCATGCCTAAGTCACGCCTTTTGCTTTCCCCGCTTGTGAACGCAGCATCAAGAAGTCATGCCAAAGTCACGCCTTTTGCTTTCCCCGCTTGTGAACGCAACATCAAGAAGTCATGCCTATAGTCATGCCTTTTGCTTTCCCCGCTTGTGAACGCAACATCAAGAAGTCATGCCTAAGTCATGCCTTTTGCTTTCCCCGCTTGTGAACGCAACATCAAGAAGTCATGCCTAAGTCACTCCTCTTGCTTTCCACGCTTGTGAACGTAACATCAAGAAGTCATGCCTAAGTCATGCCTTTTGCTTTCTCCGGTTGTGAACGCAACATCAAGAAGTCATGCCTAAGTCATGCCTTTTGGTCTCCCCCCCTTCTGAACGCAAGCGTTGAAACAACCCATTCTTACTACTCCTACTACTACTCCTACTCCTACACTCTGTTAGTGCAGTAGTTCAGCAGTTTGGCAGTAGCCAGCGGCAGCAGCTGAGCAGCAGCCAGCAATTGAGCAGCAGTTTAACAATAGTTGCTTATTATATCATCTAACGGTGAAATTCTGAACAACAAAAAGTCACTTAAAAGAAAGCAGCTGCACCAAACGCAACAAACATTACATACGAACTAAGCATAAGTAGATACCTAAAGCCAACCTGAACGCGCTGAGATCACCAGAGTTCCCCTGCGCGGAAAGCTTCACCGCGACTAAATGTAGTAATTTCTTTAAAAAAAAAGGCACGACTTTGTCGTTTGGCTGTATCAGGGTATCACTCGCCAGGATTCTTTTTTTGGACCTTCGAACTTTGAATTCTGAACATTCGTTCTTTGTGTAAATTTTACGGGGTAATGGCTGCAAATGGATAGAGGAAACCCAAATAGCAAATGGATACAACAGTTAGAAATCACTAAACATTACTATTCGCAAATGGAGAGGTGTGTCACTAAACATTACCTTGCTTCACATTGCATCCAGTCAGAATCATCAATTTTTATCCCTTCTGAAGCGATCTAAAGGCGATCGAAGTACTCCCATCGTCGGCAATGTCCGTAGCGTAGCCGTAACTCTGCATTTGTAGTGCCGGCAGGAAGCTTGTGCAAGGTATATTTACTATAGATGACTATAGTATGCATTTCCTCAGCTTCCACCTTTCAGATGGGTAACCGTTTAACCACTCCAAAATCATCAATTTTACGCAGCTATGGACAACGACCCATTTAGTTCGAAAACTTGTTATTTTTCTTAGCTATGTTAAATTGCCAGAGGGTAACACATAACTTCTTAATGGATTGTAAAAAAAACAAATATTATATCGGATTAACCCCACAAAAAAAAAAACATCAATTACAACATACTCAGTGATCTTATCCCATGAAATATCACCAGCTGTGGTTAATAACTTAAGGTATCACCAGCTGTATCCCCATGATATATCACCCACGACTCGGTCGTCTCACGTTGTAATTCTCCACGTAGGTCAGGGACCGGGGAGCCCCCCACCTGGCCGAAGCCGCGAATCCCAAGGCCATCTGCACCATCCCACCATCCCCAAGTCATCACCATGTATAAATGGCTTGTAGAAACCATCCAAATATGCCCAAATGCTAGTTGTTGAATCCTTGGTTTCCCACATATCCAAATATGCCCAAATGGATTCAAATGCTAGTTGTTGAATCTTGGGGGAAACCATGGGAAACCCACTTTTTCGTTGTTTTTCTTCCAAATGTTGGTCAGTTCTTTGGTGGAGAGGGCGTGGAAGCACAGGAGGTAAGCAAGAATAATGAAGATTCTACTGGTAAAACAAGTCAAACCGATTCAAAAACCCATCATTTTTCACTCCCATATGCTCCATGTATGGAATATGTACCAACATTTACCCTAAAAATCACCCAGTTGTCTAGGCAAATATACCATACATGGAGCATATGGGACTTGGAACCCGAAAACTGACCTTCTGAAAGATGTTAGAATCGTGAAACTGTGTGGTTGAGACTGTTGAGATCCAAGTTTTTCATAACCCTCCCGAAAGGGACGCTGGATGCACAACATGAGGACACCACAGCCAGGTTTCTGAAACATCTGGGATGGTCCCCAAGACGATGGCATTCCACACGAGCCAATGACTGGTTCAGTGACTGGTGACTGGTGCGCTAAAAAGAATGGATTCTCAGATCCAATCCTATCGATTGTATCAATCAAATCAATCAAATCATCAATCAAATCAATCGAATCAATATATAAAAAAAAATACTTTACTTCGTGTGATCCCCACCATGACATTTATACATGTTCTTACTGGCACATCTTCTGGCATTCTATCTGACATATCTTCTGACATTCTATTTGGCATTCTATCTGGCATATCTTCTGGCATATCTTCTGTCATTCTATCTGACATATCTTCTGACATTCTATTTGGCATTCTATCTGGCATATCTTCTGGCATATCTTCTGGCATTCTATCTGACATATCTTCTGACATTCTATTTGGCATTCTATCTGGCATATCTTCTGACATTCTTTTTGGCATTCTATCTGGCATATCTTCTGGCATATCTTCTGGCATTCTATCTGACATATCTTCTGACATTCTATTTGGCATTCTATCTGACATATCTTCTGACATTCTATTTGGCATTCTATCTGGCATATCTTCTAGCATATCTTCTGGCATTCTATCTGACATATCTTCTGACATTCTATTTGGCATTCTATCTGGCATATCTTCTGGCATATCTTCTGGCATTCTATCTGGCAAATCTTCTGGCATTCTATCTGGCATATCTTCTGGCATTCTATCTGACATATCTTATGGCATTCTATCTGGCATATCTTCTGGCATATATTCTGACATATCTTCTGGCATTCTATCTGGCATTCTATCTGGCATATCTTCTGACATTCTTTCTAACTTTCTTCTGCACATTCTTTGTCCCATATCTTCCTACATGAGGTCCGGCAGGGAACACTTGGCATGGATACTCGCGGTTGAGGTCCGGCAGGGAACACTGGGCGTGGATGGTCGTGGTTGAGGTCCGGCAGGGAACACTGGGCGTGGATGGTCGTGGTGGAGGTCCGGCAGGGAACACTGGGCGTGGGTGGTCGTGGTTGAGGTCCGGCAGAGAACACTGTGGATCGCGGGTCGCAGTTGAGCAAGGACGACGAGGACGACGAGGACGACAAGGACGACAAGGATGACAAGGAGGACGAGGAGGAGGAGGAGAGGAGGAGGAGGAGAAGGAGGAGAAGGAGGAGGAGGAGGAGGAGGCAACTGACATAAAATCTAACAACCCTCACCTGGCAGGTGGGGAATAATCCAATCTTAAATAGTCCGATCTTTTTTATCACATTAGATTGATGATATCTGGATTATTGATCATCAAATAATGGCCACTTGGCAATCAACTATGACTAAAATCATCAATAATCCAAATAATCAACTATTCTCAGATCAGTTTTCATCAAATAGAATAGTCATCAAGTATGATTCTTAATGAATTAATCAAATCATGAACTATTGTGATCAATTCAACTATCACTAGAGTTAATTCTGATGACTCTAATTGTGATCAATTCATCAATTCAACTATCACTCTATATGATTGTGATCAATTATTTATTCCAGAGTGTCTGACTAGGCAATCACAATCGATCATCAACGGCATCAACGGTCCCCCGAAGCCCACCCTCACCTTTCAGACATCCTCAGGCGGATGATCCGATGGGAAAGATCTACCGACAAAGACTCGACATGTCGAGCATCAAGAAACGATGGAAATCTATGGAAAAGTGTCCGGTGAAATGATCTACACAGTGGTGAATTATCAAGAATTATCCATATTTAAGTTTCGACTTTCTATGCTTGCGGGAGGATAACCACTAAATCATAGCGAGCATACGGTACGGTTGTATGCCTCGTACGGGTATGGCTCCGTCATTTTCCTCTGACATCCTGATGTTCAGATTAAAATCGCTACAGCTGAACGCTCTCCAATCCAATGGTATAAATTATCATAGGTTTTAATACGCATGCAGATTATCATTAGATATTGAAGTAGATCATATTCTGTGGATGGGTTGAAACCTATGAATATTGACTTCAACGATTTTACAAAGTCAAAACTTCCAAACCATCTGGGCTTGCCGAAGCATCCCTTTCTTGGCGTTGAGTTTTTGCATCAGGGGTTGACCAATACCACACAAAGATCTACCATATGGGGAAAAACACATAATCTCAGCTATCTGGGAAATGCCAGGAACAGTCCCCAATGAAACTGAGGATTTGAGATGGATGTTCATCCCTTCGTTGCCACTTCACTAGTCCCTTCGTTCGTTCGAAAATGTGATCCCTCCAAAACTTAACAAGACACGATCATTGAAAAGCCAAAGTCACGATGGCACATGGCTTTAGGGATATTTGTGTATGGGGAAGATATGATGATATGATGTGATATGCGAGCCATCAGCTTCATAAATTGCATCATATGTTTTGCAAACCATGCATAGTTCTCAAAATTCCCAAAATACAAACTAACTGACATTATTGGGATCGATTCCTCACTACTTCTACTGGAGCTATTGACTCATCCCCATCATCTTCTCTCAAGTTTTGAATAGGTAAATCATCAATCATTGAACTAAGGCCATTGACCGTAGCGTTAACTGACCAGAGGGTAAATCCCATGAATTCCTATCAAATTCTATCAACAATTCCACGAAATTCACCATGACATCAGCATCAAAGTCCATTCCTTCACCATTTTATTCCATCAAAAATCACCAATCAACCAAAAAAAAACTGGAAAATTTCCTCCGGAAAACTCTGTGTCCAAAAAAATCACCATTACCCTCTGGTTCAAAAATAATGTTTAAATCATATTTTTCTTGGAATTCCCATGGATTTCCCGGTGTTAATCCATATCCTGTAGTACCCATAGCCATTAACCTAACCATCATTAACTATCATTAACCATCAACCAGGTATCATTCACCACTACCCATTACCATGATACCTGGTTGATGGTTAATGATACCTGGTTTTTCTGGTTTGTTTGATAGTTCATAATGGCTAGTAATCACAACTATTCCCATCATTATTAACCATCATTAACTATCATTAACCATCACTAACCATCACTAACCATCATTAATCATCATTAACCATTGATTAACCATATCATAAACATATAGTAATAAAATATATTAACCATCACTAACCATCACTAACCATCATGAAACCCATTACCATTCCCATGGGAAGTCCCAAACGAAATCACCCATGGAAAATTCTTCCAGGCGTCGCCAGCTGCATAGGATGATCCAACTGCGCCTGGTTGCTCCAGGTGCCCGGCGTCGCCAGGCCCTGAAGTGCGCGGAAGGGGCGGAACCCTTGGGTGACGGTTTGCTTTATGGTTTATATAGGGTCAATATATGGATATAGATGGTTTATATCTGTTTATAAATGGCTAACATATATATATATAATATGAATCTATGGTGTATGAATCTGTATGGTTGAATCTATATGGTTTCTGTTATATATGTTTATATCTGTTTATATAGGTACATGGTCATGTTTATGTATGTTTATATGGTATGGTTTCTATATTTAGAGTGTCTATATATTTGTATGGTGTTGATATGGCTTTCTAGATGTTGATATGTTGTTGATGGTGTTGATATGGTGTTTACACACTTCTATTCTTAACATGCTTCGAATGTTGTTCAAATATGGTTTGCATGTAATTTATATATAGCCTATAGTAATATATATATATAGTATCTAATTCTAAATAATATATGAATCTATGATGTACGTATATGTGAGTGATATGTGAGTTATCTTCATATGAAGTATGTTGTATTCATTTTAAACCAGGGTCATCAGCCAGCCGTGATTAAAAAAAAACTGGGAATTTCCTCGGGTCATCTCTGGAAGGATCTGACCATCCCGAAAACTTTAGTCACTTTAGTCTTTTTGTGGCTCCACCAGTCACCAGTCGATTCACTTAAGATTCACCAAGATGTTTGATGTTTGATGGTATTTAATGGTGATTTAATGGGATTTAATGGGATTTATGGGGAATCGAATGGGATTTATCCGGCCTGGTAAACATACAGTTAAAGCTATTGAACATGGCCCAGTCGAAATAGTTTTCCCATTGAAAATGGTGATTCACCAGAGGGTAAGATTCACCAAGCTTTTCAGATCTTCAGTAAGGCCACCAGTTTGGTTCAGTTCAATGGGGCCCATGTCACCACGACCTTCATCCCTCCACCTGTGGCGCCGTGTGGCGCCTGTCCCAAGCCACCCACCACGGTGGAGATGACGTCCGACTGCCCGGGGCTTACCCTGACCTCCGGGCATCGCTTGCGTCGGCCCCGGGGGAATGGTCGAAACATTGCTTTCATCATGATCCAAGGGGATACACTGTGATTTAGATCAATCATGCATACTATTCATATGGATCAGTATCACTATATATATATATATATGTATATATATATATATGTATGTATATATACATATATATATATATATCAATAATTAATAATATGGAATAAGTCTCAAAATATCATTGGGATACTCATGGGACTCAAAGACTGGTATAGAGTACCTCAAAATCCAGTGGCTCACCATGTTCCATATAAAGATAGGAATGATGGTGGGGGGGTATACCGTATACCCATTTCCGACCCAAAAAGATTGAATGGTGAAATACATGGAAATACTATGCTATGCCATTAAATAGTGGCAAATTGAACCTTTCCAGCATCGTTTTGGGGGGCTACCTATAAGCAGAAACCAGGGTCTTTACAGAACATAGAGCAAACTTGGTCCTTGGAATATGGTCACGTGCCCGACCATTAATTTTGATAATCAAATGTACTCTCTGGTTATTTAACATAACTATGGAAAATCAGTATTATTTATAGCTAAACCATGATAACGAATCGATAAATGGGCCGTTTTCCATAGCTATGTTAAATCCCCAAAGGGTAATATGCTCAACTTGTATAGGTACATTGTAGGATTGATGGTTGGGAACGCTCAGAAACAACAATCTCACCAATACCTTCTGGTTAGTGGTTGACCTACCCCTCTGAAAAGTATGAGTTCGTCAGTTGGGATGATCTTTCCATTCCCAATATGATGGGAAAGTCCTAAAATTCCATAATCCATTCCATGGTTCCAGTCACCACCAACCAGATATCATTAACCATCATTAAACCATCATTAACCATCATTAACCATTGATTAACCATTGATTAACCATTTGGATGCCTTTGGGACATACTATCTCTTTGCGTTCTTTTTTGCTGCGACTGGCGACTGATCCTCGTTGTCATCTCAGGACCCGACGCCGCGAATGGCGGAGTTGCCGGTGTCTGCGATCCAGTAGCCTGACGTCGCAAGGAGTCAATGAATGGAGCTGGTCAACTTTGGATTTCAATCAATGCACAATCTTGATCAACACAATGATTCCTATATAAAATAAACTTATGATATGGGTTATACAGAGTTATACATGGAACAATTCTGTCAAATGGGAAATTTCAACTATCTCCGACCACTGTATAAGTTGTGTCTCATACTGCAGCATCACATCTCCGTTTCACCATTTTGCGTTGACAACTCAAGAAGAATGGGGAATGATTCTTGGTTTCACAGGTGCTGTGGTCAAAACGTGGAATATGACCCACACTTTTTTTCGGCATCCCTACCAATGGCATATATATATATATACGTATATATAAAACCCTATCGGAGTAGTTGCCATCCACCAATTAATGACCAACCAATTAATTACCAGAGGGATTCTATATGCACCATTCAAGAACCAATATCCAATCATCACTGATTTCAATATTGAAATGGGAACTTCAGTATCTAATCTATATATCAACAATATAAATCAAAATACATCAATATCCCATCCACTTACAATGGATATTACTTATATGTTATCAATATCTGATCTGATTTTACTGTAAACTCCAACATCTCACCACGCCTCGAAGGTCATCGCACACCACCCCTGTGGGACCGCTGAGCTTGGCCAAGTTGGGTGCACCACCGTCGCCTCAAAAAGAGTCGCGGGGAGATCGAGGCAGAAAAGTGTAGACATGCAAGTTATGATTCTTAACTTACAGATACGATGAGAACTGTCATACTATGGTAATTTATGATAGTTGTTTTTGATATCTAAACTACAACTATCATAAGTTACCATATAATATGATTATATTACCATTAAGTACCCATGTTATGGCTGATAGGTGAAAATAGTATCACATATCAATCCCAACTCATTTCCAAGTAATCCCCCTAAGATGCTTTTTGTACCGAAGATTACTGGATAAATATGATAAATAATTACCCTCCGAAACAGGTCCTGGATGCACTAAATTGGAACTCTTCATCACTTGGGGCCGCATTTATGGTACCCAAATCACCATTGGACCATGGTCAAATCTTCCCCGATGGTGAAATCCCAAACTATTTCAGAAAGTGAAAAATCCCCGTTGATTGATGGTTAATTCATGTTTAATCCCTATGATATTCAAACATACTTAAACTATATTTAAACACTATGCATTTTGGATACTTAAAGATATTTTTCATGGTTAAACCATTGTGAAGCCCTATCCTTATCTTTGATTTGTTAGCCATGTTAAACTCATATCCCAAATTCATCATGTCCCGCGCCTGAATAGCCATGGTCCGTGCCTACCTTGGTGGTGATGATGCCCGTCTCAAAGTTGTAGGCTCGGATGCGACTATTCCTGGGATGCCGAGCAGTGACTTTTAATACGGAAATTGACCACTAGAAATGAGGGTTTTATATGGTTTTATATGGGAAAATCATGGGGATATATGGGATTACCCTCTGGTTATTTGTTACATAGCCATGGTATAGATGGCCCATTTATAGATGGTTTACCTATTAAAAATGCTGATTTTCCATGGCTATGTTGAATAACCAGAGGGTAAATCCTAAACCAACATAACAAAACTGCAATGGTTGAGGAACGGTGCCAAACCCATCCAAAAGTCGTGGAGTGAGGTAGAAATACCCCAAAAATCGATAGTTCATCGTTTGAAAACTCACCACTTGCCGCCTCCTCATCTCCACACTACTTGGCGCTTGAATCTCCGTGCTTTTTGGTTCCACGGTTTCCATTGCAATAACACTGCAGAAGACCTACCATTGGTGTTGAAATTGCTGATACCCTCATTTAAAAGCAATAAGCCAGAGTTCAAAAGTTCAATCAACATCCAGTTATTCCATGAAACTTCCATGAAACTTCCATGAAACTTCAATGTTAAAAACCAATGAACCAACCGACGTCTTTCCGAGACGGCACGCCCTGTGCGCCAAGCGTCATGTGGTCCGCAATCAGCAGCTCTCCTCTGCACACCGCCAGGCCTCGTGGGTCATTCAACCTGCCGAGAAAACGTGACAAAACTTGCAGAACTGGTCACTTCTCAAAATGTTACTGTTAAAAAAAAACGGAATAGTAAACACATGTAGAAAATAAACAAAAAAAACTTATGTCGCTATTTCTATACAAGTATGATAGTATGTATGTCCAAAGATCCCAGGCGAAATATATTTCTGTGTTGTACTCCGCTTTCGTTAATCACCATTGAAGGGGACGTGTCAGTGAATACCACCCTGTTTGATCTTGTTTCGTGATTCTTGTTGTGGGATAGATCCCCGCCCACAGAGGGAACACCAAGGAACATGTAAAAGCCTATCTCCTCATTCAATACCCATAGACCCATAGGATCCATGGTGCTGGTATGCTAACATTTATTTACCATCAATATACCCCATTTTTGTTAGCATATATACCAGCACCATGGATCCTATGGGATATAGGTTTTCTTTGCAATAGGTAACATTCCCAAGGTCCAAAAAATGCAGTAAACCCAAGATTTTTTACATCCCCAATTTATTACCGAAAATAGGGGTTGTCCATACCCAACGAACTGGAACTCCCAAACATGAATAAAACATGAAAGACTGTTCCCTAATATTTTTTATAGTGTGCCCGAATGGTGTATATATGTGTATATCCCGTTGGGAAAGTCAAAAATCACCTTCAACAAACCAAGTTTCATTCATCAAATCCCATCAAATCCCATAAAATCATAGTTAAATCACTATTTAAATCCCCATTTAAGTTGCTTAACTCCACGACTTTTTTCCAATTTTTACGGCCCAAAATTCTTCGCGCCTTGCAGAGGTGCCAGGGAGGCCGTCGCCACAGACGAAGCCCGGCGCCACGCAGTTGCCCGCCTGGAGATCGCCCACCAAGGTCCTCGATGGTCTGCAGCCATGGTTTCAACAATGTAACAATGTGAGGCCCCCCTTCAACAATGTAACAATGTAACGATGGACATGGGATGGGTATGGGTCAAAACATGGTGGTCCAACACTGAACACATGATTAGATACAATGTGAGGCCCCCCAGTTATAAGTTGGTTTATAAGCCCCAGTAACTAGTTCGTCATAAGTATACCATAAACCAGTTCGTGAAATTGGAGTTATTGGCACCAACTGAACGCTATCGTGGCCGGGGGCCTCACATTGAATGGGGACTAATGGGGCAACAACTGGGGAAAATCCATAGCCGCCGGATCCAAAAAAGGATCCATGGTGCTGGTATGCTGTGCCATGGATCCCAACAAGAAAAAAAACATTTTTGTTAGCATATTTCTCCCAGCACCATGGATCCGTCATGGGATAGGGAAAACATATGGAAGAAAAAACATGTTTTTTAAGAAACACATAAATGTTTTTTTGACTTTTAAGATGTAAGTTAAATCAACCAAAACATCTATGCGTCTGGAAGATGATATGAGGTTCTTCGAGATTTTGATGGGCCGTTCTCATAAGGTCCATGTTAGCGAAACCCATGGATGTATCTTTGCGCTAGAAATGGTTCACAACGTGTGCGCTGTTCAGCACAAAGCAACGGGATCACAGGATCAAATGCTTCTTTACCACAACTCTCTCTATATATATATATACATAGACATATATCTGAAGCTCAGAACATATTTCTCTGATCTACCCTGCAATGAATAGACATACCCTCTGGTAAACGTTCACATAACGAACTGGAAAGATTCACCATGCTATATAGCTGGCTAAATCCACGAACTAAATTGCCGTCCTCACCGAGCCATTCACCAGGTTGGCTTCGCGGACCTGGAATTGACCGCAGAAAACGAGAAAGTCACTGGTTGGTGGTGCAATAACCATCTTGAAATGAAATATGTATAATGATGGTGGTTAACATATCAATCATATATGATGTTATATGATGTTATATGATGTTATCTGATTATATGATTTTGTTATAACATCATATAATCATATAACAAAAAACCATATGATGTACTGGTTGGTGGTTGGTTGACCTACCCCTCTGAAAAATGATGGAGTGAGTTCGTGAGTTGGGATGATGACATTCCCATATATTATGGAAAGTCATAAAAAATGTTCCAAACCACCAACCAGATCATATGACCCTCCAGTAAATTAACATAGACCCTGGCAATTGGGTTGGAATTTGTTTGTTTCCACTAAAAATGGGTTATTTTCAGGGTCTATGTTAATTTACCAGAGGGTATAAAATCAAACAATGGATCTTAAATATCTTCCCCAGAATTATCAATCCAAAAATCAATAACGGTTTAACAGTAGCAATCATCATCGTCATCCGCATCAGCACCGTCCAACATGATCCCTGTTTCTCTGGGATGACAACCAAAAGATGACCAAAGTGACGGGATATCCAGGATAAAACAGAAAGTGATATTTATTGGGAATTATAGTAAGAGTGGGATATATATATATGATATTAGGATCAACTTATAGTGAAATTTATTGGGATAATATATTTGCATAGTTGTTTGAATTAAATCACTCATAGTGAAATTTCATTTACTTATATTGGGATAACAGTTAAATTTATGATCTCAGTAAAGTGTGTGAATTCCAAACCATCATCTAACCATCCCATAGTTGCAATCCATTTGGCATGGCAGTTGGATCCTCCCAAGACTTATCTCTTCATCCCCATCGCCTAAGATTGGTTTTGGTTAAACCCTACGAATCAAGGCCTAAGCATCAGTTCATCCAGACAATTTATTCAAACATATTCCGGTGACTATTAATGGTAATTGCTGGTATTTTAATGGTGATTTTCCATGGGATTTATGGTGGTTTAATGGAATCTAATGGAATTTACCCGGCCTGGTAATTTCTTACATAGCTATTGAAAATATGGACCATTTAGTTCGTTGATTTACCTATTAAAGATGATGATTTTCCATAGCTATGTTAGTTTACCAGAGGGTATATCTTTTTATTAAATGCCAGTACGGTTCAAAGGTGAACCGAAGCTGTCCGATGGGATAGTGGAGATATTTATAGAGTTTTTTATTCATATAAATCCCATTGGCTACAGATATATACAGATATCTCAACTAATATCAACTAATATCAACAAATATCAGCTAATATCAACTCATATCCGCTATAGATTATAGATATATATATAATATAACATCATATATTCATATAACAAAAATATGATGTATATTAAAAGTATAGTAAACTAATATATGATATAGTTACAATAGCAAAACTATATTAATATAAAAACAACTAATATCAACTACATATATACATACAATAACATCATATAACAGAAACAACATATGTATGTATAAATATATTTATGTATATTGTATTAATGTTTCAAACCACCAACTGTATATAATATCACCATATATAATATATATATTAATAATATATTAATCTAGATTTATATATATGATATAATATATAATGTCTACAATGTGAGGCCCCCAAGATAGCTAAGTTGGTTTATAACTCCAATAACTACGTATGGTTTAACTATAGTTAATGGGGTTTATAAACCAACTTATAACTGGGGGGCCTCACATTGTAGGTTTCTTTTCAAAGTAACATTCCCAAGGATCTTAAATATCTTCCCCAGAATCATCAATCCAAAAATCAATATATCATATAAATCTCTATTTATAACTAGATTTAATAATGTCTATTAATCTCTCAAAAACCTCAACTGCCAACCTCAACCTCGCCGAGGCGCCCGGTGCGGCTCGGCCCAGTAGAGCGTCAACCCGTCCGCGCTGAGCGCCATGCCGTTCACCGAGCCCACGCGGACGGCTTAGCGCAGCAGATTTTCCGCAGGGCATGGTGATCTCCATGGTTTATATAGTTTATAACCATGGGAAATATGGTCAATATATGGTTAATGTATGGTTAATAGATGGTTAATATATGGTCAATATATGGCTAATATATGGTTTATAGATGGTTAATATATGGTTTGTATGTATAAATATATGGTTAATATATGGTTTGTATGTGGTTTATACATGGTTAATATATGGTCAATATATGGCTAATATATGGTTTATAGATGGTTAATATATGGTTTGTATGTGGTTTATACATGGTTAATATATGGTTAATATATGGTTTGTATGTGGTTTATACATGGTTAATATATGGTTAATATATGGTTTGTATGTGGTTTATACATGGTGAATATATGATTTATACATATATATATATGGTTTGCATGTGGTTAATATATGGTCAGTATATGATTTATATGGTTTTCCAAAAGTTTGGGATATACATGGGAAAAGTCTGAGAGAATTATGGAAAATCAATGGGACATATGTTCATGGACAATCAATATGAGACTTTTATATATGCTTTATACATGGGAAATACACCATTTGGGGAATCTAATGATAGAACATCTAATTACATGTACTAAATTGTAATTAATATAAGTTGATGTAGCAATCCTGTATTATATCCAAATCCCATTAATTAATATACATAATATCAAGTTCATGATATATGATAATAATATATTGTTGATATACTACATATCCAAAGTCCAAGTGTATCATAATAAATTGATTGCTCTCCAGTAAATTAGCTGGTCGACCCTGCAAAAAAAACGTGGTGTGAAAATGAATCTTCCAACACGCAGGGTCTATCTATGTTTGTTGGGGGATGTAAAATACAACTTCATTATTGCAGGGGTTACTCATGAAATTATGTTGTTGTGAAATGATTGGTTCGGCAAACAAAATCAGGGATCAATTACATTGATCAACGGACCTTACCCACATCCCAACGGTATCCCTTTAGGTACTGAGGCATCCACTGTACAAGTCCTTGCAATGAGTTCAATGGCACTGGGAACGTCCATACTCTTGGTGAAAAAGGCAGCAATCGTTGGTTTCATTGCAGAACTACATTGATTTCAGAATTTACCCTCCAGTAAATTAACAGACCCTGGCAGTTGGCGTTGGAATTTGTTTGTTTCCACTATAAATTGGTCATTTTCAGGGTCAAACTGTTAATTTACCTAGGGGGTAACATCTAGTTGTGGGGGTTCTTGATTTACCCATAGAAACGGTCTGACTTCTCCACAGTCTTACCACCTCGTTTACCACACGCATGGACATGTAAACTGTAGTCAACATATTTTCTACAAGTACCATCTGGTTATTTAACATAGCCATGGAAAATCCCTTATAAATGGAGGTTTCAATAGGTAAACCATCTATAAATGAACCATGTTCCATGGCTATGTTAAATAACCAGAGGGTAAATCAAAATGTCTAAACAAATATACATATAATACATACATCTGCATACATATGCTATGCATTAACTATATACTATTACATATACTATGTATGAACCATACACCTTATATTCATTTATATTCTACTTATACACCTTCTGTTCGGTTTTTGTATTCGTTTGTCTATAATTCTCCTCCACATTCCAACCCCCGTTGCGGCTCCTCCCATTCATCCACGTTGCGCACAGGCTCAGTGCCGTTGCCGGCCACTGTCCTCATTTCACCTGGGAAGAAAATCATGGAGATAACAAAACAAAAAAAACAGTGGGGATGGGTTAAAACCCTGGTAAAATGGTGGTAAAATAGCGAGTTTTCCCATTAAAAATGGTGGATCTTTCCATAGTTATGTTAGTTTACCTGGTGAACCCCAAGTCATAGCTGGGATTTATGGATGTTCATCCCACTCAAAATGTATCTATAGGTATTGACCCATACCCAGTAACCAACAACCATTATCTGGCGAAAAGTCAGGGGTAAGAGCATTCTCCCTATATCACTTAGCAGTCGAGTATGTAGGGTTAATTAACAATATATAACAATCACAGGGTTCATTAACAACCATATAACCAATAAATTGGTATGATATGGATTTCTGAAAATATAGGCTTAGATGGCTTAGTATGCTAATATCAATTTGTCCATATCTAGAAATCAATAACATACCATTTTCATATCTAGAAATAGTTGACAAACGTACTTAATACTATATCTAGAAATCAATTGCTTGGAATAGGGTTATTAAGTATATGCACTATTGGGTCTACACTTAATCTACATTATTAAACCAAAAAAAAATGATTTAAGTATATTAATCAACATTGGTCAACTATATGTGGGGTTGATTTGGGGTCCTGACCCAGCCTATAATATATCTACATATTCACAATTGAGATCAACATGAACATTTATAACATTTAAACACATATAAGAAACATTGCAAATCTTGTTGGTCGTCTCTTCATTTACGTCGAGTACTGTATGCAGCATCATATTAGTTTAAGCAGAAGAAACAGGACTTAAATAGGACTTACCGTCAGTTCCACACAGCTAGCGTTTGTTTTTAGCGCCTCATCTGCACAAATTGCGAATCCATGGTCCTCCCTATCTCGTCCTCCCTATCTCGGCCTGTGATCACAGCAAAGCCAATGAGGAAGGTGAAATCCTCAGAATTTAACAGAATTCTGGCAGTTTCTGGTATCAAAATGGGAGAAGTTCTGCAGATTTCTAAGCAATGCCGGCATATTTTCACGGTTAAGGAATTTCCATGGATTTCCGGCATATGGATAGCTCAACTCGGGCAATCGATGATCCTTCCATCAATCCTCACATGCTGTTGATCTGTTGGTTGAACCCAATTTTCTTTGGCTGGGTACATTCAAAGGTTCAAACCCTCATGGCTACCCTCCAGTAATCTATAAGGTGTTTTGTTCAAGCAACAATCAACTTGTCACAACTTATCCATATGAAAATGTTGAAAAAAATAACTCGTCATAATTGCTTGTCCATATCTTGGCGATGTGAAAATCCGCCTAAAAAAAACACATAACATCGCCAGCTGCCCCTGTGGTCCCCTGGCTGCGCCGTTGACGCAGCTGAACATGCCACTGCACCAGCAGATCTGCCGTCGACATGGCAGGACTGGTGAGATGTTACCAGAAAAAAATATGAGAAACTCAGAACTACATGTCATTACCTTACACTAAAACAAAGGTTCTATAAGTTCTATAGGAAGAATGATGTGAATAGGTGATGAATAATGATGTTTGTTAGACTCATTTGGATTAGTTATACATATACATAATTAAATATATATATATAATTATATATATATGATAAACTCATCGGAATTATGGTCATAGCCCGTTGCTCATCCTGACCAAAACCACCAAAACGCCGCGGCGATCTCGTGGCCTTGTAGAAGCCCATCCTCAGGAACTCCACATCTGGCGGAGTTCGTGGCGAATTTCAGAAGTTTTGTGAAAAATGGGACACAACTTAAGGACAAGGAAAAAAACACGATTTTGGAACGATGTTGGATTATTTATGATTATTGATGATTATTTATGATTATATGGAAATCATGTATACCTGTATGTTTTTTTGGATTATACTTTTTCCGGCTGTTCAATGTCAAACATCACCGGCCCTTTTTTTCGAGGATCATGTCCCAACTGCAACGTGTGTTTTCTCCCATAAGTATGTAGTAGTATAATCATAATACAAATCATTACCCATAGGATCCATGGTGCTGGTATATATGCTAACATTTGGGGTATATTGATGGTAAATGTTAGCATATATACCAGCACCATGGATCCTATGGGTTATAATACCATAAGTTTGTCTGAAAAAACATTGCAGATAACCATTACATCATTATCAATAGCCCATTATAGAAAAGTATTCCACTCAGGCACCCAGGTGCGCCTAACCATCGCTCCACTTCTGATGACTCTACCTGCTCTGTGGAAGGCAGAATGTTGTCAAAATACGTGAAAATATATAGACAATGATGATGTTTAGATTAGTGTCGAAATATAAATCTGGTTGGCTTCAGCCCCTCTGAAAAATATTAGTCAGTTGGGATGATTCTTCCCAATATATGGAAAAAAAAACTGTTCCAAACCACCAACCAGAAATCATACCTTGTCAAATTGTTACGTGAAAAAAAATGATTTTGCGGAAAATCCCTGATGTTTGCTGATGAGTTTCTTTTATAAAAAGGTGAACTTCTACGGAGTTGTAAAAATGACAATCGATCTGGGGATGGAATCTCCGATATATTTTGATCACAAACAACACTTTTCAGCAGATGAACACAACTTTTCAGCGATCACCACCATGAATTCTATAGTCTTGGAGGAACAAAAACTTTGGTTTGTCCATGACTGGGGCAACTATATCCAAACTCTTGTTCTTCATCACTATTTTCTCATCAAAATCAATTGCCGTAAAATTGGATATCCATGGATATCCCCAAACTCATATCAAGATATCACTAAGATATCCCTATTCACTTGATTAATCCCCATTTTCTTTGGTTAAAATCCCTTTCCCTTCAAGAACAAAAACATACAAAAAAAAAACATCCAAACATCCTGTACCCTCTGGTAATTTAACAGTTTGCCATTGAAAATAGCCCAGTCGAAATAGTGGATTTACCCATTAATAGCATGGTGGATCTTTCCAGTTCGTTACGTAAACGTTTACCAGAAGGTATGTTAACTTACCAGAGGGTAACCCCTCTAAAATCCATTGCATCGCCATGACGACTGGATTTATAAGGATAGACCATCTTTGTGTCCCGAACGTTACAAGAGGGTATTTGTTCTGCAGAAAACAACAAAACCAAAAATCCCTGGAGTTGGCTGAACCGACCACCCACAAAAACCGCGCAGCAATGCCTCGGGTGCGCCATAGGGCCGAGTGCGTTCCACCAAGGCACTGTCCATGGAATCAGCGGTTGCCCTCGGTGTTTCACCGGTGAAAGATTCACCGGTAAACGAACATTGGTTAATGTGATGGTTAATGATGGGTTAATCATGGGTTAATCATGGGTTAATGATGGTTAATCATGGATTATAGTGGTAATCCATGGTTAAAATAATGGTTAATAATGGGTTAATGAACATATATACCCTCTGGTAAACTGTTACAAAAATCGATGGAACAATCCACCATGCTATTAATGGGTAAGTCCACTATTTCGACTGGGCCATTTTCAATAACTTTTTGTATGTTTACCAGAGGGTAACTTATGAAAATTGGTGCAACGATGGTGAACTTCTGAGGTAAGTACGGTTGGAAACTGGCTGGGAAATGGTGATTGATGGTGAAGAATATGTCTTGCGGCAACATTGGTTCTTAAACCATCTTTAAATGGGGTTTTTAACTTCATATTGGGTCGGTATAGCTCCAGTAAGAGGATTATGCAACATGTTTTTGTTTGGTTGATAATTGGGGACGATGTAGCATTGGGTTTATTGGGACTTCACATTACCAAAGTTGCTATAAACTTGAAAAAAAACATGGAACCACTTCTTTCAGTGAGGAAATAACTGTAGTAGGCATACAAATGCCAACTTTGATGCGATAAAATATGAATATGCTTCAGGAAACCAATGGAAATGATCAAACACACCTATTCGGAAATACATTTGGATACCACTGAAAGTCTGAACATTGATCAAAGAATAACAAATGACCCAACAAATCTATCGTCCAGTCTGTCACAAAAATAAATATCAAATGTTCCGTTTGTGTTTAAACTGGTTGCACGAGAGTTTCCTTACCCTCTGGTAAACGTTTACATAGCTATGGAAAATCACTATTTTTAATGGGTAAATCCACGAACTAAATGGCCATTTTCAATAGCTTTTTGTATGTTTACCAGAAATCACTATTTTTAATGGGTAAATCCACTTTAAGTGGCCATGTTCAATAGCAAACTGCTAGTTTACCAGAGGGTATACCGTTTCTAGATTTCTTCTCCTCTCCAAACATCACCTAATCGACCATCAAATCATATGACAGCAGCAACACAGAATCGCCGAATCACTGATTTTCTCCCAAGCCAACTTTGCCGGTTAAGTCACCAAGGTAATGTCAACCCTGGATTAATAAACCCCGTTTACGGCTGGTGAAAAATGGGGGGGGTACCATAAAAAAGTATTGGATGAAATGACTATTGGAGGAGTACCCCCCTAATTAATATAAACCATGGTTTAGCAAAATCCGGGGTTGACATTATATCAATTCCACACAATTCCCTGATTTCGATTGCTTCACCGCTAACGTTGGGTCGCCCCTACGAGCCGCACAAGATCGAAGGTTTGATAATGCGGATGCGATCCTGTGTTGGATCCCACAAGATGTTGGGAAAATGTGGGGGAAAATGTTGGGCAAGTTGTCTGATACCCAAAACCACACTGCATCCACTTTTTCTCCACTGATTGATGACCATTGATCATCAGTTTTCTTGAAAATTGCCATCAATTGGAGTAAATCTCACATTTTCAGGCAGACCCAAATGGGATTTGTGTAAAGTGGTGGCTTGGAGCCTATAGCAGTTAAGCCAGTTCAGCAGTTTTCACAAGTTGTGGAAATACACCATCTCCAAGAAACAAATTAGGAAAACTCAAAAAATACACCACCAGTTTTTGACATCTCCAAGAAAACAATGGAACTGAAAAAGTGGAGATATCAAGCTGCTGGTTTCAACTCTCATCCAGGCGCAACGTCCAACTCTGCAGCTTCGTCCTCTGGAAGCATTCCAACACCATCTACACCTCAGAGCGCTGAGGGCATGCCATGGCTATCTGGTTGGTGGTTGACCTACCCCTCTGAAAAATGATGGAGTGAAAGTCAGTTGGGATTATTGTTCCCAAGGTATGGAAAGTCATAAAATTCATGTTCCAAAGCACCATCCAGCTATGGGAAGGCACCTGCCAAAGAAGGACCTTGAAAACGTGTAGAAAACCAGCTACTTCCAGTCACATCAGTCACATGAACTGTGTTGCTGCCAAGGGAATCTTCTCCAACAATTAAAGTATTCATCACCCTGAATGAAAACATAGAGAGTTGTCTCACTGATAGTGAACAAGTTCCTCAACTTAATCAAATATAACTGTTGTGTAGAAGCAGAATATATAATTTCACGTGGAATGCTGTAGAGTCATCTCTGTCCCGGCAATGTACAGCCTATAACCTCAGTCATGAGAACCCCCTTATAATTTCTATAGAGGAGGAATGTGGATTTGTCCAAATCTGCGTGATGCGCCTTTGAACAATACCCTCTGGTAAACTAACGTAGCTATTGAAAATGGCCATCTATAGTGGATTTTCCCATTAAAAATGGTGATGTTCCATAGCTATGTTAAATTACCAGAGGGTAGGGAACATGATGATCAGACATGGGATGGAATGGGGATTTGGGACTTTCAAACTTCAATCCATTTGAAATGAACCGATGGTTTCTATACAAAAAAAACAACAGTGTATAATTAAACATGGTACCCTCTGGCTATTTGTTACATAGCCATGGAAGCCTTGGCCCATAGAAATAGATGCGTTACCCTTCTTAAAAATGGTAAATCCTGGAAAATCAACTTTTTTTTTTGACCTCAACGATTTTCCCAAAAAACATCACCGTCACCGAGCAGCGGATATCGACCGGTCGACCAATGGCTCCCATGTACTGTTTCACCTCCTGATCAATGGGAATTTCAGGATCCTAAAATGGAGGTACTGCACCATATAAGACCATATTTTGTGGGGATATTCCCTTACATAGGCCTGAAAAATAGGCCTTATATATGGAATCGGTACCTCCAATAAATCGGTTCCTCAAATGGCCACTGACCTGATGACATTTGTAAGACCAGAAATCTGCTACAAAAAACGGAATGATCTCCCTGGAAATTGCTGACTTTGTCTTATCTTAGTTTACCTTCTAGAAATTGGTGACCTTTAGAGTACTTGTCCATCTTTGACCGGGATAAGAAAAAAACATGAACAATTTGGATAAATGTTATATAACTGAGAATATCAATGAACACAACATGTTCAACAATAACAAGTTGGGATATTCACCAGCAATTTGGTGATTGGATGTCACCGAAGAAAAAAAGGGCGTTTGCAGCAACGATGTGGCTGTTGTATGTAGATACAGAATATACATACGATATATGATATATTATATAAAGTGTGGATATATATATAGTATACATCATACTGGGTGTGTAATGGTCAAAGACCTGGGAAAAATCCCTATAGGTTTCATGAGAAAGCTTCATGGACTCGTGAAATGCTTTCTGGCCTGTTGTCCATCAAGAGCTGACAATAAGCTACAACACATTTTAAAACATCCAGGCACGTCCAGGCACACACAGGCTTCTTGCCGAGGCGACGAAATGTTACTTCACTCTTTAGCGGGATATGAAGTAGATCAACAAGAATACCAAGCGCCTTTGTATATAATATTTGCTGAAGAGCAAACCCAAACAATTCAACCATGTTACAACGTGTTACCACGTTCATCCTTTGGTTAACCTACCATTCACCAGCAATGCCCCGAAATACAAACCCACCACGTTCGTCCTTTGGCCCTCGGATGACCACATCGATTTCACAAATAGCTAACCTGGAAGAACAGCACCGTGTTTTTGCCCTGGGGGTGTCTTTTCAGATGGGACTGGACACCTCGAATCTCATTGGGTCATCATGTTATCATGTTATCTATTGTCTATGCTATCTATTATCTATGATCTAGTATCTATTAAATAATTATGATATCATATCATATATACACGTAAGGACTTATGTATATTTGATTTGTTTATTTCCAAAAAAAAACTATTTTGGAACACCCCCATAATTGCGATGTTTAATTAACACATTAGATATATGTTATATAATCAAGACAATTGTGTGATCCCATGATCAACACAAACCCAAATCATGACACTCCACAGCCCTGCACCTGGCGCTCTCGGTATTTGGAGCTCCTATCGAAATGCAGAATCTGAGGTTCTAAAGAACTGATTGTTAGGTGTTCACTACTGAAACAGATTGAGGTATCTAAGATTCTCTAAGTATTCTTGCTGGTCGGTGGTTTTAACATGTTTTAACCATCTTGACAAATATGAGTTCGTCAATTGGAAGGATGACATCCCATATATTATGGAAAATAAAAATCATGTTTCAAGCCACCAACCAGCTTGGGTTTGGTTCTATAAAACCACCACACGCAGTTAGATGAACTTGTTTCTGATTAACTGGTTGGTTGGTGAATTTCATCCCGGGCAAAAGTTGCCTGGATTCGCCATCACATTTGGGAATGGAAAACAAACAATGCCGGAAACAAAAAACACAAGTGCTTATATGAGCTTATATGTGATAGCATATGATAGCCGTTTTATCATATGTTAATAATTGTTAGGTACCTGAATCTGTTTCAGTTCTGGATTCAATTGTTTCCAGGCAAGCAACACAGTTCCAGTGTAAAAAAAACGTCTTACAAAAACGAACAAACCCCTGACACCCTGATGTTCACTGCCGGGGTCTTGCTGGACGTCATTCCCCAAGATCATCTGAGATCAATCACTGGACCACCCGCGAAATTTCGGGTGTGTTAAACAATGATTTCTTGTGGATTGTTCCTTTAACCAATCCACTTATGCTCCTTCTGATTGTTTTTTTAGTTTCATGTCGTCCATCTGTTGGCTAAACATTGTCAATTGATTGAAATGATTCCTTAAACCAAAAGAGAAGAAATGATGGCTAATGCGTCCTCTTTTTGATGCTAAGGCTAAAACATTCTTTAGGTGCTTAATCCTGCTGATAAACTCTGGTGTTTTGGGAGTTAAACATGTTGTTTCACTGGTTAAGCCACGCCATGTGTATTTGAGAACACTTTCCTTCAACCCATCCAATGAACCACCTTTGTTTGCTGGCTAAACTAAACTTCCATTCTCTTTCATCAATTTCATTTTGAAGGGGACGAACCCTGTTAAACCCTCAATGAAGTCAAGTCGCAGTGAAAGTGAATAGTTAAAATAGTTAAACACCACCAACTATTTTAGATATTAGTGAAATTCATGGCCAAAAAAATGGCTTAGTGCTCCATTCACCCAATGAGTTCTAGATTTCTAGTGCTCCATTCGTGTCGTCGTCGCGTCCTATAAACACGAATCGCCCGCCCGCGAAGCAGTTCACCGCCGTCACGCCCACGGTTTGCAGCGCAATGTCGCTGGCGCAGGCCTCGGGGACTTGGGGATACCAGGGATGGTTCTGAAACGATGACCAGCGGGATATAATGGTATATAATGGTATATAATGGTACCATTTTCTGTTGGATGATACATTTGATCATTAATTATATATGATATCATTAAAGTATCTGGGTAAATTATAATATTTCAGTAACCTGAATTGAGGCCATTTGGGGATGATTTCCCTTATTAAACATGAGTCCAGTGAGGGAGAACAGTGAGGTCGTTATAATTTAACCAGATATATCCCAAATGCAAGCAACCCATGGTGCTGGTAGATAAAAACCTACAAAACTGGGCCATAAAAATGGGGTAAATGTAGGTAAATATAGGTAAATATTCCAGCACCATGGGTGCTAATCTGAGTGAATGGATTGACTTCAATGTCCAATTGGACACATTTTCATGACATGTACTTGAATGTAAATTTGTGTCTGTCAATTTGTCAGTACACTGTGACTTCAGTTCATTTTTTTGACAAAGTGAATGACACATTGAATGACATTGGACATGGAAATAAATGCACTGAAATTAGAAATCATGTACATGGCGATCTGCATTTCACAGAACATTGATCTTTGCCTGATGTGCTAAATCATTTGAGGTCCAAGTATCCTAGTTATGAAGCAGTATAACCCAGTGAATGCACCAACTTCAATCATAAATCATACGCCTGAAATGGTTTCTTTTCGGAACTATGACAAGTTCTGAATTATCATAGTTCACTCCTAGGACTAACACTACTGATGGCCTTGGCTGCCAGGTCCATATCAATCCTCTGTGCTTTAAGAAAGAACATGCACGAACTGCCCGGATAGAATCCTAAATCTTACTGGGTTTTACCTAACCAGTTGTGCAAGTCAAGGTGATAATGTGACTGGTAGGCACCATTCCCCACAACATGTCGAAACATGAGTAACATGAGACATGAGATGAACAAGACATAACAAGACGCAGTACCAGAACTGGACACAGCGCCCTTCTGTTGGTGCCATGTTTTTTTTTAGCGCGGGTGCACTGTGGAAACCATCATCTTTACAGGGACAAGTTTTAAAACCAGTCTGCTGAAACCAGCACTGTACCCAGGCCTTCCAAAAGATACTGCGCAGTGTTGGTTGTAGTGAAACCACCATTGGTTTCCATACTTTTTCGAAATTAACTGAAGTGCTAACTGAAGTTCTTGCATTTGTCTTGGCCAAGGCAGCTTTTTTTTGGCAACTCTCAGGTAGACTGATCTGGCAATAGGAAATCTTTATTTCAAATCAGAACATCAAAAAATCATCTATATAAATGAACAAATTCTATATAAATATCTACAAATCATTCGAACATATCCAGCCGTGCAGGTTGACCTTTGCTATTGAAACATCCTCGGTTTCCTTGTATCTTGTTGACATGATGACATGTCAAAGTCCCGTGTCTTACTGAAGTAAACCTTAGACATGGATGCTCTTAAAGGTCTCTTCCCCAGCATTTACAGCTGCAGGGATGCTCTGCATCCTTCGTCCTCCTCTGACGTGGAGGAACTGGTTGAGTCCATGCGCGAAACTCAACGTTCGATTGGAATGGTTCCCAAAGGTGTCTTCCAAGCCGATCCTGAGTTGGTCGCAATTTCAGGTGCTTCACATCTGGAGGTACCGAAATTGTTTTTAAGCTCCATGAAAGGCACAATTTGTAGGGAATACCCAGCCCAATATACTTGGCTGTTGAAGTAGTCTCTGGGCCACTCCATCCTATTTGTCGGGACGGAGCAAATCCAACCAAAATATAATGGCACTTCCAGTCTTGGTCGATCAAATAGAACAGCCGTGAATTAGATGGTCAAGAAACTCGAAATAGCCATGAATTAGCCCATGATGTCCAGAATGGTCAACATCTTTTCATCTCTTTCCGATCTTTTTCCAAAAAAAACACCAAGAAAAATCGTTGAACTCGCCATCCAGATTCATCCAAAAGGAATAGCCCCTGGGCCTCTCAACTTCCTTCGCAGCTTGGTACGCTGCTGCCAATTGTTCTGGCCAAAAAAAGGCCCACTTGGGAGGTGAGCCCCAGCTGACGCCCAGCAAGAGTTTGGAATGGGGAACTTGGATCTTCACATCACCTGCTGTGAAAACATGGACTGTTTGATCGAGGATATCAATGGCTATAGTAAGTCCAAAAAATTGTTGGGAAGTGTGGGGATGAGTTGCATGAGACTACCAAGAACAAGGATTTTATGGGGTGTAAATCGACCACAATGGCTATATATGTATATAGGGATATAATTGGTACTGGTATGTTAAGGATATAAAGAGATCAATCAGGCCCCTGGTCATCCCACCATCATTTTTATGGGATTCCTTAGCATTCCTTCTATCGAGGGGAAACAAACTTGCCATCGCTGCGCAAAAAGAAAAAGTAGTTTACCAGCAACACATAAAATACATCCGCAACAATTGGTGATATAACATGATATAACTAACCAATTATTTGGTAAACTCAACGTTTAGTAATAGTAAACCCAATGGTTTAGGAGACCTCGAATGGTGGGGATGGTTTGTGGTTCCGCCCCTTTCTGGTTAAATTGGGGGTGAGGGTGGTACATTACTAGGCTTCCAACATTAGCACAATTATCATATCCCTTTGACAATCTAAGGTGGCAGACAGGACAAATAACCTGTTGTGTGTCCATAGATAGGTGATTTTCTCACATATTCACATGTTCGCAACACAAAATAGGATATCCCAGTGTCATTGGCTTGATTGCTGCACCGGCCAGGCTGTCTTTCTCATGTTTTTGGGGGTCAACAGTTTCTTAGATCTAACAATTGAGCCACCATGGTTGACCCCATTTTTTGGGGTTGACCAGCAATGACCCAGTTCCGGGCATGTGCCACACCTTGCAATGGAAGAGATGGGTCATCGAAATGAATGGTCCATCCATTGAGGAACTGTGCTGCATAGCTTTGCAGATACTCTTCCTCGCTGATGCCGCTGTGCAAAGCTTGCATGGCTGGTGCGTAGCTTTCATAGAGCTGGATGGTGACCAAATCCTGGCCACTCGCTACACATGGAATTATCAACAAAATATGAATAATCCAGTTGATAATGTGCTAAATGCGGATTGCTTACTATAAAACTATATTAACCATAATGGACAAAACTATATATATATATGCATACGGCCCATCTCCCATCTCCCTGCCATTTCTTTGCTCCCTGCCATTTGATCATCTTACCACGGAGAAGTTTGTGAACTGAAATAAAATGAAGGAAGGCGAAAAAAGGAAGTTTCCTAAACAGTCCCGGATCTTCGGAACATGGGGGACAATATAAATAATTATATATCATATATATATATATATATATATCATATCATATTGACATATTTGAATACATTATTTAATGTTCCAATGTAATTTAAATATTTACATCACCATCATGGGGGGCACTAATGTTGACCTCCAAGTCGTCAACTCTCCTTTTCGAAACCAAGATTCAAAAGTTCCCTCGGGGGCTGCAGCCCACCAATAGGCATAGCAATTTCTGCCGCGGTAGAAGAAATCTGGATGATAGTCCTGATGTCCATTCCATGGTCAACCACACAGGTTTCACATGTTCAACATGATTCTTGAACCGAAAGATTGGTGCTGTGGGGCCCACTCGAAAAAAACAAATGTTTTAATATGCTGGCCACTTTGTTTTTTTTTAAAAAACAGAAAAATATAAAGAACAGAAAAATAAGATTCACCCGTCCTCATTGGAATTGTTCAGGAAACGGTTAAACTTTGATGTGGTCACATCAAAATACGTCTGTGCCGGTGCCATGGTCACCAAATATCCCGCTTTTTTGGCAAACGAAGACATATCAACGACCAGCTGCATGCATGCTGAGCTGAAGACGTTGTAGCGGCTTTGGGTCCAATCGTTTCCTTCCAGGTCCCAGTCGAAACCGTCAAAAGGTAGGGCTAAGCCTGGCCGACTCATCAATTTCTCGGCCCCAAGATGCCCCAAGTGGTTGTTTTCGGAGGCGTGCTGATAAATAACCTGGTAGTTTTGGGCGTTTTTTGGGTATTTTAGTCGTGGGTGGGGTGGGGTGGGGTGGGGTGGGGTGACCTTTTCGGATCTCTGTTCACATGTCTATATGATTATATGATGTGTCAATATATTCGCGCATATATAATATAATATATTATATATTAAATATAATATGTATATAATATATTATATTTATTTGATATTATCTATTATATATCGTATATTAAAAAAATAAATAAATTATATATTAAATATTTTAATATAATATATTTAATATAATATATTAAGTATAATATTTAATATATATTATGTTATATTATATTATCTTATATTATATTAAATTATAATATATATATATACTGTATATATATACATTAAATTAAATCATATTAAATTACATTAAATTATATTAAAATAAATTAAATTATATTACCTTATATTATACTATATATATATACATTATATCTTATATATTATATATTGTATATTATATATATATATTTATTTTATATTATATATTCTATATTAAATATAATATATCATATATATATTATTATATATTATATATTATGTATTGTATATTATATATTATATATTATATATTATATATTATATATTATATATATTATATTATATATAATATTATATTATATATAATATTATATTATATATATATATATATGTGTGTGTGTTACGTGGTATAAAACCTGGTTCTATAAAACCTGGCTGATTGAGTTGGACGGGTTTCCCAAAAAAGGTCAGGCAGAGGTCTGATCCGGGGCATGGAACTCATAGGAACTCAGGGCATAAAATCACCACATGGAAACCCAATTCTTGGATGTTGAAAGCTCCAAAACAATCATGTCCGTTTGGTAAAAATAGGTTTGGGCCGGGAGCTGGTTAATCCCATCTATCATCATAGAAACCTGTTGTTATTTTGGGGTAGTTACCTTGAGAAACCCCTCCAAAAAAATCAACCAACCAAATGGGAATATATGTTACCAATATATGGTTAATATATGGTTAATATATGGTTAACATATGGTTAACATATGGTTAATATATGGTTAATATATGGTTAATATATGGTTAATATATGGTTAATATATGGTTAATGATGGTTAATAATAATATCTAGTTGGTGGTTTCAACCTACCCCTCTGAAAAATCATGGAGTGAAAGTCAGTTGGGATGATGACATTCCCGATGGAAAGTCATAAAATTCATGTTCCAAAGCACCAACCAGATCACCATGATTGCTGGTATAACAATCATTTTTTTTGGTGGGTTAGGTTCCAATGTTTGCCAGTGGATGTGCAGCCTTTGCCGGTGAAACTCACATTGTTTGGATCTACTACAATCCCTTCCCCCGTTCATTTTAAACACCCCCAAAAAAATGGTTTAGTACAGGATGCAACACGTATTTCGGACATTTTGGGACAATTGTGGGGGTGTTTGATATTAAGCACATGAAATTAGTTGAATGATGTTTTTCATGGGATCTGTCGCAACCACCAGTAGATGATGCGTTCAGTTGCCGGCCTTGATTCCAAGTGTGCCAGGCATGAAACCACTCCTCTCCCGTAAAGCTGGTGTCAGGATGAGGACCATTCCACCCACCAATGGTGATGAGGTGTCTGGTGTCGAGGTCCTGAGTTTAATCCACGTGTAAAACAACATGTGAAAATTGTGAAAATATGACTTTTAGTGGGGTATGTGGTGTTTATACCCTCATACCACATCTACATCAAACCACAGACACAATTAAAATCTGCATGGCTGAACTCCATCCGGCTTCTTTTGCTTCAATGCTCTTCCGCACGCGTGCCACGCAGTCGAGATCTGGCAAAGGCCCTGCAACTTGGGGCTTACCATCCACTTTCAGAAGACTGGAAGCGAACCAAAAGATCACATTGACACCTCTCTCCACGGCCAGCAGAGTTTGACTTTCATTGCACCTCCCCCAATTTTGCCAGGCAGCAATAATGGGGCCCTCCGGAAGGGAATGGTGGACAACATTAGAGGCAGCAAGGATAGAACAGGCCAACAGTGTACCAAGTAGACTTAAAACCGGCATCTCGTTGGACGCTTGAATCCACTTGAATCCACTTGAACCACTTGAGCTACAGTTTCTGCATCTGCCCTGAAAGAAGTCATGCAAATCAATATCCAGAATTCAGCAGATCAGCCATATATATATAATATAATAACTACGAGTAATTTAGTGGATTTGCTTCTAGAACAAAGCTTGTCAGCAAGTGACAATATACCCAACTGGACAAACTTGAGGAACTGCTCAAATAGACTTCTACGTGTGTCACCAGTGTGTTGACCCAACTAATATCTACGAGTGTATATATATATATATACCTTACAAAATACAAACCATGTATACATTTATAATATCACATAAATGTAGCTATATAATTTGTTTTATAATATTCTATATAGGTAATTAAACAGTAATATACACCCTCTGGTTATTTAACATAACCATGGCAAATCACCATTTATAGATGGTTTACCGTTCTTAATCGCATGGTGGATCTTTCCATGGCTATGTTAAATAACCAGAGGGTGTATATATATATATATATATAACTGGGTAACTTATAATATTTCACTAACCTGAATTAAGGCCCATTTGGGGATGACTTCCCTTAATAACTATGATTCCAGTGAGGTCGCAGTGAGGTCGTTATAATTTAACCAGATATGTTATAAACCATATAAACCATATCACGTTGAACACCTTCGTGTGAGTATCGGTTTGTATCGGAATCAATGGATCTGAAAAAAAAATCCGTCTGAGGTCCCATCTGGATTGCCATCCCACTGGTCCTTCATGCCCACGCGCATTTGCAGGCCCGTCCTGTACATCCAATTGATCCGTCGAAAATCCGATTTTTTCATCTGGAAATCATCGAAAAATCATCCAAAAGTTTCGAGATGGGAAATGATGGGAGGCACCAAAAAAAGTCTTTACCCTTAGATAGAAGGATCAATATATATATATATATTTATATTTATAAATAGGGCCTATAATCTTACCTGCAAACCTTTGAAAAATACCAAGGTTGAAGTGGTTTGACTAACAAAATCATTGGGTACTCAACCAGCACAAAATGGGGATTGATCCATTTGTCTCCGGGAAATTTGGGCACTGTCCATTTGGAATACAATGCTGTGCTGAAACATAGTTCTTCAGGGAGATTCCATATAAAATATACATATACATATACATATACATATATACATACATACATTACATTACATTACATTACATTACATCACATCACATCACATCACATCACACCACATCACATCACATCACATCACATTACATTACATACATACATATACATATGTACATACTTGTCTACATGCATATATATATATATATATATATGTATATATACATAGATATGTATGGCACCTAATTGGATCCTTGGACGTTCTCAAACATCCTCAAAGCAATTCCAGGGCTTGTGTTGGGGTCTTGATGCCAGCCACAAATCCCATTTCTTCTGCGCTGAGTGCAGTGCTTGGTAAATGTGGGATTGTCCTTGGCCGCGACAAGTGGAGATGGAACGCGGAAAAAAATGTGGCACAGTAAACACCACGCAGTTTGCAAATATTGACAGTCATGAAAGATATGACTCCAACGACACAATGTTGTACGCATAGTCAAAGATGGTATGTCAATCATGGCAAGATGACATATTTCTGACCAGGCACAAAATGGTGTTCCACGACTTGATCTGGTTGGTGGTTGACCTACCCCTCTGAAAAATATTAGTCAAATGGGAGTATTGTTCCCAAAATATGGAAAAATAAAAAATGTTCCAAACCACCAACCAGTGATGGACATGAGATTCGTGAAACACTCACAGTGTTTCCCAGCGCCAATTCGGGGTGCTTGTCAAATGAAGCCAAAAAGTTCCTGTCCATTTTCCATACCCAATCAGCCCATTGACCAATAAATCACCAGGTAATGCTTGGTCAAAGAACTGTAATCTGAAGGTTATTTATTATAATAAGCCATGCATAAAGAAAGTTATGCCACCCAAAGGCGTTTCAGATAATGACCAACTGTAATCTCAACATTCCTGCATGTTTGATCTCAACAAAAAGGCTGCATACATCTCGGGAACAATCCCAAACCTGTGACTAAAATTATCCTATGGGACCTCTTCCCAGGGATGTTGGCCATCGAGAAGTTGTAATTCACAATTTAACACGTTTCCAAAAACAATAAACTTCGAGTAGAAATCTGGCAGATGACACAACAATATAAAACAATCATCGAAGTCCAAGTATAACATCATCTTCTGGCAGCTCCCCTCAGGAACAAATCTGGCTGTATCCAAGCTGCAGTTCGCGGGTAGATTCGGACCTGCCAGGAACGTCATTCCCAAAATGATCGGATCATGTGTGTTTTTCATGTGTGTTTCAGCGACCAGAATAAACCACTACCCTCTGGTAAACAAACAGTTTGCTATTGAACATGGTGATTTATAGTGGATTTACCCATTGAAAATGGTGATTTTCCATAGTTATGTAAACGTTTACCAGAGGGTAACCACAACATGCAGCTCCGGAATCAGGTCCAGCAACTCGCTCAGGATGTTCCCAAGATCACGACACGATTTACCCCATCCCAGCCATCAACAGCAGGATCCACACCACTTGGGATCCACACCACTGCCATGGGAATCAAAGTTCCAAGGTCTACTCGCCACCAGGGCTCTGCCTTCACGTTGAAATCACCATGATTCCAATTTTTCAGCGTCTCAAGTTGTGTTGCTTTATCAACTTCACTAAAAAATTCACCCTTCAGGGGGATGAAGCATTATTTAGCCATATTCAACACTGACAAAATGATGCTTAACATGTTAATCTTGTTAATAACGTTTGAAAGCTCCTGAAAACTGAAATAAAGAGAGTCCCACTAACTGCTACTGGGTACCCTTCGGAAAACGCACCAACAGCACTGCAAATTGATCAACCCAAAAAATCGGTTGAACACGTTCTCCCACCCACCTGGATAATGGCATATCCATACGCGGTCGACGTCAGAATATGTTGCGGTAGTAGCCCGGTACAAAATGGGATGGCAATTGTAAGTAGGATTGAAATTACCATTACATCTCGGAGTTGTTGTCCTTATTTTTGACACAGACTCCACCGTGGATTTGTACTGCCAACAGCACAGGCGAAGATTACATCCATATCTATTCCCCTGATATTGTTGGTTAAAATCAACTCATCTCACCCTTACGGTACTTACGGTCTACCATGGCTTACCCAATCACCTGCTTCCAGTAACCCCTGACCGGGCGACCTGCCAATCGGTGATGGCGCAGCCTGCTGAAAAATAGAGGTGGCCACCTGTAGCGCTTGGATGATGCCAAAGGTTTTTGGGTGGTTTTTGGTGGGGAAAATGAGATTTGAAAACTCCAAGAAATGCGGATTTTATTTCTGATTTAACTAACTTCTGGGGCTTAATTAATGTTCATCAACCATATTTTACATGCATGTAATGAGAGATAAACTGGGAAAATTATGACGATTATATATATATATGGGGATTTAAGCAACAATGAATTGCTTAAGCAACACTAAACTGGACCAAACTGGGATTTACAGTAACTGGAAACACATGGAATTTGGAATTTAGCCCAGTCGGGTTTGTCTCAATCAGCCATGAGGTGAAATTGAGGTACGTACCAAAGTCTGAGTCCTACCCACGTGTTGTTGGAAAGATTTCACCATCATATGATCAAGCCGGTCAGATGTTCGCTGGTCTCTGCTGAATGGGCTACCTGTAAATGCCTTTGCCGACCGCCTAGCCAGTGTGAGGCATCATCGGGCAGAAATGGTGTACTTCCAATCTTTGTCAGCCAGTATTTTTGCCCAAACGCACAGCTATCTCGATGCTGAACAGTAACAACACAGGAACATGTCATCTGTGCGATTCTGCTGAATGACAAACATCTTCACTTCGAGATGGAGTTTGGTTTCCAAACTCACAGTATCAAATGGGTCAAAACCCTGGTACCCTGTAGTTCAAACCAAAATAGCTAGTAGTTATGGATGTTCATCCACACACTATGGTATGATTCTAGGCATTACGTACATCCCCACAAGTTGTCACCAATACATCACCACCTTGTTGCTGAGTCATCACCGTTCAATCAAGTTCACAAAAAAAAATCCTGCTGAACCCACCTGGCTAAATCACCGTTAGAGTACCCTCTGGTAAACTAACATAGCTATGGAAAATCACCATTTTCAATGGGAAAACTCACTATAAATGGGCAATTTTCAATAGCTATGTTAGTTTACCAGAAGGTAATCACCATGAAATGCCACACCTGTATCTCCATCCACCGCTTTGTCCGCCGTGGTGACCGCTCCCTCAAGGAAGACGGAAGAGGACATTTTCGCCTTCGAACGGGAATTCGATGGTGACTTAACCAGGAAACATGGTGACTAAATGGATTTAATGGTGACTTAATGGTGACTTAATGGTGAAATAATGGTGATTTAGCCAATCAAGATGGTGATTTAATGGTAATGTTTCAGTATAACGTGCTTAATCATCCAATAATTAGTTTCATAATTTTCATAGGGAAACACCCAGTTAGTACATAACATCCCCTTATAACTGGTGTAAAAAATAGAGCCTGATTAGTTGGGCAGTTGGCCATTTGGGGATGATTTCACCGTTGAAAAACTAACGATCCTAGGCCTTGGCCAACAGTTGAACTGTTGTGAGGTCGTTCTAACTCGTCCAAAGAGCTAGTTCTAGTCTAAGTTCTACTCTGAGTTCTACTTAGTCTAGATAAGTTCTACTCGAAGTTCTACCATGGTGCTAACATCTATGCCACATCAAGCACCAGTGCACCAGTTGCCGAGACACGTCTTTGAAGGTGGCTGGATTGGATGATGAGCCTGCCGCCCAACCGTGACGCCGTGACTGGACCCCGTTTATCACTTCACACCGGGGTAAGCCCAAAATAGAAAAGTTGGGAAAATGACCAAGCCTATCTTTTGTGACTGTAGATCCAATACATGTCCCAACAGTTTGGGGGAGTATTTACCAGCAGATTCCTTTGGCGATTTCCATCTGGGAATGTAAATCCATCCACTGTCTGTTGGTGCAATCGGAGTTTGATCAACTGCAATCAGGTCGTAGCTGAGGCAAAGACATGTCTGCAACCAGTGAGTTTTGGGTCAGAAATAGCTGAACCAGATTGTATGAAATTAGCAAGCCACAACAGCCACTTCTTGCTGCAGTACGTCAAGTAATTCCCTGGTACATCCCTGGTGCATCATGCATCTTTAGACGGAAAGAGATGCATCCGAAACCATGGTATATGGGGATGGGTCAAAACCCTGGTACCTAGTGAACCCCAAGTCATAGCTGGGATTTATGGATGTTCATCCCACTAAACATGGTATTTTCATAGGTATTGATCCATACCTATATTTTTTACCAACGTTCTTCTCCCGGTGCCCTGGCGCTTGGTGATTCTTTTTTGTGCCTCGAATCTCTTCGGCACATGCCCTGAACAAAGCGATCCTGGCGGCCAATCTCCCAGGTCACCCAGATAGCAACATCTTAGGAACTGAAAACATCTGGAATATGAACTGGAATATTCAGTTGACCATCCTGTGTATATATATATATATGTATATATATATATATGTATATGTATATATATATATGTATATTAACTAAATAGCATATATTCATCAGTTAACATCTACCATATACTGGAAGATTAACTGATGGATGAAAAATCAGCATATGAACTTACACATTGAATGATAAATCTACCAACCATATGTGGTACATATGAACTGATATCCCGTTGCCATGTTGCCAGTGGGTCTATATTTAAAATAGCAATTTACCCACAGTTTACCACAGTTTACCCGCTACCGAATCATTTAATTCCGAATAAACGGAGGTATTGCTATTCAAATGCCATAAACAATATACTTGATATGTAATATTGGTATATTGGTATATTGCTATTCTCATGGCAGTTCAATATGGTATAAACAATTCAAAAGGGGTATACCGGTATATTGCTATTCTTATACCGTGTAATACCGGTATACCAATATACCCCTTTTGTGGAGAGGCCAATCAACAACTGATAAGTATTGCCGGGTATTGCTTTAAAACTCTCTAGTGAGGTAATCGGTAGACTGGGTAGACGACTGGGTGGGGCCCAACAATTGATTCACAGGATGGACTTTTGAACACTCCCCAAGCCATGGAAGTTATCTCATGCAGGTCCAAAGATGGTTGCTTAGCATACCCAAATACTAGGGGATACTGGCGTGCGTTGGTTAGTCAATTTTGTTTGTTTCATGGGACAAGATTGATCATGGTCACTTCTGGGTCAAATATCGACAAACAACGTCAAATAAATGACAATCAGGTAGTGGTTTCATAGAATATGGATACCCCAAACCATTGGTTTTCCTATTGATAATAACAAATGTTGGATGATTTTAGGGTACCCCATCTGGAAACCTGCACATTTCTTCATCCAATCTATCGTCTCACCTGAAAGCTGCACATGACTAGTTGATAGGTTTGCCTAGGGGTTAATGTCACAATCCCCAATAACCAGGTAGTATATATAACTCCTTGTAACCAATCACCACGGGTATTTCAACTAAGTTCAGTTTAACAATCTGAGTTGTTAGGTCATTCATTCTCGGGGATGGTTTCCCCTTACCAGCATTCCCAACGTTTTCCCAATGTTCCTTGACATGGGTCATGGAAATCATGATTAATGATTAATAGGTGGTATAAACCACTTTCCAAATCACCGTAAATAGGTAGTAAAACTATTATAACTATAGTTCCCCTACTAACCAGAGTCATATTTTTCATGTGGGAAAAACCATGCCATTTGCACCATCCCTCAGTCATCACCATACCATTCCCAAATCAGATCATGGCCGTCATGGGGAACCAAAGCCGGATGGGAACGGATCAAAACCTGTCAGCTACGGTGACATGTGGTACCTGGTACCGTTGCTACCTTTGATCGACAGTCATGAAACAAACACATGAACAATGAGGAACACCATTACTAAACCTTGAATTTTGGGATAAATATAATAAAAACATAATATATATATATATATAATAATGATAATAATAATAAATGATAATATATATATATATACTAATAATATATATATATATATATATACACATATGATATATATATATATATATTCACAATATATTAGATATATTCCATTTTGAACAAACAAAAACACGAAGAATCACCGAGCGAACAAGCTCCTCCAAATGACGTGTATCGCCTTGGGCGATCGCCATGGAGGTCGAAGCGAAGCAAGCGAAGCCATCCAGCGAAATGGCTGGTGTTCCCCAACAAACACGGCTGGATCAACGATTCGAAATCTGAAAGAAACTTGTTGAAACACTTGTTTGTTCAAGTTTCAATGTTAGAAACAAACAGGGAAAATAAGAATGGACACAAACAAAATGAAGAATTCAGGCTTCTTCAGTGACGCATTTTTTCATGGGCTCAAAGTGACTTGTTTGGAGCTGGTACAGCAATTCTTCAAAATCAATTTCTACGATGTCCAAACGTCTTCCGCTTTGAGTTGGCCTTTCGTCATCCTCGAAACATCCTGGTGATTTTCTTGTGGCTTGTCGATGGTTGCAGGTCTCCTACTGGACGCCACTGGTTTCACCATGTTTCACCATTGACCATTTTCATCTTGTGGCTGCCGGCGAGACGAAACAAGTCGATGATTCGAAGCGAAAAACAATCAGGCAGTGGTCCAAATTCTTTTAATGGAGATGGATAAAATCATCAAAACCTATCCTATGAATCCTATGATATTTTGGAGGCATGACCCTCCATCAACCAGCAATTCCGACGTTTTAACCCACAACCATGGAGAAAATTCCCCAGGCCCGTGCATGTTTTGGTTCTCCGCAACCCCATAGAGGGGCGAGTTGCAAAGTCATAGCGAGTCTCAAGTATCAAAGGCTTGACCGTCTATGTACAGCTTGCCGGTACGGGTTTTCCCGGTTGCTTTCATTTACAGTACAACTGGGTCTGTCTGGACATGAAGAGAAAGGAGAAAGCACATGAAAACACAAACTGGTTGGTGGTTTCAATCATCTTGAAAAATATTAGTCAATGGGAAGGATGATTATCCCATGCCATATACTATGGAAACATACAAAATGTTTGAAACCACCATGATTGGACAAACCCAGAGGAGTATGGATCAAATTTGGGTATCCCAAAAGTGGCCCTATCTCCTGACATGTTTTCCGTGTGAGAGGAGGAATGCATCTTTGTCAGTCCTCATGTGAGCAGTGCCCCTCTTCACCTTCTGTTCTCCGGATGTACTGGATAACAATGATGGTAAAAACATGTAATAACAATGTCAATGAAAGATAATAAAACCACTTTTAAACCAATTAGAACAACGTTTCACTTCACCATCAACCACCATGAACTGGACACTGGTGACACTTGACACTGCTCAGGTCCCGACGGTCCCGACTAGAAGAGTTCTAAAGACTGCAGCGACACCGATGACACCATCGATAGCTCCGTTGAATCCAAGAGTTCTTGCAACCGCGTCTGGCATGAAGCCGTGATACTGTCCTTGGCTTTTTGACTAGTGGGATTGTTCATAACAACTAGCAACTTATGTTATTCGTTTTAATATGTGTTTTAGTATATGGTTTACTGATGATATTCTCAATTTTGTGAAATGATTAATTTTGTTATTAGCAAACCCACCCCAAACCCACAAACACACCATCTTCTCGATCCAGGTTCCAAAGAAGTGGATGATAAAGCGTCTTCGACTTGCTTCCGATCTGCTTCCACGAGGAAAATTTCAAAGTTGAAGCTTTGCACCCTGACAGGGCTATATTTAACGCATGTAATTCAGGAAATCACAGAAATTAAACAAGGTTTAAGATGATGTTTCAAACTTATTTTCTGGATTCAATGGTCAAACCACTCTTCTTCAACAAGGTACTTCGACCCCACTGTGTATACAAGCCTTACGCAATCCGTTCATAACCCCCATGGGTAGAATTCAGATCATACGAAATCTACATCTGATCCCCACCTGGACCAAAAAAAAACATGATTTTCCATTTTTTTCAATTTACCATGATTTACCCCATCATAATCCCTATTTGTATCCCCGTTGTTCCTATGATCATCATGTTCCCACTCTTCATCCCATCCCATCCGAAAAATCTCCATAAAACCTGTTTCAAATCCCCAACACTCAGATACTGCTCATCATTTTTCCACATGTTCTCCTAATTTCTCCTGATTTTCTCAGGTTTTTCTATATGTTTCTATATTTTTCATGGGTTTTTCCATGCCCAACTGGTTGGTTTCCCCGTTTTTTCCGGCGTTTTCGGGGGCACCTCAGGCGTCGCCCCGGCGGCGGCGGTGGCAGCTCCACCTTCACCGCGGCGGCGCTGACGCCGGCGGCCGCCGCCAGCGAGGACTGCAGCGCCAGAATCAGCGGCTGCTCCAAGGTGTCGTCGGGGATGTTGATGTCCAAGGATCCTGGTCATCCAACGATCCATCGAATAGCAAAAAATAGTATAAAATTACTTTACTTCGAGTATAAATTAGTTTATAGAATAATCATATTCTAATAGTATATCTTAGTAAATAGTAGAATATGATAATAGGGCAATAATAGTATGGAGTATATAATATCGATATTCTAATAGTTCCTAATAGCAATCATATTCTAATAGTATATATTAGTACATTGTAGTATATGATAATAGTGCAATGATAGTATGGAGTATATAATATCCATATTCTAATAGTTCCTAATAGCAATCATATTCTAATAGTATATATTAGTACATAGTAGTATATGATAATAGTGCAATGATAGTATGGAGTATATAATATCCATATTCTAATAATAATCAAATCCTAATAGTATATATTAGTATATGATAGTATTTGATAATAATACAGTAATAGTATGGAGTATATAATATCCATATTCTAATAGTAATCATATTCTAGTAGCATATGATAGTATATAATCCATATGATAGTATATAATCCATCGAATATTAAATTGAATTGATGATTTTATAATAGTATATAATAGTATTTATTAGTGTATGATAGAAAATGATAATAGTGCAAGAATAGTATGGAGTATACAATATCCATATTCTAATAGTAATCATATTCTAATAGTATATATTAGTATATGATAGTAGATGAAAATAATACAAAAATAGTATATAATAATGAAGTGTATTACAGGGAGGGGACTGTTGTGAGCGGCAGAAAAATGGTATATAAGAGTAAATAATAGTATATAATAGTATATAGTAGTATATGATAATAGTACAATAATAGTATGGCGTATATAAAATCCATAGTGAGCACCATATAATAATAATCACCGATAATAATACAGTAATATTATATAACGGAGTATAATAGTAGATAATAACATGGTATCATCCAACAATATCTGATTATATTCAATAATAATGGTTATGTCATGATCATTAGTGGTATTGCTAGTATAATATTATTGAATATGATCCATAATAATAGTAAATGATCATTATAATTGATATTCAATAAGAAAAATAGTATACAATCCATATCACCATTATCAATAATGATCCATTGAATATAATTATTGAATATAAAATAATTGAATATATTTATTGAAAATAAAATTATATATTATTATAATACAATATAGTCCATATAATAGTATTTTATGTTATATAATACATCCATTTAATATATCATTATAAAATGGTATATCATAATAGGGGCTATATACCATATATAGTATTATATAAACATAAAAACCATCATGATATTGATAGTATGACAATGGTATATTGTGTCTATATGCTAGAATATACACGTATAATATTGATAATCAATATCAGCAAAAGTTTATATACATATTTTATCACTGGTACTATGGTACATAGTCCATATAAAAGTATATTATGGTAAATTATTCTATTCAAAAATGGTATATTCAATGTAGGCCGATGATGATATATTGATATATTATTATATTCAATGGATTATGTTCTTATTAATAATCCAGAATACATATTAATTTATATATATAATGAATTATATTCTATGATTATACGGATTATTCATTGAATACAATCTATTATAATGGATCTACATGCCAAGGATATATGGTGAGAAAGGGAAATGGGGAATGGCCCTATTATACGGTAATATATCATAAAAATCCGTGAATAATCAGTTATTTCTATGATTAAAATGGATTCTATGGTATTATAATGTTAAGTTTTTGGACAACAGATTGGCCCAAGGGAACATATCAGACGGAAACCAGAATTTTATTTTACTAATTGTTGGTGGTTCCTGCAAATTGTCTGATCATCCACTTCTAGGAGGTATTGTGAAAAATAGGTGGTTAATAGAATGTTGACCATACCAATGCAATCTGATGGTTAATGCTGTTATAACATCTATAGTCATTTATGTATATATATATATATGTTAAATATGATAAAAGCAAACACATATAATGTTTGTTGCGGGGATACCCCCAATATGTTTTTTTCGTCGTGTGGATACAACGGAAATATAAAATGCTTTTGACCAAGAACAGTTTGGGGGGTATAGTGATACACAACATTGAACAACATGGTGGTATGATGAACAATTTAAGGGCATCCTATCCCCGGGAAGTTGCGGAAGTTGTAAGTGTGAAACACACATATTGACAGGGATAAAGGTTACACCATTTGATGAATGATGTCCACAGGTCCTGCTTTGGATAAAACCGGATAGATGATATGTGAAAACAAAAATAATAGATTTATTATACTTCTGACAACCGGAACAAACTAGGAATATAGCAACCAAAATAGAAATAATTCCTGGGAGTAGCTGAAATACAAAACAACTGGGATATAAGAAGAAGAACCAAACGTTAAAACACCCCCAATGACTTAGACTTGGGTGGGAGCAACACCATCCCCAAGTGAAGCATTGGGTTCACCACATTAGTTGACTGGTACCATGAAATCTCCCATGAGTCTTAGCTTTAGGTCAAAGGGGGTGGGAGATAGGAGGCCCCATCAACTGCAGTATGATATTCATCAAATACATCCCTTCCGAAACCATGGTTTACTATTGGATTCATATATGAATTTTGGAGTCAGATGTCGGGGGTATATAACATTTGGGAATGCCCCAATGTTCAGCAATTTTTGCCCGCCACCCACTGGTAGGCATGGTAAAACTGTAGGTGGCTACACTCCAAATCCCCATCTCTCCGCTCCTGGAAGTGTTGGGACCTCTCCACGACAAGCGTAGGCGTTCTCAATCAACACGCAGTCGCGCAGCTCGTCGCACGTGATACCCTGCGGCTGTGGACACGCCGAATTCGTCTTGCCGCGATCGCAGCTGCAGGTCGTTGGACCTTAGTCCGTTGGTTCAAGGGCCATGAATAACACCTTGGTCATTGGATCATCGTCGCAAAATGGGGGTTCCTTTGAAAGAAAAAGTATGTGATACAACTAAATTCAACACTTCAGCTGTGATACGGGGATGGTTGGTAAAAATGATAAAGATCAAAGTCGTTTAGCACCCAAGATCACCGTCACAAAACTTGGCCCATGACTGGCCACCCACAAATTGCTGGCCAGGTGACAAAAGAACTCGAGGGTTTTGAAGTCCCAGCCCAGGGCAGAACTCCATTCGGTACATTCACCTTGGAAGCAGCAGGGGCCCTGCTGCTATTTTTTAGTGAAATGTTGGGGGAGATAGTCATCCCAGTTCTTGGGATGGGGAAAAACCAAAAAATCATCAAGCAAGTGCAGATGATGCGTTGATTTACCCAATCATAGATATCTTGTACCATATTATACCAGCAATCATATCATTGTTTATAATTGTTTATACACATAACAAGTCTAAAACAAAAACTTCATGAAACCACTCTGAAGTCACCCCACGTGATGTTCTGCGCTGACAGGTTGTTCCCAAAGTCGCAACCATGATCCCACATTGCCTTCACATAGACGGTAAAACTGGAAAAAACACCAAGCGCTAAATCATGATGATTTCTTATCTTGTGTTTGCCTCACAAATGACAAGACAAACAATTGGGCATCCAGCTTCTTCTCAACACTTTGTGTACCGATTGAACTATTGAACATCACGCAATGTTTCAGTTGTGGCGTTCCTCTCCTTGATACTCCTGTTGTCGGCCAGTGATGTGGGTAGAATTCGTTTTTTTGTGGATGGGCATTCCGTTTCTGCATTTTGGTTATGATCTGGTAAACTAACATAGCTATTGAAAATTGCCATTTATAGTGGATTTTCCCATTAAAAATGGTGGTTTTCAATAGCTATGTTAAATTACCAGAGGGTATGATCTATAATTCCGATCTTGTAAAATCTTGTAAACACATTCTTAAATCCTGTCAGGCTGCGATGTATCCCATTCCTATTTGATGGTTGGATTCCCCCATTTTTGTTGGGATCATCCTTGGGTATTTTGTTTCCTTGCTGATTCATGGATTGTAAATTAATCCCAGTTTTGTTCGGTGAAAACCAAGTCTTGTTTGTACCATTCATGGCTCTGGATGACTAGAATAGATCACAAAAAGTTCGGCTATTTGGGGATCCCCTACCTAACCATGTTTTGCAGTGACGTGGCAGCGTGGTCTTTCAAGTCTACCCACAGGGGACAAAATGAGCACATCATTTGAGCACATCGCTTGAGCAGTCTTCAAAAAACCTTTGCACACCCGAACTAATCATCCACCAACAGGGGTTCAACGCAGCCACTGCTCCTCTCTCCATCACCCCTTTATTCTCTGGTGCCTGTGCCAGCAGCAAAGACTCATTCTGTCCAAGTAAAATTCTACTGGGTGTCTCCCCGAACGTACGAAGCTTGCTGATCCAACCTGGGTGCTGTTAAACCATTGACCCCTCCTTGAAGAATCTCAGCAAAAAACAATAATGGTACATAAACACATGTACATATAGATGTGTGTGGAACAGGAATAAATAACCATGTAATCAAAATTAATTAAACATCAATTTTGGGTGGTACTGTACCTAGTTTCAAACAAACCCCCATGCATCTAATCATGGGGTTGTCAATGGTTTCAGCCTGCTTCTGTTCATTTGACCCCAAGGAAACCACATAATGTGATCCTCATCCCCTGGTTTTCAAACGGAAAGAAAGCAGGTTTTACACATGGGTCGAGTCACAGGGTCCCCGGTCCCCCAACAAAATTCGAGGCTTGGCATATTGCCAAAAAACCATCAAATCACCATCAATCCACTGTATTGACATGTCTTGACCCATATCCACCATACCCATCCAACCACCTAGCAACTGATCCAAGGTCCAAATTGCCTCAGCTCCTCCGCGGATTTTTCCTCACAGGTGGCACTTTGTACAGCCGCTTTGAACTTGGCGGAGCTTTGACACGGACGATTGCGGCCATAGGGGCAGCCCTGCACGTGCACAAAGGCGCCTCCGGGGTCTGAGCATCCACACGTTTCGGAGCAAAGCATTCGAGTTAGAAAACCTGGAGCTGTGGCTTCCCCGGATGAGTCCCCTGTGACTAATTAGATACAAAATCTGAAGGACTGACACAAATTGCGGATTATCCACATATCATTCCCCAAAAGTTGAACCACAAATCAAAGGTATGCCGTTTGGTTTTCCTGGTGGGTTCGCCGATTTGGAAAAAACTCCGAAGATATACATCTCCAGCCATTGGCCAGAAACCTTGCCCGCCATCCACTTCCCACTCGGGCATCTTCGAGATGGAGTCACAGAATGGCAGAACATCTGCGCAACTTGCAATGCTCTGGTTGTTGAGACTATCTCGCAGAAGGTTCAACATGGGTCCAGTAGTTGCAAGATCTTCACAGTAGGGGTTTCCTCGCGGACGTCAACTAGGTCATGTGGAGCAACCACCGACAAAAACTGGACTTTTGCCCTCTGGTAATTAAAACATAGCCATGGGAAATCGCCAATGTCGAATGGGATAACAGAATTTAAGAGCTGTTTTACCCTGAACAATATGGAAAATCAACCATTTCCCCAGGAAATGATGTGGATTCTCCTGCCAGATTTGGATTTAAAACACATAATTAGGTTCCCAGGTTCCCCAATTCTACCTCATGATTAATCACCATATTGTCTTTGTCAGATCCATCTTTACCCCCTGGTAAATGTTTACACAACTATGGAACATCACCACTTTTAATGGGGAAATCCACTGTTTCTATAGCCATGTTCAATAGATGTTTTTGTTTACCAGAGGATATGCTTCACTGTCCAAACTCGTCCTTGATCCACCAACTCATCCAAGCTCATCGTTTCGCTGTCGGTCAACCTGGTGACATCCGAGTGCCACAGTCCCAGCTCCGCCGTCTGCAACTGCGCCGGATCCAAGGCAATGGCTTCGCTGATGCCGCGGAGTTGTAAACTTCCGGTGGAATTCTCCCAACCATCTCCTGGTGGGGTTCTTGGCCACCATGTCTTGAAAAAAAACGTTGGGGAGAAACAAGAACTTCATCTATTGGGGATGGAACATATATAAGTGAAACAACCCTACGTCCAGATGAGTTTGAACTCAATCACAGAAGATGAATTTGAACTCAATCACAGGTGTGTCTCAACTGCAACACAGAAACAGACCAAAAAACACATCTTGTACTGTAATCATTGGGTATTCTGCATCACATCTCCACAATTTCAACCAAAACATCCTCACATGTCGAAGAAATTTAAATACAGATGAATCTTACCTCGGTCATAGAGGTTATTAGATCCCATATGTAAAACAAATAAAACTCCACTGAACAATGAAAAAAAATCAGCATTACCCCAATTAATTGTCTGCATTTTGTTTAAATGACGTCCCTGTCCCCACAATTTCAACAACAAATGCATGGGAAGCTGGGATTTGTGGATGTTGACCTCCCAAAAAATAGTTTTTATAGGTATTGACACATAATCCAAAGTTATATCTATAAAGTCCCACACTGCAAGTTTCGTTCATTGAATTTATTCTTGGGACCAATCGCTCATAGGATATATCTCCCATTAAATCACCTCATCACTAAGATGTCACGATTGAATCACGGCTCTAATTGGTTCAACCACCGCTTAACCTGGTTGAACCATCTTTTTCGTTGGTGAAATCACCATTGAATCACAATTTTAGCTGCGTAAACCACCTTTTCTGTTCGCAAAATCGAAAACCACCACTTTTGTTTGTTAATTGCCACCCCAGGACAGGAAGAAAACACGTCTCCTTGCGTCCGCGCAAAGTGCACGACGTGTCGCTTGTCCACGCTCCACACAAAACCCAGATGTCCACCACACAAATCGCTGTAAACTGCCCCGAGGTCTTGGACCATCGGCGCCAGCATCGTCAAGTAGACCCAGATGGCAATGACAGGTCTCAGCGTTGTGAAGGTGGGAAGCAACTGGGGAAAGGCGCAATAGTATACCCCAATTGACATGAATTGGGTGAATAAGAAGATTGGTTGATATGAACTGATATAAATTGATATTCATACATATATATATATATTGGTTGATAGTTGGTTTATTAAATTCATACTCGTCAATCAATGCATAACCATTCAAGTCAATCCCATTAACTAGTAGTGTGCCCAATTGACAAACATTGGTATTACCCTCTGGTAACTTAACATAGCTATGGAAAATTGCAAATTTACAGATGATTTTCCCATTAAAACTTCCATTTATAATGGATTTTCCATAGCTATGTTAAATTACCAGAGGGTTATTGGGGCTAATACTAAGACAACTTTCCCCAAAAAGAGTATAAACCAGTCAGGGCCCACAAAAAAACATGGCCAACCTGGGTCATTGATCCAACAAACAAGGGGGGGCCTGAGAACCCAAAAGCAAAACGACAGCAAACAAATTTGAGTAATACTGATAATTGGTTTATTTCTTTTTCGCCTCTTGCCAGCTTCTTTTTAGAAGATGAACATTATGGACGCATTCACTGCAAATTTCATTTTTCCCCACCTGCCAGGTGAGGGTTGTTAGATTTTATCAGAGTTGTTCTCGGGGTCAACGCCCCGAGGCGGGCGTGGTTTTTTCCACGTTTGTGCTCTTTGGCAGTATACGTGTTTAACGCTCTTGCCGACTGTAAGATGACGCTACCGAAGACACGTTGCCCAACTCTGTTGCTGACGTCTTGCTACTTTGACCGGGAGGGGGGGTGGGGGGGGATGATAACGTTCCTTTCGACTGTAAGATGACGCTACCGAAGACACGTTGCCCAACTTTGTTGCTGACGTCTTGCTACCTTGACCGGGAGGGGGGGTGGGGGGGTGGGGTGGGGATGATAACGTTCCTTTCGACTGTAAGATGACGCTACCGAAGACACGTTGCCCAACTTTGCTAGGTTCATTTACAACATACATTTATCAAAACGCGTGTTTTTATATACATGTATGTTTACATGTTTATATATATATATATATGTGTGTAAAGGGTATTTAAAATATCTATGTATTCATGTCTCAAGCAGATGTTGCGGAATTGCAAAAGTTTTTTTTTGCATTTTGACATCTTGCAGCAAACGTCAAAACATCATAGATCACAAGCATAAAACACTGCAAATTACAGTGTAAAAAGGTGATTTTTGATTCAATCACCAAGTACACAATTGTAGAAAACCCACACCCGCCTCAAGGCGGTGTTCCCTTGTTCTCCTCGGCTAGCTGTCCTCCTCGTCCTCGTCCTCCTCCTCCTCCTCGTCCTCCGCCTTCTCCTCCTCCTCTGCCTCCTCCTCCAGTTTCTCCTCGATCATGTCTGCATCAACTTCCACCTCAACTTCCGCCTTGCCAACTCTTCGCCAAGCTCTTTGCCAACTTCCCAGCTCAGTGCACCGGTGGACCTCAACCTGGGACCAAACCAGCTCAGTGTGCACCGCTGGACCTCAACCTGGGGATCTGCCCAGCTCAGTGTGCATCGCTGGACCTCAACCTGGGACCTTCCCAGCTCAGTGTGCACCGCTGGACCTCAACCTGGGACCTTCCCAGCTCAGTGTGCACTGCTGGACCTCAACGGCCAGATAGAATACCAGAAGATATGCCAGATAGAGTGTTAGAAGATATGTCAGATAGAATGCCAGAAGATATGCCAGAACATATTGCAGAAGATATGCCAGATAGAGTGTTAGAAGATATGCCAGAAGATATGCCAGGTAGAATGCCAGAAGATATGCTAGATAAAATGCCAGAAGATATGTGAGATAGAATGCCAGAAGATTTGCCAGTAACAAAACGTATAAAAATGTCATGGTGGGGATAACTCGAAGTAAAGTAATTTCAGCTCTGCGCGGAAACATTGAGTGACAGTGTGCAATAGCCAAGCAAGCTCATTTGAGCACGGTCATGCGACGGCGGCTGATTTCCAAATCAACCTCTCCTTTCCTTTCCCTTCCTTTCCTTCCTTTCCCGTCCTTTCCCTTCCTTTCCCTTCCTTTTCCGTCCTTTCCCTTCCTTTCCCTTTCTTTCCCTTTCTTTCCCTTCCTTTCCCTTTCTTTCCGTTCCTTTCCCGTCCTTTCCATTCCTTTCCCTTCCTTTCCCTTCCTGTCCCTTCCGTTCCCTTCCTTTCCCTGTCTTTCCCGAAGCAAGGGTTCCCGTTGTCCAACCGTCCGCAACCACTCGCAACCGTCCGCGCGATTGCTATTTGGCCGTGCCTCTGGTAAGTTCTCCAGAAGGGCTAATTTTTGCGTTTCGCGTGGCAGGCGTGGCACTTCGTGACATTCAGACGTGTTTTGTAACGTGTCGAAAGTCATTTTGTGTGGCAGGCGCACTACTTTTGCGACGTTTTCAGAAGATGCGTTGCAGTTTTCGTGGCCGGCGCAGCACTTTGGACGTGTCCATCGTCATTTTGCGTAGCAGGCGCAGCACTTTAGACGCGTCGTGTTGCGTGTTTTTTACGAATCGCATTGGCAGGGCTGCGTCAAGTGGCGACAAGGTGCAGATTCCGTGGCAGACGTGGCATTTTGTGAGATGTGCTGAAAATTGACGGAAGCCTCCCACGAAACATCGATTTTGAGGTAGCAAATTTCAAGGCTCGTACGAAAACTCGCAGGAAAACGTCAATTTTGAAGCTATATACAAAGTGTGAAAATTGGAGGAAGTCTCGCACGAAAGGCTCGTTTTGATGCTCCCACATCTCTCGTCTCAAGTCTCTGGTTTTCCTGTAGCGTCGCCGTGTCTATGGGGGAAGCTGCAAAATCTCTCCTTTTCGAAGGTTTCCAAGCAGGTTGTCATATCGTTTTGCGTGGCAAGGGTGGCACTTTACACTCTACACTCCACCACACTCTACACTTTGCACACTCCTCACTCTACACTCCACCACACTCTACACTTTGCACACTCCTCACTCCACACTTTAAATTAACACTCCACAATTTACACTTTACACTCCTCACTCCACACTCTACACTTTACACTTTCCACTCCCCCTTCACACTCTACACTTTACACTCTACACTCCACAATTTACACTTTGGACTCCACACTTTAAACTTTGCACTCCACACTTTACACTCCTACACACTCCTACACACTCCACACTCTACACCCCACACTCCACCACACTCCACACTCTACACCCCACACCACACTCCACACTTTACACTCCACACTCCACAAACTACACTTTCCACTCCACACTCCACACTCCACACCTTACACTCCACACTCCTCACTCCACAATTTACACTTTACACTCCTCACTCCACACTCTACACTTTACACTTTGCACTTTGCACTCCTCACTCCACACTTTACACTCCACACTTTACTCTCCACACTCCGCACTCTACACTTTACGCTGTACACTTTACACTCTACACTCCACACTTTACATGTTTGACTCCTCACTCCACACTTTACATTTTACACTCCTCACTCCACACTTTACACTCCACACTCCACACTCTACACTTTCCACTCCACACTTCACACTCTGCACTTTCCACTCCACACTTCACACTCTGCACTTTCCACTCCACACTCCACACTCTACACTTTACACTCCATACTCTTCACTTTACATTTTTCACTCCAGACTTTACATCTTACACTCCTCACTCCACGCTTTACACCCCACACTCCACACTTCCCACTTTACACTCCACACTCTACACTTTACACTCCACACTTTACACTCCACACTCCTCACTTTATACTCCACACTCCACACTCTACAGTTTCCACTCCACACTCTACACTTTACACTCCTCACTCCTCACTCCACACTTTATACTTTACACGCCACACTTTACAGTTTGCACTTTACACTCCTCACTCAACACTTTACACTCCACACTCCACACTTTACACTCCACACTCCACACTCTACACTTTACACTCTACACTTTACACTCTACACTCCACACTCCACACTTTACACTCCACGCTTTCCTCTCCACGCTTTGGACTCCACACTTTACACTCCACACTTTACACTCCACACTTTTACGCTCCACACTCCACAGTCTACACTTTACACTCCACACTCTACACTCCACACTCCACACTTTACCCACTGCACACTCCACACTCCTCACTCCACACTCCTCACTCCACACTTTACACTCCACACTTCCCACTTTACACTCCACACACTACACTTTACACTCCACACTCCACACTTTACACTCCACACTGCAGACTGGTAACAGGGGAAGTATGTATATACAAGACTGTTCAAATAAACTATTGCAGAAAAGTGTTCTGAGTGACTGCATATCCATTAACGTACGTGTGAGCATTCGGGTTCGTGGGCTGCATCTTGTTCTTCTCCCCGCCTGTTTCCAGCCACTCCCTTGCACCCACGCCGTCCGCAGCCGTCCGCGCCATTCTCCGCACCCATTTCCCGTCCGCAGCCAGCCGTCCGCGCAGCCAAGCTCGCTCATCTCCAGCGGCTTCTTCTCCCAACCCATTTCCAGCCACTCCCTTGCACCCACGCCGTCCGCAGCCGTCCGCGCAATTCTCCCCACCCATTTGCAGTCCGCAGCCAAGCTCGCTCATCACCAGCGGCTTCTTCTCCCGAACCATTTCCAGCCACTCCCTTGACCCACGCCGTCCGCAGCGGTCCGCGCAATTCTCCGCACCCATTTGCCGTCCGCAGCCGTCCGCGCAGCCACGCTCGCTCATCCCCAGCGGCTTCTTCTCCCCACGCATTTCCACCCACTCCCTCGCACCCACGCCGTCCGCCCACCCATTTCCAGCCACTCCCTGGCACCCACGCCGTCCGCAGGCGTCCGCGCAATTCTCCCCACCCATTTGCCGTCCGCAGCCGCCGCGCAGCCAAGCTCGCTGATCTCCAGCGGCTTCTTCTCCCCACCCATTTCCAGCCACCCCGTTGCACCCACGCAGTCCGCAGCCCTCCGCGCAATT